ATCTTTAGAACAGGTTCGTGCATTATGCCCAGTCTTACTACACGCACCACAGCATCTCCGAGTCGGCTGGGCTCTCTTTGATAGACCCCCCTCCTCATCCTCTCGAGGTGCTGGATGTTTACCTTTTTGTTTCTCTTCCAGCAAACCCTGAGATTCCTCTATACTAAGTACCCCTCCAAGCTGCATACGCGAACTTTTAGCCCTCCGACGCTTAGTAAGTGCTATATTCGCATCCTTAAGTGTACGAAGCCGATTAGTTAAAATAGTAATTAAGTGCGCCATTACCTGCACACCCTTTAACAATTGCTTAACTATAGCAATAATTGGTGTCGGTGAGCTTTCTTTATGAGTAGAGATCCGGCTTTTAATAAAGTTAGACTGCGAGACGGCTTGTTGTAGGTTAGAGGGCGTTTGCGATTGCTAAGGTGGTGGTGTTGAAGGGTTGGCTATAGGAGGTGTAGGCGTCCGTAAATACACATTAAGCTTTTTAATAATATAGACTGGGTCCCATGGTGAAATTCCAGCGCCTTGGAAAGCAGACCTGATGTTTTCCTTATTAAAAACCTTGTTGTGGGCCTGGTGGAAGGTAATAAAGAACTTAGACTTGGTAATGTGATTTATGGAGGCTCTAATAAATCGGTTGATTTCATTACCGTATGCGCGTTTTAAAGGCGAATAAAGCGCAATATCCAATGGCTGTAATAGATACGACGAATTTGTAGGCATACTGACGGTTATAATATTGTTCTGCTTGCAGTAATCGTCGAATTCGGCCGATAAATGGCTCTCATGGCCGTCGATAATGAGCATCCGGTAGACGCCCTTAGTTCGGTTCTTAGTATGTTTGTCGAAGTATTTAATCCAGTCGAGACCCGTCTGATTATCCATCCATCCATTAGCAGTGGGCTTGATGACCTAGTTGCCCGGAAAACCTGATTCCGTGGTCCAACTGGTAAGATGATATGCGCCCTTAACGATCACGAACGGAGGGATACACCACCCGCCCGAATTGATATATTTAATAACTATAGCCTACTCACGGTTACCCGGCTGGACAGACTTTGCTTTACCGCGTCGATTAGCGCGTATTACCACTATTGATGCGGTGATCATGCCCATCATGAAGCCAGTCTCGTCGAAATTATATAGGTCCCCCCCCCTCTTGGATGCCATACTTAGCCATCATATTGCGTAACAGCGCAAACCACTTTGATATAACCTCAGGATCTTCTTGAAGAGCCCTTTAATAATCGTATGGACGATTAAACTTTGTTTTCAGAGCAGGCTGTGAGTCCACAAACCGCCTGGCCCATCGCTTGCCAACAGGCTCGGTATTACGCGCTCGCAGTAGGAGATTGGCTATATCTTCTATACCGCCAAGGCGTAAAGGAAATCCTCTGGAATCCTGTTCAATAACGTATTGGAGAAGTGTTTTCTCTTCGATCGGATTGAGTTTATGTTGTTAGGGTTGAGTTTGTTCGCGTTGCGGTCGGTTGTTTATTTTATTAGCTAAGGTGCTCTTTGGGATACCGTAGGTCTTTACGGCACGCGAAATTCTTAAGTTACTACCTATAGCGCATATCGATCGGATCGCTTCAATCGTAAGAACGACTTTATCTTCTTGCGTGTAGATTGGTATTATGGTTAATGAGATTTTACGCGTTAAAGGTTTAAGTGGTTTGGACATAAGTGTATTTAGAAAAAAACGTCCGGCTGACTGGTCCGGCCGGCTGACTGGTGAACCACGTTAGTCCTTTTACTTACCTAGTCTTTTTATTATATAAAACATAATTATAACTTATTATGGCCCGTTATTAAGGTAGGAGTTAATAAGGTAGGAGTTAATAAGGTACTAGATATTAGTATTATTACCGATATACCCTACGTCTAGCTCTATTTTATTATGTATTTATTAGGACTAACTATACTACGTAGTCTTTGCGTCTTTTTATGAACTTTAGGGGCTTTGGTAGGGGCGCTTTTTTGTCCTTCTGGTACTATTGGTATCCTGTTATTTATTGCTTATATAGTCGTATTGGCGGGGGATGCGGTCAGTATGCTGTTTAGGAGCGGCGTAGGGGTTGCTCTGTTCGGTAATATAAGCCTATTTAGAGTTGTTAAGAGCTGCGTTATCTAGGCCGTTTGCTAGGCTATCTAGTCCTAAAGAGGACGGACGTTTATATTAACCGCTTTATTAATTCGGCGGTTAATCTTTATATTTAATATATTATTTATGCTACCCTCGGGCGGATCTATTGTACCGTTCTTATTATAAGGTTTTATATAGCGTGTTTTTATTAATTATTAAGCTTAGAATATATAAAGGGCTAGCCCCTAGGCTTGTTCAATATAGAGGTACCGTCGATTAACTATTCTAAGCCAAGGAGGAAAAGGAGGAATTATAAGGGTTTATGTATAGCTATGGTATATTATACCTAGATTCGGCGGTATACTACGGCAGAATAGTGGCTCCGGTAAAGCCGGAGATCTCAACCGGGCTCCAGCCCGTGACAATATATAACCCTATAACTATAGCTATTAATGAAGTAATAATAGACGGGCAGGCTGCTATAAAAAGACGGCTCTGTGTTACAACCCAACATGCATGACCAAGAACAGGGCCTGCCCCGCGGGCTCGCGGCGGTTATAATACACCACATATGCAGGAGATAAGGGACACTAGGCACCCTCTCACGGAACGGAAGAACTATGGTACAAGTCACGTGATGATAAGATAAGACATGAGCGGCCATGGTGGGGCCATGAGCGCTCATGCCAAGTAATGAGCGCTCACCCGATCAGAGGGACTGATCATTGACAAGGGATATGTTCAGGACCAGGACTTGTATATAGGATGGACTCGAGCCGGACTCTAGGACAGACTTTCCATAGCTCTTCAGCAATTAACTTCGTATCAGATCTTATGATCGCTTTCAGCTATCTTTCCTGAGAACCTCTTTGATAAGACTACGATTGATCACCGCAGCCTTCCCTTACCTTACGACTTACAGACATAGCTTCCCTGAAGCTATCCACGACTACGAATACTGTTACCAGTTCCGCAGCCTCAACTTCTGCAAATTACCCCCACGACTAGTTGGCCGTAACAAGTAGCTGGGTTAAGGGCGTCGCCATCAAGAGTCCACATCTTAGTAGGGTAACGTGGGACGACGTAGGTAAACCACTTAGTAGGGGTCTCAACCTTATAGGCTCTAAGACACTCTGCTAGTTTCTGTTTGTTTGTAAGGAGGGCTTGCTGGACCCGCTTATTTAGGGGTCTTAGTGAGTAGCCAGTTGTAATATGGTAGATGTGTGGGATATCTGCCAGCTGGAGCCTAAGGGCCTGACAGACTGTCCGGCGTAGGGCGAAGGGGGCGTGCTTCCTAGCAGCCGCTAGGCCCTCTTCTGGGATACGGGTAAAGACCCGGAGGTCCTCCTTCGGTTGGGATAGAGCCTGGGCCCGGGTCTCCGTCAGACTCTGTGTCTGGACTTCGGGCCGGGTGGGGATTCGGGTACGGGTCGGGGCTACGGCTACGGCTGTAGTTGAAGCCGAGGCTACTACGTCAGTCTATTTCCGGCTCGGAGCCGGAGCCGTAGTCTCGTTACCCATAATCCTCTTTAAGGCTTGGATTACATAGGTTGTAGCTTTTTTTGCAATCTGCTTCCTAGGCCCCTCAAAGCAAGAGATCACGTTGTCCACAGACTGAGTAATAGCCATAAAGACGTCCTTTCGGGCTTCATAGTGCTTAGCCTCTTCATTAAGAGCTGTAAGGACAGCTCCAGTAGCTGTCCCAGTCATAGTCGAGGGCCCCTTAGCCGTTAAGGGGGTTGTTGTTGGGGCGTCGGGCTGGCTTCCCACGAGGCTGGGCCGGAGTGGCTGGGCCTCGGTTTCGCGGCGGCATTTAGCCCTTGAGGATGGGGGCGGCTCTGAAGAGGGTCCAGAGCCTCGATCAGGGCCGGCCGAGGAGGCCGGCAACGGTCCAGAGCCCGCCGGATGCTGCGAGGCCATCGCGGGAAGGCGCCGGAGGAGAGGTGAAGGGTTTTCAGCTGTTAAGGATTTTGGTGGTAGCCCACTTATTACACTAACAGTAGATGCCAAGAAAAATTAGGCGAGGGGGAAGTGTTGTTATCGGTTCAAGCAAGCTAAAGTAATTGAGGCATGTTTCGACACGCGTGACACAGCTCCTTCGATTTGATCCCTCCGTCGCTTTTAGATGAACTATCATGGGGAAAGGAACAACAAATACAGTTAGTTTTCGGCCTTTCTTGCGCAAAGAGTGGTATAAGACCACCTGCCTACGCTTTTAGTATCCCATCGACTGCGAGATGACGTCGGTACATAAGCCTCCAGTTTTCTCCAATAGCCGAATTATTCGATTGGGTGCATCGGCCGGAATTAAAACGGATTCTAATCGGAATATCATGGAATAATGTGTGATTTGCTGCTTCCTCTCATGAACGGTACGTAGCTATGTACCGACGTCATCTCGCAGTCGATGGGATAGACCCAAGATCGTACTAGTCGCGATCTGCATCGCAGATTTGCAGCTGACTTCTCACTGGAATGCTCTGCAATCATCACAGGTTCATCATTGCTGAGCCCAAAGTCATGAGCACAGCCCGTGCACGACGCATCACATACCCACGTGTTCGCTTCGTTGCCTGTGGTCCTCTACGGAGTAGACTCGATATTCGTACATGACGGGTGCTCACGTAGGCCGAACAAGAGCTTGTCAATTCTCAGTCTTTGCACTGACTCAAGATTCGAGCACCGCTCTCTGACTCCACCTGACGCCGGTAATTGTGGACGCCCGCAAGCCGGGATCCTCACCCGTCCGTCGTCTCCCCGCAGTCCGACCGCCGTGGAGCAGAAAGTCTCCTTTCCCCGCGAGTGCCTCGCTAGCTTATGGGCTTGGGCTAGCATGATAATGAGTGGCCAGCCCAATTCGTGCCTCACTGTGCCACGCAAAGACAGGGTGGGCATTTCTTGACCCTGACAATGTGACCAAATCTTGCCAGATGAACCATGAAGCGGTCACCTATCAGCCTCCATGAGTTGACATCTACCAGCGAATCATGTACCGCATCAAACTTTTAGGCTGCTTGTCTATGTTTCTAATAACGGACATAAATGCTTTCCTTTTACGCTCGGGACCTTAAATGGAACTAGAGAAGCGTCGCCATGGCGGCTACACGCGGAATGAACGTCTGTCAACATCAGACGATGTTTGATGAGGAGACAGATGCGAAACTCTGAACGGGGCTTGATCTTGTGACCAAGTGTCCCGCCACCTGCTGTTCTATTTCTTCCATCTCCATCCCAAGTGGAGTGGCAAATGTTGTCCCCTTCGCTCTTCAAACTTCCCCGTACCTCGAAATACCATCATAAGTAGGCAATAATCCTGGTAAGAAGTTTTGATTGTTTTCTGTACGCCGCATAGACTGCTGACTCACCTCCTAGAAGCCACCTATACGAAAGCCAATTACGAGACGATTATCACGTTCGTTCGAACTCGCACTGCAAGATGTCAGAAAGCCCTACCACTGCTTCACGCAATCAAAGGGATCCTGGTAGTCCAACTATCACGGGAATTCCATCCATCCTAACAGTCCTTCGCGAGCCCGAGTCCTTCTCGACTATCGATGATAGACGAGGGCAACAGTACCGCCAACAATCTCCGGAGACAGCCTCCAAGTTAGCGCGTGAGACCCTGATTAGCATGTGTAAGACCATTGGTCTTGTCGGCGCGCAGCTCAACAATGGGACAAATGATTCCGACTTCCAGCTAAGGCAGCTTATTCACTTAGCGCGCAACATAACCAAGCGGCTTGACAGTCCTGAGCCGAACGGGCAAAACGGACACGCTGGCCCTCCTCGCATGGACTAGCTGAAGGATGATCTGGTTGCTAGAAACAACGAAATTGTTCATTTGCATATGTGGAAGCCGGCATACTGGAAGAATCACGGCGTTTCTGGAAGGCTTGCGAGGAAATCCCCGGCATCATCTAAGGAGAATGGCTTGCAACCGGACAGGAGGCCACATGGTAGCATGGCGCTCACGAAAAAAAAAAGAGGTTTCGAAATCTTGTAACCCTTTTATCACTAAGCGAGGTAGCAAGTGGAAGACATGTATAGTAGAAAGTGGCTTGATTCCTCTAAGTGGAAGATCCGTATGATGGTCATATCTATATACCGTACAAGACGGGTAATCGGCTTGTGAAAAGCGGTATCATACGGCAGTAACCGGCAGCGCCACGTGTGGCGCTGCGACACCTTTCTCAACAGGATTGAAGATCAAAAGTTACAAAATCACAAAAACTTTCCGCTGGCTTTCTGCTGACTCATGCAATGCCCGTTCCTGCCTATAATACTGCACATTCGTATGGGGCTAGTCAACTTGGTGAATATTTACACTTGAACCTAATATTTAAGTAACCATCCGGCCGGCCCAATTACTTGTTCTTCCAAGACCTTGCTTAGTTCAGCCTTACTTAGTATTAACCGAAAATCTCAAGAACGTCGCAGTCTACGAGAGACTCCGCCGCATGGTAAAACCAAGGTTTCAACAATACTGGCGAAAAGTTGTTAACTAACTCCTGAAGCTCGGGGAAGCTAGAGGTCTCCAGTGACTTTGATAGCTCATGCGGCGTCAGGTTTGTAGAACGGCGTCGTTAAGTAGGCTGCGTTTCTAGTACGCTCAGTGTGACTATTGTCACGAGTTATGGCACGCAGCAATGGGCATATGAAGTGTGGTAAAAGTGGCTTGTATTAACCCAACTAGAATCGAGCAAGGAAAGGTGCTATCCCATCGAGTGCCAATTGGCAACAGGTACATGCCCTTGAGGGGAACTGACCACTCAGGAGACAGCCAAGACTTCTTCTAGCCAACCAAAAAGCCTAGATTATGGATACTTCTGTTGTCTATATACTCTGACTATGAAAGAGGTACCAGCAATCATCCGAGTTACAAAGCGCTACTCCACACTGCAGGCACCCTGACCTCGTCTTTTTTCTGTGGGATCGTGAGTGTTGTTGAACAGGGCCTCGTTGTTGTTGTTGTTGTTCTATTTAACGCCATGGCGGCAAGGGCGCAGCCGCCCTTGCGGCAGACCTCCCGGGGGGTATGTGGCGTGAAGGGTCGCAGGCTCTAGCTATATACTATATAGTACACGCCGTATCCTGACGTCCTCCAAATCTTGCTCGTGAGCTACTATGTGTTCTATCCATCCCTAGTTCCCACTGGTGCCCTAGTTCCGTTATAACCATCTGGTTTCTTAATAGAGGTAGTTTGTCGTTTGGAGGATAGGTTATGACCTATCTCCTAGTACCGCGGGCAGATCTTCTGGAAGAAGTCTGTCACGCAGAGGAAGGCCTGGAAGCCTTGAGAGTCAGTGATTAGCCCCTTGAAGTAGCGATCGAGGGACCCTATAGGTCCTACGGGCTCCTGGCGGCTGTAGGGGTAGAGGGTGGGCCACTGTTGCCTCCTCAGTAGGGTCTTTCGGCAGTAGACTAGGTGGTCTGCCTCCTTAACCCATCCACAGGAGCAGGTGAGTAGTGCTTCTGTGTGGTTAAAGCGTTGGTGATATTGTTTAAAGTCCCCGTGGCCTGACCGTGCCGCGAGGAGGTGATGAAGGGCAGCCCTAGGGAGGCCAAGTTCAGGAGGGCAAGCAAGGGTAGCCTTGAGCCCTAGTTGGGTATAGCAGGGAGTTGCCTCTTGTTTCCACCATCGTCTATATTGGCGTCTTGGCCGCTCTTTAGCAAGCCACTTAATACCTGATAGAGTAGCTAGTTGGCCCCTAGGGACTGGTAGAGTTGTTCCCTCCTTAGCTAGGCTGTCTGCTTCTTTGTTTCCTTTAATACCTTGGTGCCCAGGAGACCAATGGGTTTGTATATCGTGTATCCTAGCTACCTCCTGGATCTCAAGGAAGGCCGCTTGTGAGGAGTCTGGGATCTTACCGCGAATCCCCTGAATAACGCTGGTATTGTCGATGCAGATGTGTATAGGCTGGCCTTGGGAGGTCTGAAGGGCCCGTCGGAGCCCAGCCCTCGCCCCCTCCGCCTCACCATCAAACACTTCTGCTAAGCCGAGACGGCCGCAGCCCTGGGCTATACGTTTATTGTTGCGGTAGATAACAAAGCCGTACCCTGTAGCTCCGTCAGGAGCTTTGGAGCCGTCTGAGTATACGACCGTATGCTGACCTGGCACAGTCTTGAGCCAGGCCTGGAAGATCCTAGCTGCTACTTCCTTCGTCTGTGTAACTATAGGGTCATAGGACCCTGGGAGGTATTGCGGCTGTAGGAGCGCTGGCCTTGGACACTTAGGTAAAAGGCCAGCTGTTCTTTGAAGCCTGGTCTGTTGCCGCCCTGACTGCAGCAGCCTTGGGACCAAGGGATGCTGTTGGTCAACCTTCTGCAGGCGTATAGCGAAGCGTAGTCGCGCTGCTTCGAGGGCTACCTCTGCTGTGGGAAGGCCAGCGTCTCGGATGAGGCTACTGGTCGGTGTGGTTCTCCAGACAGGCAGGATAGCCCTTGCTGCTGCTGTAATAACTTTGCTAAGTCTACGGGCCAGGCCCTTCTGTCCTGTACCAACTGTAGGTATCTGTAAAGCAGTGCTACTGCTAGTATTGGTGCCGCTGTTTAGGGCTGGTTTGGTTAGGCCCGCATACCAGGTCTCAACTCCATACAAGGCTGTTGGAAGGACACAGGCAATAACCGCTTTTCGTACTGCGGCTGCTGGGAGTCCCCCTTTGGTATTTGTTAGGTGCCGTAGGAACTGGGCTACCTTCTTTGCCGCTGCCACCTTAGTTTCGACATGGTGACGGAAGGTGAGTCTCTTGTCGAACCAGACTCCTAGCCATCGTACAGGCTTAGTTGAGGCCTTAATAGTTAGGCCCGTCGCCTGTATATCTGGTAGGTCTTTTGTCTGGTTATATTTCCTGCTGAAGTGGACTGCCTCACACTTAGCTGGGTCAAAAGCAACCTTGTTATCAGTGCCCCAGTTAAGGATATGAGTGATCTTTTGGCCTAGGGCTATAGCATTTCCTTCTAGCGACGGGCTAGTAGCTACTAAGCCTATATCATCCGCATAGCCAAACCGTAGCTCTTGATCGTCGGCTAGGATATCCGCTATATATAGTAAAAAGAGAATAGGGGATAGTGGGGAGCCTTGTGGTAGCCCACAGGATAGAGGGAAATCCTCTGTAGTTGTATCCTCTAGCCTGACCCGGGCTGCTCGGCTAGAGGTAAAGGTGAAGATCAGCCTAATCAGATGACTAGGCCAACCCTGCTGTCGTAGCCTGATAATAAGTCGGTTTCTTAGGACAGAGTCAAAAGCCCCTTTAACGTCCATTGTCACAAGAGTTGCAGTGAGCCCTGAGTCTAGAGCCCTCTCGATCTCGTGGGTCAGACAGGCTGTTAGGTCGACTGCAGCCCTGCCTGGTAGTGCTCCAACCTGCTGTGGGCTAGCAACCCCTTCTAGGATAGTAAGGTAGGCCATCCTTTTTGCTATTAGCCGCTCTAGGCCTTTACCTAAGCAGGATAAAAGGGATATCGGACGCCAAGACCCAGTCTTCGAGAAGTCTGTTTTCCCTGGCTTCTGGATCATGACAACTTCTGCTTTGCGGAACGGTCGAGGGAAGTGGCCTACTTGAATACAGGCCTGGAAGAGCTGCTGTATAGGCCTAGCTACTGATTCCCAGGTGTGTTGTAGTAACTTTGTAGTAATCCCGTCAATCCCAGGGGTTGTAGTCTTTGTTAGAGTAGCCTGGCGTACTTCTTCCATGCTGACCACATCCTGCCAGGGCATTAGACGCCGTGCAACTACTGGGATAGCGAAAGGGTCCCCAGGTAAGTCGTCTGTAGCGTTAAATCTCTCTAGTAAGGCCTTTCGTAGGGCCTGGGCTTTATCGTAGCTGTTGTCGATTGTCTGACCTTCCACTATAAGAGGCGGGCCTTTAATAGCTAAGCCAGCCTTCCGCCAGCCTACTATCTTATATAGGTCTTGGTCTGTCTTAGCCCTTCGATCTTAGTAGTCCAGTAAGCGCGTTTTGCCCTTCTAACAGTTGTTAAGAAGATCTTTTGCTCCTCTAGGATGGGGGGAGGTATAACTAGCCCAGGTTCCTGGGCCTGCTGGCGCCTAGCCTCGATAGCAGCTCGGTGGGCTTCTGCACACTCTTCTGTCCACCAGGGGGCTCCCCTACCCTGATTTGTCCGTCTCTTACCTACAGCTTGAATAGCTGTATAGAAGAGGCTGACTAGTTGGGTAGCTAGAGTGTCCAGCTCTGCTGGACTAGGTACTTCCCCTAGGGTAGGTAAGGCTGAGGATCCAGCTCTTACTAGGTCGATAAGTCGGGGTAGGGCTGACTCTGGGACTGAGAGGTGGCCAGTCTGGCGTTTCTGTTTCTGGGCCTTGCCTATAGGGATAGTTGTTGTGATAGCTTGGTGGTCAGCCCCTGGGTGCAGGTGTGAGCTAATATAAGCCTCAGCAAAGGGGATATTTGAGAATGTTAGGTCGAGGGTATGCCTATGAGTATGGGTAGGGACCCCAACCTCCCCAATAAACGAAAGATCGTAGCCTTCAGCCCACTCTGCAATATCGTCCCCCCGATTCCGGCTAGGGGAGCCTGGTTCCCAGGTAGGGTGGCGGGCGTTAAAGTCCCCTGCTATAAGGGCTCTTTCTGGCGGATAGTATCCTAGGAGAGCAGTAGTCGTGTGGTTTGTCGGCTCACCTGGCGGCCTATATACGTTGATAATAGTGAAGTTGCCAGCCTTAACCCATAAGATATCTCTCGTTTGGGTAGGCCTTTGTTGCTGTATTTGTAGTCTTAGACTCTTGCGTATATAGGTCATAACCCTAGGTCTTGTATCTCTGTTGTTCCAGAAGTCAACTGGGATACAGGAGTTATAGCCTGGGTGTGTGTTGATTTGCATCTTATCTCTATAGCCTATCCAGGGCTCCTGGATCAGTACTATATCGATCTGATCCGCCCAGCAGAGCTCTAGGAGAGCTGTATGAGCTGGGCTTCTCTTCCCCACGTTACACTGGGCGACTCGTAGTACCCGTGGGGAGGCTGGCCTGAGCCTACTGCTCTGAGTCGAGGTCGAGGTGGGTGTAGGCATTAATAACGTTGTAATCAGGCTTCTGCGCCACCCGCTGAGCCCTGCTGCTTGAGGTAGCTAGGGTAGGTTGGCTGGGTAGGGGGGTAGGGCTGGGTCGTCAGGGGCTTGCAGCCCTTCTTCTTCAGCCCCGTTCTCATCTTCATCCATGCTGCTACAGCTAGCCGCATCACTAACGTCCGCTACAACAATTGAGTCCTGGATAGGGGTAGGGGCGCGTGGGCGCTTTGAGCCGGGCTGATGGCTCGTTAGGCTGTTGCTAGGTTGCTGGGTGTTGCTGGCTTGGGTGCCAGCCTGGCTGCTCTGATAGAGGGCCTCATAGGCCTTCTGACCAGCCTTACGGATCCGGGAGAGTTCCTTCCGGTCTGGGAGGGTAGGGGAGCCATTAACCACTAGGGGCCTTGCTGGACAGTCCTTATGGTTAGCTTGGAAGGGGCCGGAGCAGTTGGCGCACTTCGGTCTAGCTATGCAGGGCCCAGTCTCGTGGGATCCCGAGGGCCTGCTACAGTTGCTACAGAGCGGCTGTCGGTTACAGTATCGGTTCGAATGATATCCCTGGCATCCAGGGTCGTGTCTGATTAGGGTCTTCTTCTTTTGGATAAGCTGAGACCTGCTGCTTTGGTTAAACAGTCTGAAGGGTGGTACTTCCACAGAGAAGGAGATGACCCAGGAGACTTCGTTTGTAATAGGGTTTACACCTAGCCGGGACTGCTGGGCCCGGGTAGGCTTACGTCCTGTTTGGGCAAGGACCTCATCTTCTACCAGAGTAGCTGGGTCAAGGGCGTCGCCATCAAGAGTCCACATCTTAGCAGGGCAACGTGGGACGACGTAGGTAAACCACTTAGTAGGGGTCTCAACCTTATAGGCTCCGAGACACTCTGCTAGTTTCTGTTTGTTTGCAAGGAGGGCTTGCTGGACCTGCTTATTCAGGGGTCTCAGTGAGTAGCCAGTTGCAATATGGTAGATGTGTGGGATATCTGCCAGCTGGAGCCTAAGGGCCTGACAGACTGTCCGGCGTAGGGCGAAGGGGGCGTGCTTCCTAGCAGCCGCTAGGCCCTCTTCTGGGATACGGGTAAAGACCCGGAGGTCCTCCTTCGGTTGGGATAGAGCCTGGGCCCGCCGGCAACTATCGTTAAGGGTAGAATGATAAATTATTGAAATCTACTCCTCCCTCGACGTATACTCCCTGCGCTGTATATATATCTAAGCTGCTCCTTTGTTGCTTGGACTCCTTACTACCTCTAACTAGCCCCCATCCGGGAGGGCTCTGACAATATGTCTCAAATGGAAGCCGAGGGCGACTCTTTGAGAGCGACACCAAGGATAAATGACCGTCACCAGGCAAGTATTGAGCTGGACAATATCATTATCCAGATTCGTCAGCTTCTTAGCTTCGGCAACTTTTCACTTCCTCCACCAGTCGAGGAACTGAACGCTGGTGCATTTGCAGGGCCCATTATACTCATCGATGCCAGCAAACTTAGCTGCGATGTATTTCTGATTGATGCCGATGCCTTTTGATCGGTATGCCTTCCTGTGGCAGGTGCAGGTGGGTCACGTGAGGCAGCTCCTTCACATCTCGGAGCTGCCCCACCTACACCTTGCCCAGATATCCAGCCCAGCCAGCGCTCAGCTTTTCCCATCATCATCATCAGATCCAATACAGTAGTATTGCCTCCACAACAACAACAGGAGGGAAGGGGGGGGGGGGGGGGGGGGCGCTACATCGTCATGTGGGAAAAGGCGGGGGAATTAAAAAAGGCAAGTTTCGGTTAGTTATCCGGGGATACTGGCATTGGGACAAACGTGAAATTGCCAGGCTTAGTAAGACGCGTTACCCGCCCTGATCCCTGCCAGTCCCGCTATTACGAAAAAGACGGTGAACAGGCCCGTCATTCTTCAGGCGCCTCTATCGCTACCTTAGAGATCTACAACCTCAACTTCACCACAACATTTATAACGTGGCCAAAGTGCACCATCCAGAAACCATGCCTCGCAAAGGGAGTCAAAAGGTCAGGACAGGATGCATTACTTGCAAGTAAGTCCGCGTTGAGCCCGCGTTGAGCCCGCGTTTGCGCCTTGCGACTCGCATAATGTCACGAAAGAGGTATAGCAGTGGATATCTCAGGGGTAGAGATAAGGGGTAGACAGGGGTATGGGCATACAAAAGGGGCTCCCTCGAGGGCTTCCCTTTTCCCCTTTCCATAGTTGATTAGACCACAGTTGAGATCCCGATTTCCATGAGCTACTCTATATGCTGATTCGTGACACATAAGCTGAGCTGATAATATACGAGAGTCCGGAAAGTCAAGTGCGATGAAACCAAACCAAGCTGCTCTCGCTGTACAACCACTGGTCGCGTTTGTGACGGTCACGGTCCACGAGTCGACCGTCCACGCCAGTCCACTCTTGAAGGAGTGGCTTCCCTGCATCAGCCACATATTGTCTTCCCAGGTACAACGGCCAAGGAGGGACGCGCTTTACAGTACTTCTGCGAGACTGCCGGGCCCGCCATGTCAGGTACTTTGGACCCCTACTTCTGGACGCACCTTGTCATGCAGCTCGGTGCCAATGAGCCCGCGGTCAAGCACGCTCTTGTCGCGATAAGTGTTCTCTTCGAGCAAGCCGACGGTTCGCAGGAAGACATCACTGCGGGCCAGCGACTCGCCCACCAGAGACAGGGTTTGCACCATTACAATGCAGCGATCCGGGAACTCAAGACTAAGGACTTGAAGGAGAAGCAGAGTGTTGTGCTTGTGGTCTGCCTTCTATTCATATGCATCGAGGCCTTGCGGTCAGATGTGCAGTCGGCTGTACGGCACGGTCGACACGGGATCGAAATCTTAAAAGCCGCCTTGCCTAACAGCGGGTGGATCAAAGATCACTTGCTGCCCATTTTCCGCCGCTTAAGCGTGTCAGCCTTTTACTTCAGCGATAACGACGGCATATTTCTCGACATGCCCGATTTGTGGGAGCCTGCGCCCCGCTCCTTTACGACGGTGTACGATGCACAGCGCATGTTTGATGTCATCATCGCCCGGATATCGCACCTAACGCTCGTCATTGCCCAGTCAGGACAGAAAACAGATGCAGACCAAGAGGGAACCAGAACACAAGCCTCTGATTCTGACGAGCATCGGGCTGAACAAGCTATCGTCAAGAATCTTTTCGAGAAATTGCTGTATCTATTTGCTCAGCTCATCGCCAGAATACATCATGTTGATGCGAGTGGGAAACGCCTGAGCTCCCACGAGCAATACCAAAAGAAGAAGATGCAAGTGTTCATGCTGACTCGCTACGAGGCCGCTCGAATCTGGATAGAGATGGCATTTGAGGGAGAAACGCCCAGAACCAGGGACAAGTTCCTTCCTAACTTTCAGAGGGTGCTTAAGCAACTTCAATGGCTCCAGTCCCAGATGCCACAGGTTGTCCAGGCTGCCACCAGTCAGCAGTCACCGCAGTTTATGTTCGAAATGGGTTTCACCGCCATCATCTTCTACTTTGTGTCCGTATTTCCTTACCCCGAAATGAGGCTCGACTTCTTAAGGTTAATGCAACTCTTCGGACTTCCGAAAGAGAACCTCTGGGATCGAGACGTTTTAATGGCAGCGGAGAGGAAGATTATCGAAGATGAGAACGGCATTAAGCTGGAAGGCTCTGAGTGGCCGTTCACGCTGCTCTCAGACCCGGGCTCCCTCAAAAATGTTATGGTAGAGGGTTCATCAAAATCTTCACGGCCTTTCTTATTGCCGCCAGCGGGTTCTGACTCTCTCATTGATGATTCCGCTTCCTTTGTCTTCAATAAGACACTACAGTCACATCCCTGGTGTTCTATGCCTTGGAGCATTGAGATAGGTTCACGAGAAAGTGTGGATCAATAAACACAAGTGCTCCATTAGATAGGAGATGTTGAGGCTCATCATCTAAAGTGCCTATGAATTGATGGTTTCAAGAAATCACAACATTCATCTTGAAAGGTCTTTGTGCATGTAATATGTCACACTTCGAGGAGGATTGTCTAGAGCTGGGTTTACCACAGCTTGTGGCTAAGCCCAAAATCTAAGACTGCTGAACTATAAAGAGGCTAGCGGTAAAGAGGAAAATCGAGGCCACGGGACAGCTTCTTAGCCAGCTAGGTGGACAGCAGCAACCGATTGTAAGAACCTATCAGAGTAACACCATGCCATATTACCAGGCACCATAACACGGCAATAGCTTCAAAATGGCGTCTATTGAGCTCGGCCAGGAGACAAAACAATATGAATAATTTATCCCACCAGCTCCTTACCTTTAAAAACATTATGAAAGGTTCATATTGGTAGCAGAGCTTAGCAATCCACTATATTACCCCCACTTCACATCGATCAATGGGTATGGTACTGAGCAGCCTCTAGCACAGTCAATCGAGGTAACAGACCGAGGCTACTGACCTCTCCACAGCAAGAACGGCCAGCGGCAATTCTTCACTGCTCGCCGTAGTATATCTTGACATGAATATCTGCCAACCCTTGAGTACCGGCTAATGAGGAACTCTAAAGTAGCTTAGCCTTGGAGTTAACGCAGACGCAGAGGCTGTTGCTAACTTTAAGCCTGAAAATCGACCTTCAGCCGTGCAGAGTAAGCTAGCATTGGGGGTAGACTCCATCACACGCCTCACTTATTCCAATGTCTTACCGCGAATGAGTCTTAAAACACTAACTGCGCGCTCGTTGGGATTGGACTGCCACTTTTCGCTCTCCCAAGTCACTTGTACTGACTTGCATAAGGTAATACAAGGACCTTGTCAGATGGCAATGTCTTTGGGGACCTACCTGACGACGATAATCTGTACTGATACTCCGCGGTTCCAAAGAAATACACCCTCTCCCCCCGCTCCCTCGCGCGCCCGCATGTCAAAGGCCCAGCCTCATCTAGACTGAGACTGTTTTGCTTATCACAGGAGAAAGATATCTCGGTGTGGTAAATTAGTACACGAGTCATTACAATTCGAATCTCACAGCATCTTTCGAACTTATTCTGCACATCAAAGGTGACACGTGCCGAAATAATACACGGATAAGCATGCTCTTTCCACCAATTCACGGCGTCACGAAATACCCAAAGATGTTGCGGGTGTAGATCCCACCGGAAGGGCAATGGCCGTTGGTTCCACATGACCGGCATCCGAGTCGTGAACTGGAGCAAAAGCCCTGTGTCGCTAGGAACAGGGCTAATCCCACTTCAGGACTGTCGGGAGGTTTTCTTTCAAGATAACCCTGATTGGTGGAAGATCAAAAATTCCCCTATCAGCCTTTGCGTGCCCCGAAGCAGTTCTAGGCTAATTATTTCAGTTCAAAACGCTGTAGTCAATCATATCTCTTCTATTGGGAAACTGGGGGTATCCGTATTCATACTCTGGTCGAAGGGGGACATTTCCTTACTTGAGTCAATTAGCTCGTGCGGGTTTCTCAACCCCTTCCTTTTAGTCAACCATTTCCACCAGATGCGGCTATCCCATTAACTGCGGAATGGCGTTAGTACAAACATCTCCATATCTTCTTCAAATCCCTTCAGTCCGTAACGGAAAAGGAGAAAAAGATTCGGAGATGTAACGGGGATATATAGATACGTATATTTTTTTGTCTTGGCACCATCCCGCAGTTGATGGAATCAATAGATGAGTCGAGAACAATGCTCTTAGGCCCGAGGCCCCGTGATCGGCAGCTTTGCATATGTTGGTTGCAGGCAAACCGTAGCCTCGCCGAGTGCGAGTGTGAAGTCCACCGTCCGCGTAGCATCGGACGGCGCTCAAAAAATCGCATATTCTGGGGCGACCCGAGCGCAAGCCTAATCTAAGCTAGCTGGCTCCTCGTGCTCATGATTATCTATCAGTGGCAGCACAAATGTTTCTTTCCCGAATGAACAGCTCCTTGACTCGTGCTTAGTGTGTCTTCCTGGACCCTGCAATCTACAAGATCGGACGAATGAGCAGCAAAGAGCAAAGCCCTTGCTTAATTGGATTTGCCGTATTGCTCACAGTCAAAGCCCATGTTGGCAATTCTGACGGCACAGGAGATTGGCCCCTTGGAGCACGTGGGCAAGAACATACCCTGGTCGGGTGGGACCCGAGCTTGTCGGACAGAGGTCTTCAATCGCCTGGTCTCACCTCGTCACAGACCCTACACCCCGCAAAACTGGATCTGGCCAGAGTTGACAGCAAAGCTTGGCATGCAGGGCCGGCACAACGGCTCTGAAGTTAAGTTGTATTGCTACGTAAGCTACGTGAGGACTGCAGGCATGCCAGCGCACCTACGGGGGAAATCAAAAGCTTAGCAATCAGAAGACACATGGACATCTACGCCTACTCTTATCCCTCTTGAGGCCCAGATTTCCCACGTCCCATATCTATTGATTACAGAGCTACGGGTTCTACTAAAGTCGTGAGCATAGTATAGGGAGTAGATAACGATAAGATAAGGAATGAAACTCTATGTGGCAAGAATGCATGGCGTGGCAATGGCCACGAATTTGCCTTTGGCCATCTCTCTAAACTCCCGGTGATGCCCAGTAAAAGTTGGCTTGTGCGCTGGTGTGAACTTTAATACGCCGACTCGTTAGGACGTAAACGAGTATCAAGGTCACAAGTCACATAATGGGATATTCAATGTTGCAATCGAATTTTACTATGCTGGTTTCAGGCTAATTACAGTCAAATAAGAGCAGATCCTGACGTCCAGAACATAATCCAACTAATACAAGATTAGGCTTGCACTGTCGAAACAAGAACTCCTGTCACGTCTTCAGCTCGCCTCAGCGCCCTCGGTACCGCACTTCTTCTCGCAGTAGTAGGTAATCTGAACGAGCACAATTGTCAGCACTGTTCACTCAATTTCAGCAGTTGGTTTGTCAGACCTCGTCTCCACCAATGTGCGAGGCGTCTGAGACGCACTGGAGACCATCGAAGTGACAGTCAGGGCAACTGTCCCATTGGTTGTTGCCAGTGTTGCGATTCTTGTAGTAGTTGCAGGCACACTGGGTTCCAGCAGTGTCGATCTCGTAGTCTGTCCAGGAACCGTAGGTTATCCCGTAGGGTGTACCGTTACCAGTGCTGCCACGCTGTCTATTCTTGACGCAGAGAGCTGCGTTATGCAGCTTGGCAAAAGCCCTAGAGTCGAGTCAGCATATCGACATAATTAATACATCCGCACAAAGCTAGTGTGCACATACACCGTGGCGAAGACGGCAAAAAAGGCAAGTGTAGAGATTTGCATCTTGATGTTGGGATCGAGAAATACAGTAAGATAGTTAGTGATGGGCACGAAGAATGCTCGGTCGAGCGGAAAAGATGAGGTTGATGTAGATATTTGAAACTGAGAGCGGGCTGGCTTTTCCCCAACAGAACAGCGAAACCACAGGTTGAAATACTCCTTCAGCCTGATATCCTGGAATGCATGGAAGTGAGTGATGGCGGTCTTCCTGAGATTATGAGGTTGGAATCTCGTAATATCATGATCCCTTGGCCTTTCCGCATGGAGGAGTTCGCAATCTATTAGATGCTGTCTACTGAAAGCATTACTCGCTCATCACACCGTCGGGTTCCACATTTTTAGATCCGTAGACGAATTGATGCACAGAGAAGTATTGTTTCCAACAGAAAGAAGCTTAGCGATCGCCATTTCTTTCTCGTGACGACTACTGAGTCGTGTTGGACCACGTATTGCTAACCTCGATTAAGCAAGTAGTTTGTTCTGGTATGAGAACTGCACTCCGGCAGCAATTACACGAGGTATTGGATATTGAATCCATGTGGGTAGGTCAACCTCCATCGGACCGTGCCCCTCACGACCTCAGCAACCATTTGTTGGAGCATGCCTACAGGGACCATGCCTGACTAGTGACAGACATTGGGACGAGCATAATCGTGAGCCCCCATAAATCCAACGATCATCAGAATAACACTGATCTTTCACTACCTTAGATGATTAGATGTCATTACATGATTACATGAATCGAGAATAAGAAGACATTCCGCTCCAAGAATCTCTATAAAGCCTCAGAATAATCCCACCAAGTACGATTGCTACCCTGACTCTCATCCTCATCCCATCCTCTTACATCAAATTCTCACCTGTGTCAATAGTTCTTGGTCTTTTCTCTCAAAATGGTTCCTGTCTGGATTGCCTTTCTCTCTGCATTCGCTGCTGCCGTCAGCGCTGCCCCCACTGTCATTGCCGACAGCAACGATGCTGCCCTCAACATTACCGACACCTTGGATCGCAACCTCCGCAATGGAGAAATCGTCGTTTTTGGAACGGGTGGTCGAAGTACGTGTGCCTCAATCTGTCTTATTGTCTCATGCTGACGCTACAACCCGATGTGTAGCTGCCATCATCACACAGGACACCTGGAAGCTTCTTTTGAAGGTCGAGGGCGTCGAGGCTGAGACTCCAGAGATTGATCATGACTTCCTTCGGGCTGGTGATGAGTTCTCGGAGATATCAGTGAACCACACAGATCTGGCTCTTGGAAAACGTGACTGCAACAGCAACTACCAAACCGTTATTGACCGGACTCAGCGCTTTGTTGACTGGGATGTCCAGATGTCCCCTGTTGTTATCGGTGCTGGCAGTCAGGGTATTGACATCACCATCTCCAAGTCATACTCTATTGCGAACAGCGTCCAGGTTTCTGCAGGCATTGATCTTGGTCTCATCACGGACCGGCTCTCGACTAGCTTTGGGATCAACTACTCGCGTACTTGGACTACAACCCAGGGCTACCTCATTCGCGGCACTATCGACAATGGCTATACGGGCGTCGTTATCACTCGTCCCTGGACTAACCGCAAATACGGCCGCACCTTCCAGGGCTGCGTTGGAAGTCTTCGACAGACTGGAACATTTATGGCTGACAGCCACGAAGTATGTAAACCCCTGCGTTGTGATCGAGCCAACTGAGGCTAATTGTTCACATCATAGGACGGCTCCTACGAGGGTGTTACCTGGGTCGGTGGTGCAATCACCGCTTGCATTAAGAGACAGAGTTCTATCCCGCTGTCACGGTGCAATGGCAGTGGTAACTTCAGATAATCAGCCTTCAGCGGTCTTTCGAAGGGGTCACCTTTATTAAGATAGTTTCGACTCATGGTTATCCAGAGCACATTTGCAACTATTTTCTCTATTGTAGTTCGCATGATATAACTTGGAAGTAAGGTATTGGAAGTGAGACGACTGCATTGATTGAGCGGGTATTACCTACCGTACCTTTACATGCTTTGCGAGCAAGGCTTGATCTGTTCATGGTTCTAATATAACAAACTCTATATCAGTTAGTCGTGCTCGAGTAATCAGCCGTGATAAACAATGTTGTCTTTTGGGTTCGCTCAGATGCCGTCTATGGAGCTCTTCCATGACTCAACTGTGCTCGAGGACTTCTTTCTGCTCGTTGCCGGAGTCAATATCGCGTGATGAATATTGACTTTCGCGGAAAACTTCTGTGTAGTACTATCCAGGTAACCCGGTGCTCGCAGTTGCTCCAAGCAGTTTACAGAACGAAGTGTGGTACAACGTGAGTCTACTTATCTATGGGCCTACTTTTGTGCTCCTATAATTGAGACCGGCGTACGCATCCCTTCAAGTGCTAGATAATGTCAAATTATATATCTCCGAATATCTCTAACTGTTAGAACTTTTGATTTGAGGATATAAGGGAAATAAGATTGGACTGATTTACAACTGGCTATTATCCCAGAATAGCAAACTTCCCTTTTTGTTGTGCTTTTGCTATCTCGCGCTTAGAGGAATAGATACCTCAGCAGCAGCCGCAAGGACGAAGAATATAATATACGTATCCTTGAATTTTTTGTTTCTAGTTTGAGTAGTTTTGGTTTCAACCAGTGACTAAGAAAAATGCCATCAATCTTTCCCCGCAGGACCCTCGCGGTTACTTGGTATCAATAGCCCGGCCGCCATCGAATCCCCAATCTTGATTTATGTCACATAGCGCAGGCCGCCACCCTGGAAAGAGACATCAATTTATTACTCAAATCTCACAGCCCTCATCATCTCATATTCCCTTCTCGAATAATCCGACTCAACCGGTGTTGTCATCCGTCCCCTCCGCCGCTTCTCAGAGCAACAAGTCTTCCTTTATTGAGAATCTGACGATGACGATATGGCCCAATGGTCTAAAAATAACTACAACCGTCAATATGAGATATGTATTATATCACACACTCGAATTGAGGTGTCATATTCTAAGAATTCAAGGTAGAATCTCTTCGTCATCCTTGACTATCTTTGTTGGTTGTACAGGGGCAGTATGGGCGTGGTCCGTTTGGGCCATTGCTGGTGACGAAGAAAACCAGTGTTTGTGGTCTACTATTCGGCGTAACGAAGGGAAAATGAGGGTCTAGCCAGATGGGCCAGATCCGTGGATTTATATACGTATAGGGGATGTTGGTCCAAGCTCTATTGCAGAATCCATCCTTTGCTCCACATGCGGTCCGACAGTCTTTGAGCTTCTGTAGCCCCAGCTTTGCCCAATTACTTTCGTTCTAGCCAGACAGGAGTCTTCTTCAAGTGATCGCAGTATCGCGGCATAAATAACGAAACATCTGGTTTCCGTCGTAGTTACTTAAAGCTGCACCCTTGCGGATGTAAATAGATCGACGCAGAGATCTTACTCCGTAGCGTTATGCTTACACCGACAGGCCCTTATGCCGATGTCAACCGCCAAAAGCTTGTCTTAGGAAATCATTTGGGAATCAAGGTAGCGTGAGTTCCAATTTTCTTGAGGCTGCGTACCAATAGAGTGGAACAGGAATTTTGGATGCGGTGCAATCACTGGGGAGCTATCTTTTCCGCGGGAAAGTTCGCCGAATACCGTGTAAGTCGTGCGGGAAACTTGTGCGGAAACCCTTTCGCCAGCACTTCGTCTTGTACCTTAGCTTCATCCGGAAAACTTGCATGGCTCACGAGTCAAACTACGGGGTTTTGGAATTTGATACTGAAAGGTAGTGTAAGAATGCCGGAAGATGGGGTCTATCATTTCGGTTTGTAACGGCAAGAGTGATGGCGATGAATAGGAGCACTACCTTGCGTCAAAGAATGATGTCGGGCAAATTCTTTTCAAGACGTTGTACGTCAGTCATAAGATCGTAATGGTCAACGCCGCTATCGCCGCTGTCGCCGTCTGGGAGCGCAGGCGCCTTCATAATGTCGACGCGATGAAGCTGGACGGCGCTTATGGGCAAGCCGGCGCTCTCGCGAACCTGCCACAAGGCCTCGGTGGCCATCGAAAGGTATCCCGCCGCCGGGAAGATGGCTGTGCCGCCTAGGCTGTGGTCCTTGAGCCAAGGTATGTCTCGGTGCCGGAGAACGTTGCGCCACACTTTGGCCCTCTCTGAGAGTCCGGGTACCCTGCGGCCCAGGAGGTCGTGCCGAGCGTGGCTTGGGGCGCGTTGTTCGATGATGGCTCGGGGTTCTGCCCAGTACCTCTTCGCGTAGTTCCATTGGTACGGGGGCAGGCCGACAAGCAGGTACTGCGTTTTGGGCTTCCTCATCGACCCTTTCGTGACGGCGGAGCCGTGGGTATTGCGATAGCTTTCGGCATTGACGTCTTGCAGGCTGACGGGGTAGCCAGCGAGGAAGAGTGCTCCGGCCAACGAGAGGAGCTGCTCCGTATCGTTCTTGTTTCGGATGAGGGACGGCACGTACTTCAACCGCTCCGCTTGGTTGGCCAAGCAGATCTGCTTAAAGGGACCCGATAGAGCGGCGTGCGGCCCAATTTCAAGCATCAACGTTACCGGTCTGAACCTCTCGTCTTCGCACACGACCTGGACGGCGTCATTGAAGCGGACTCTCTGGCGGAGATTGGCGCTCCAGTATCCCTGCGGCAAAGTCTCAGAGGTGATGAGGCTGCCCGAGACAGAAGATACCATGTCCGACCTTGGCCGGCGCCATTGCGAGTCGGCCGTCGTGAGGGTACGGAGTTCCGTGGCGAGGATGTCATCGTATACGGCGCCGACAGGGCCCATGTGCGGGGAGTGGTACGCCCTCCCCGTCTTCACCTCGCGAACAAAGATGCCGCGGGTCGTCAGATCTGCGCCAAGACGGGAGATCTCCTCGACCTGGCCGCTGAGCGTGACGCTGCTGGGGGAGTTCTCGCAGGCTATACAGACCCTGCCTGCGTCGTCGGGGAGAAACTCGGCGACTTGACCTGCTCCCAGGCCGACGGCCAGCATGGATCCTGGGGAAGAGGCTTCGCTCACCGCACGACCGCGGCAAAAGGCGGCGATGATGGCTTCGGGCGCACTGATTAGACCAGCCGCGTAGGCGGCGCCTATCTCGCCAGAGGAGTGTCCTACTGACACGGTGGGAGCGACTCCCCAGCGGGCAAGGAGGTCGATGATGGCGATCTGAACGGCGGTGCACAGCGGTTGGGCGACGTCGGGATCGTTGATACACGAGGCTGCATCCGCGTCCTCTCCGCCCGTGAGCATTTCGGCGATGCGGAACGTCGGCGGCGGATCGAGTCTCTGGAGAACGAGATCAAGCCTGTCAATGATGTCCATGATGAAGGGATAGTCCACTAAGGCATGTTTGAACATGCCTGTCCATTGAGCCTACATGCCCAGACTCGTCAGTCACATCCGTTGGGGGCGGGCACCAAGAAACTTGGCCGACTATTACTTACCCCTTGGCCGGTGAACAAGAACCCTACATTCGTGGCCGGTCGCTTGGGAACTGTCCCCTGCTGCAGAGCATCCCGGGCGAATGCTTCGCTAACCTGATTCTCTCTCGCAATGGTGAACGCCCTGTTGGAGAACATGGTGCGATGCAGATTCAGGGTGTGGGCAAGGTCAGCGACATAGTAGTCGGAGGCCACGGCCGATACCGCCTCGACATTCTTCCACAGAGTTGCGTTGTCGTGCGCGGATAGACACAGCAACAGAGGGACGGCGCAGCGATGGTCGTACGTCGCCACCCTCTTGGGTTGTCCATGCTGATACCAGGGGTACAACGCGTCGACAGACTCTATGATGATGTGGCCATTCGTTCCGCCATATCCAAAAGGACACGCTTGCTCTTCTAACGAGGCTGTTACGGCAGCCTGCAGGGACAACTCCGCCAAAACCCAAGGTTTGGAGTAAAAATAGCCAAGGGAGCCACAATTCGTTGATACAACCACGCCACCATACAGATACCTTTTTCATTAGCAGCATTGAGCACAACATGTAATTATTAGGGTCGGCTAAGCGAAAGTCCGCACACAACTGCAGAATGTCGCACGGAAACGTACGGAGGTAAGTAATTATACCTCCACCTGTTTCTTCACCTTTTTCCTCATCTTTTTCCTCACCTTTTTCCATCTCCATTTCGCAACATTCAGAAATGGCATATCAGTGTCCCAAGAGCAACAAAACTAATCATCTTATTGCCAAGACAGTCCTACAATGGACAACTTGTGCATTCTGTTCCCAAAACCTTTCTACTATTGAAGATTTAGTCATTGACCTTACTGCGGATGACGACTCTAACACCCAACCCTCCACATTGCTTTCAGCCGTTAAGCAAGAGTCACTTTACGTACCAACGGCTATGAACTTCCTCCAAGCCGCCCAGGAAGGCTCAAAACAGCGCGAGTCGAGTATCCAGAAAACAAAGAAGCCAACGAAAACCTCCCCAACTGTCCTGATCGGTATCCATCCGTGGGTTGCGACATACTATGAGACGGATGTTGACGGGATTCCTGTTACAACATACGTCCGCGTAGTATCGCCAAAGAAATTCTCTGGGAGCTGCTCGTTCTTCTTGACCACGTCGTACACATCACACTCCGACATGATGCGTTCAGTACTGTCAAAGTTTACAACAGAACGCCACTTTCTCAGTCGCAACTGGAAGGCTATGCCTGTTAACCCGAAGAATCTCACCGATATCCACGAATACCGAAGCGCTGCGTACGATGCCAACACCCTCAGCTTATTCTTTCACGAAGCCTCACTTCTTCCTGAAAGGGATATATATATGCTATCTCTTGTGTCTCTCTCACGTATTGAGGCGCCAGAGACCAGCCCAGAGGTTTCAAAGAAGCAACGTGCTATAAAGAAGTCAACAACAACAATTGCAGATCAGTTCCTCCAGGAGCAGGCTAGTAACCTTATATCTACACGCTCGCAGACAGGAGTTGAGCAAAAGCTTACCCCTAAGGCAAAGGAAGCAGCAGAGAGTACTAAAAAGCAAGGAGCTTCCCATAAGCGAGGGTATTCACAAGTTATTAATAGGGAGTATGAAGTCAAGAAGGAGAGTGTAGTAAAGGAGGAGATTTATGTAGCTACAAAGAAGGGGAAGGGTATAACTGAGGACCTGAGTACAGGTGAAGATGATAAGAAGTGATATATGGACTGCTATTCCATTCTTTACCTTCTAAACTACCTGTCTCCATATGTAAAAGTTCATCAACATTAATGCCATTTGCTTGTAGTCGTTGCTTAACCCAATTAACCCCACCTGTCTGCCTCTCAAGCAGTGAGATTTCTGGCTGAATACCTGACCTCTGATGCTGATTCAAGCGGTGCCGTAAGTAGTTATAGGCTTCAACCTGGGGATATTGATCTCCTTCAAACTGAGTAACTGGTGTGAAAGTATTTACACCGTCAAGGAGCTGCTTGCAAAGCTGGGACGTCTCTTGCGGTAAATAACTATGCAGAGCTGCCTCGTCATACTCCAATACGTCAAGTATAGTCTGGACCTTTAAAGAATCAACTGCACAAGCAAAATCCTGTGCAGTCTCCTTATCAAAGTTATGGTATAATTGCCAAGGTTGCCCAGGAACAACATTTGGCCGGCTCTTCTGTATGCGAATTCTGTGGTTATTCCACACTTCAACAAAGCTCTTGAAGTCCTCGCGGATTAAGGGCATAAATATGAATAATATTGCAACCCTATCAGCGAGAGAATTGGGACTAAACAACCCAAGCTGTTGTAGTCGGCCAAAGTATTCCTATTAAGTTAGTATAGATCCGTAAAAGTAGATAAAAAGAAGTAAGTACATACACGCCATTGTGCTGATGATGCCTGGCACAACTGTCCCCACCAGCTTTCAATCTTGACGTTATGGATGCTCTTGCCAAAGATCCAACAGTCATGAAACTGAATAGGTATGTTTTGGTCTGGTGCTTCGGGTTTCTTCTTGGTACGGTCTTGTGAAAGAAAGTAATGACCTCCAGCAGCCAGTACAGTCTCAACGCCGCGGTCTGACCGTACCTTTAAGGGCATAATATCCCGTTTCGACACTACATAGAGGTATTGGGCTAGTATAGCTCGCGCAGTATGCGCTTCAACCCCTACATAAAACCACACAATATACCGAGAATAGGCATCAATGCCTGCATATATCTCGAAGCCCCATGGGAGGAGCTTATCGTACGCATCAATTGACCAAATGTAATTAGGCCCAGGTGTTGTGTAGCCTTTTCGACGGTATCGTAGCTCGCGGAGACGGTTCTGTACTTCGTTGGGGAAAACTTCGCGGTAGGCTTCATATACAGCATCGCGGCTGATTACGTGGCCTTGTTGTCGCATGTAGGTATAGAGGAACTCGCGACCAAAGTTGCGGACTGTGCGGGCGCTGTCCTCGGCTGTACGGAAGTGCTCAACTGCTTTCCCATGGGCTACAGCAAGCTGCTCTTGTGATTGTCGTCGCCATAGTTTGTGGCATCTTCTGATATCAATCAGGCCACTTCGTGAGATTTGGTACCCCTCGTTCTGTAAGGCGCTGAGTATGTTACTATCGGTAAGTCGTTGGTTGAAAAATAACTCGAAGATGCGGCGGAGTAGGGAATCTGAAAAGGTGGTTCGGATCTCTCGGCGAAGTTCCCATCTTTGAAGTTGGCGCTCTAAGGTTCGAAGGGATACTTCAATAGATTCAGATTTATATAAGAAAGTAATAATTGCAGAATATTTCCAACCAGCTTCAAACTTTTCTGTGATTAGCTGGCGAAAAGGCTCAAGATTAATTGATGGACGAGGCATTGTTCTACAGACAATTACAGAACGGTACAAAAGTATGCAAAAAGATAAGATTGGGGTATCTGAAACCTGAAAAAACTCAAAAGTAGTGTGGGTCTATAAACCACTATATGTAGTTATAAGATGGTGCCCATGCTTGAAACCACCTGTTCTAAAACGCCTAGTTGCATAGTTCCGTTGGGTACTTGAACTTCCGATCGCTTCCGTGCGGTCGCTAAACTCCTTAATTGAGAAGAAAATCAACCTTATAGAGACGTACAATTATGGAATCAGACGAGCTTACTCGTAGTCAGAATCCACCTCAACGATCTCGACACTCTTAGCGGGATCTGTATGAGTTTGTAAGTATATATGCAGAAGGTGCAGAAGGTGCACAGGAGTATATGGGGGCGTACCATAAGAGACATCGTCGAGCTTCTCCGCGACATTCAGCAAGGCATTGCCCAGAAGCTTGAGCTGGTTGGGTCGAATGCCACGAATCATTACGAGAAAGTCGGCTTCTGCACGAGACATCTTGACTTTGCGAGGAGTCGTAAGGCTTGGGGTGCTGGTGCGCTTACCCTCCTTATCTTGTATAGTTAGCTACACATTCGAGAAGTGTACTTATAGTTGCGTAAACTTACAGAAGGTGCACTTGCTCGCACCACTGTTGTAGTGGCAGTTGCTGCAAGCACCGCCCTGTACAAGCTGGATACACTTCGTAAAGGGACCGTTACCCTTCATACAGCCAGCGCAGACAGCCGCACCCTCCTTCACGTCTCCGTACACATGAATGAGGATAGCCTCAGCGTTCTGCGAACGCTTGGGATCAAGCTTGCGGAAGCGCATGACCCCGTCGCTGATCTGGGAGCGAAGCTCGACCATGTTGTTGGCCTAGATATTATGTAAGAAAGTGTGTAGCTCCTGGAACGGGTTATATGGATCACGTACCTTGGACTGGCTCTTGGTTAGGTGCGTGAGGGTAGCTGAACCAGCGTTCTTAACTGCAACTAGTCGTATATATGAGTACAGTTCTGTAATACGTGAATGTTATTACATACTGGCAAGAGCGAACGCAGTGACCTGCTTTGGCTCAGCAGGGTACGCTGGAAGCGTAGTAGGAAGTTTCTTGCCCTTAGGCAATTGTACATTACCGATCTCTTCGGGGATGAGGCTCATGGTGACGTGCAGGGCTGTGTGCGGGTGTACGAGAGCGTGCGTATGTGTAGAAAAAAGTGAATGTTTTTGTGAAGAAATTGTCGCTTATGTTTACGTACTGCTGGATACGTATGGATGTGTCCTGAAATTCACAGAAGTCAGCTGAGGTCTGGAAAAAAAAAAAGATGCAGTAGCTTAGCAGGCGCAGCAGCGCAACTGCCTATGCAACCGCCCGCGTGGAAAAGAGCAGCATCTGAATCGCCTTAGCCTGGGGATTAGATGTAATGTATTAGATTTAGGGCATATAGAATGGATTATATTATCTATTGGGCAAAAGTTGGGGTTACTTACAAAAAGTTGAGTAGGCGTAGGGAAAAGAAGGCTATTGCAATGCCCAGCAGAAGCCTTCGTTAGATGCAGCGGAACTAGTCAGGCGGTGTGCAACGTCACATCACGTGAAGGAGGAATTGGGCCAATTATATCGCAGGGATCTGGCCGGCTAGATAACCGGGGGCACCTGCCCCATTTGCAGCGAATCAAAATAGTAGGTCTAAGTAATATTTATGATGTAGTATGTATTAATACGGGAGTTACCTTTGCGGCAGGAGGGGTATGTGCAGCACCTTCTGGGTTTTGGCGGAGTTGTCCCTGCAGGCTGCCGTAGCTGTCCTCGGGCCAGGGGAGTGTGTTGGCATTGACTCGTACATTCCAGTCTTCTTCCTTGACTTTGCGGGGGAAAAAAGAAAAAAGGTCCCACATTAGCTTTTTTCTTTCTTTCTTTTGCCAAGGTCTCTTCTCTCCCTTCTCCTCGGGCACGGAGTCCTATCTACGGGGCACATTACTCACTGTCAGGGTTGAGACGTTGCAAAAGGGCAACGCCGGGAATCAAGGCCGCCTCCGTCATCAGCGCCGCCTTCATCACAGCAAAAATACCACTGGCAGCTTCGCTATGGCCGATATTCGGCTTGAGCTACTCTATCGTCAGTATATGACCCATCTATGCTCTTTGTCAGGCTCGCATAAGTTTGCTTACCGCGCCGATGAGCAGCGGCTTCGACCTCGGTCTAGTGTCATTCATCGCTCGGGAGACAGCCTTGGCACAAAACAATCAGTCAAGACGACAAAAAGTCACGAAAGGAGCGACTTGTTCCAGATGCACACCTCGACCTCTATGGGATCCCCCACGGGGGTTCCCGTGCCGTGTAACTCTGCATAGACAGTGAGCCTGGGATCGAGCTTGGCCTTACTGTAGGCCATGCGGATGACTCGTTCTTGTCCGTCGATGCTCGGGTGGGTGATTCCCATGCCATCGACTCTTCCGTTGCTATCTGGTTGTCAGATTACTTCTTCACCGACCACTCCTGAGTTCGTCCGAGGATGGATAGACTCCGGTAAAACTTGTGAGTACACCTACGTGTTCACAGCCGAGGAGCGGATGACCCCTCTGATCGGGTCGCCGTCCCTGATAGCGTCTGAAAGGCGCTTCAAGAACAGCGCCCCAGCGCCTTCGGCCCTGCCGTAGCCATCGGCAGAAGCATCGAATGTATGGCACGTCGACGTCGGGGACAGGATACCCAGCTTGGCCGTGTTCATGTGTTGGTCGACCGTCATGATCAGGTTGACGCCCGCCGTGATTGCAGCGTCACAGTCCCGCATGCGAAGGGCATGGCAGCCATTGTGAATCGCGTACACGGAAGAGGAGCAGGCTGTGTTGATTGTGAAACTGTTCGCAACGCAGGCGTCAGGTCTATGGCTCTTCGTCCACATCTACCGTCTGACAGAGAGGGAGAAGGGTAGCAAGTCTCGAACCTGGGTCCTCTCAAGTTGAACATGTGTCCGATTCTGTTACTGATGATCCCGGGGTCTACGCCTGTCGCAGCATAGTTGTGACGGAAATCAGTGTCCCGCGTCGACATTTGCTCTATGTTTGGGCTTTTTGTCAGTTTGACGTAGCGCAAAGAATATTCTGGTTTTGGTCGAGGCTAGTACACGTACGATAGTCGGCCGTGAACGAGCCCACGAACACGGCCGTATTCGACCCCGAGATGCACTCCAACGTGATACCGGCCGAGACCAGGGACTCGTAGCACACCTCGAGTATCTTGCGCTGTTGGGGGTCCAGCCACTGTGCCTCCACCGGGGTGATGTTGAAGAAGGTCGGGTCGAAGTCCTCGGGACGCCCGTCCAGGAAGTAGCCCCCGGGGACGTTGAAGGAACCCGGCCTGTCGAGTCTCTCGTGGTAGTGGGCGTCGATGTTGAAGCGGCTCTCGGGTACCTTGGGGGTTTGCCCCGTGCGTTTGTCGACCAGCATTTGCCAGAAGGGTGATTCCGAGTCGACCTGTCCGGGTAGACGGCATCCTATGTGGTGAGGCATCAGCGGGTTGGAAACCATGGTGGCGCTGCTTTTGGAAAAGCGTGACTGTGGTCAAGACGACATACCCATTCCACAGATAGCTATGGGTTCTAGGGGTGAGTTCTCGCTGGCCTCACCCCCATAACCTACTCCAGTAGCACCAGGAGCCATTTTTTTGTGATTAGGGATGTCTGTTAGTAAGTGATTCTTAAAAGTATGTTATTTGTCTTTGATGATCTTGGGGTCGGGGGAAAGTAAAAAGCTGGAGGCGACTCTTGACTTCATTGGTGAACAACGTGGGTGTCAAGTCATATCCTTGTCGTAGATGTCTTCACAGCTCCATGCTTCTTTAACTCTCCCCAGACCTAATGTTACAACAATCTTGACGCATCCTTTGCACCGCGCTAATCTGAGTCTCGATTTCGTCACTTCAACCATATCCAGTTTCGGGCCGAGCTTGATTCATTTGGAAAGGAGGGCCCAGCCGTGAGGAATGCCTAAAGACGGATGTTGGTGTGCTCTCTGTAGCGGAACCAAGGCGGTCTTCCAACTGGACGCTCACCAAACATGTCTCCTCGCCACTACAAGCACGTCTTCCTGGGCCTCTCCGCCCTAGCTGTCATCCTTCTGTGGGGTATCAGCCTCCTGAATGGAACCGTCACTGCCTTGTTCAAGGCCGTTTGGGCGGCACAGCTTAGTCCTCTCGTGCCGCTCGCCAACGATTACACTGGACTTCCCTTGATCGACTATCCTGTTGCTCTTCTTGTCGCTTTCTTCTTCCATGGCACGAATGGTTCGGACGAGGCTTATCAACTGTTCCTCCTCGATGCTTATTCCACATTACAGTCAGCCTTTGTGTGGATCTACGTTGAGAGTTTCCGTGACGATTATCAGTCACTTTCACTCCTTAACCAGTAAGCTGATATGTTCAAACGAAATACGATGCCCCGAGTTAACCCAAGTCAATGATCCCAGGCCCATCATTTTCGGCATCCTTGGCAATGCTTCGGAGGAGCCATCTCTCTGCCGTTGTATTATTCCCTGCATGTCTCGCGGTTTTCGGACAAGGGCAGAGTTATCCAGGCACATCAGCTCGGCCAGGCCCGAGCACTACCTTTTAGCTTCCTTCTCGGCGCGATTGTTCCAGCTCTTGTCGGTATGGCTCCCGTATGGCTAGGCCCGGACGCTCGCTCCGCGAGGCAACACCAAGTCGTTCTCGCAGCGTGGCAACCCGATCTGGTCTGGGTCTCTGTTTTGCAGATGGCTGGAAGCAAGATCGTGTCGTATTGGTGGCCTCCCCGCCGTACCACCGATGCCAAGTCCGCAGTCAGGCGGTGGGTCCTCGCGGCTTACCTTCTTTCCGCCGCGGTGTCTGCCTCGGGTCACCTCTACACTCTTGTGTGCGTGATGAGCAGAGAGGAAGAGTCTACCAACCTCTGGCGGATGTACGTGCCTCTGCCCGGATTCCTTCATGGCCCGGACGGACCCGCCGCCAACGTCTTGAAGCGGGGCCCGTGGCTATTCCTACAGTACGACCTCATTATCATCAGCCTGTCTAGCCTCTTGTGGGCTTACAGCATTTTGTCAGCGCACAAAAGCACGTCCGAACCGCCTAAGATCCTGGCTCTCCTTTTTGGAGCGTTTGCGGTTGGCCCCGGAGCGACGGTTTCCTTCATCTTGTACACAAGAGAGCGGAAGTATGGAGTATATGGAAACGCAGAAGGGTCCACGAAGTGTGTCCGATAGTCTGGTTAAAGTGAACGATGGAAGAAATCATTTCAGCAGGATTTCGTAACAGTATTATTATCTTTACACGGACGAAATGATTCACGCGAAGTGGCGGCGGTGTTTTCTTTTTCTATACAACTCTTCGTAACCTGGTTTAGCTCGTGAGGACTTTTGAACACAGTTTTGAGGGCGAGAAATTAGCTATTTTCGGTATACATAATGTGCTCAGTAGCGGAAACGTGAAGAAAATCCCGCAGTAAACTTCCTTTTCAACCGTCTACAGAGTATTCTCTATTCTTCTATTGGTATGTGGGCGACTCGCTGTTCCAAGTGTAATAGAAAGCCTGTAAGAATTCGGTCATGTAGACACCTAAGAAATCCTGAGAAGGTTGGCTCTGATCTCAGGTGAGTTGATCCAAGGGGAACGACAACCCTGAGTCCGGGTAGTCCGGGCCGATACGCTATCATCAACCCCGAAGAGCACTCAAATGTTCCATGTCGAAGAATAGCAGGTTTCCTACTCGGGCCGAGAGTCGGATTTGAGAACGGGTGATTCCGATCCTAAGGAACGCCGCGTTCGAACAACATCAGATCTTTCTCCGGCACTAGAACAGCCTTGGCAAAGTACTGGATGCTCTCGAACCGGAGATTTGCAAGTCACAAAGACGTGTTGAACTTGAGTCTACGGAAAGAATTTTCGAGCGAATGTTCTCAACGGGTCCGAAAACATCTTTTCCCTCCAAGCTAGTAACTGCCTAGACATAACCGATCACGAAATAAGAAATGAAGCAAGAGAAAATTCTGAAAGTTGATGTGGCAATCATCGGGGCAGGTAAGGAAGCGCTTCCGTCCTTCGGACATCAAAGTTGACAAGGGGGACAGGATGGTACGGCCTCGCGGCAGCCAGAACGTATTTGAAGTTACAACCAACTGTGAATCTTCTCATCATTGATTCAGACAGTACCGTAGGAGGGGTTTGGAGCAAAGCGAGACTGTATCAAACCTGGTAGCTCAAGTGAAGATCGGGGTAAGTTGCTCGTCGGTTCCAGGCCAAAGTCCAACGCTTTTCAAGAGACCACCATCTCACAGTAAGGAAAAATATTCCAGCTGTTCAACTATTCCGACAAGCCTATGCGGCCACACGGTGGTAACCCCAATGATCCCCGAGTCACAGGGGAGATGATTCATGGTTATCTCCAGGAGTATGCCGAAGACCACGACCTCATTCGGCGAATCCGATTCAACACATTTGTCGAGACGGCTACCAAGTGCGACAGAGGCTGGCGGCTTGCATTGCAGTCGTTCGATGACGTGGTGGAAACACAAAAGCTGTTGGTGGCCACCGGCGTTACATCCATTCCGTTCATGCCGAATCTGTCTATCGCTTCGGCGGAGCCGATTCCGCTCATTCATTCCAAAGACTTGGGGTCCCTTTATGAAAAGGTGTCCGACCCCGGAGTCCAGAATGTCGTCGTGGTAGGCGCAGCCAAGTCGGCCTACGACGCTGTCTATCTCCTCTTAACCATGGGCAAAAAGGTAACATGGCTAATCAGGAGTCAAGGCGGGGGGCCCCTTGCAATCCTGCCATTCAAGATACTCAATCTGGTGAACTCGATTGCATTCGCTTCAACCCGGCTCATGACGCATCTTTCCCCTTCGATCCTCAACACGCAGGGTGTCGCGTACTGGTTCTTTCAACGGACGTTCATTGGACTCTGGTTTGTCTCGGTATTCTGGAGCTTTTTGGACTATATCAGCGGATTACATGCCGGATACGGAGCTGGGGATCATGTTCAGATGCTCACCCCCGAGATAGATCGTCAAAGGCGAGTAGTTTGAAGACCAAGAGAGGATGAACTTAGCTACACATGCTGACCACCGGCACAGCGTCTTCTGGGCTCACTCTGGCCTCGGGGTTGTCACGCTACCGAACTTTTGGGAAACATTACACGCAAAAAGCCTCAACATCCGTCGCGACGAGATCAAAAGTTTGGAAAGTAACGGCGTCGTTCTGAAGTCGGGTCTCTCTCATAGCGCGGATCTCGTCGTAATGTGTACGGGCTGGGCAGACCACTTTACGATGTTCAACACAGACCAGAAAGCGATGATAGGCCTGCCCGAGTACGGAGTCGATACCTACTCGTCGAAGTCGGACGCCGAGGGTCAACGCAACCCATCGGCCATCAACTGGGAGAGCTACGACATGGCTGCCGATCGAGAAGTCGATGCGAGGCTGCCATTCATCATTAACAGGCCAAAACTGAAATTTGCTTCGAGACTTGACCCTCGGACCCAGAAGAAGTGGCGATTATACAAGCGCGCGATTCCGGTGGAGATGGCGCTGAAAGGCGACCGCTCGCTCGTTATTCTCGGCCAAATACACACAATCCAGACGCCGCTCGTGTCGGAAGTCCAGTCACTCTGGGCCATTCATTATCTTCAAGGGGAGTTGCCAGTTCCCGACCTCGACACGATGGCTACTGAGGTGGCTTTGTGGAACGCCTGGACACGGAAGCGGTATTTAAATCAAGGCCAAAAGTTTCCGTACTCCTTGTACGATTTCCTTCCGGTAAGTCGCGGCTTTGCAAAGGGATCAATGACAACCTCTAATATTCTGTGCTATGTATTGTCTTTCTTCAACTGACAGCTAGTCATAAATAGTACGTTGATAGCTTGTTCAAAGACTTGGGACTGAACAGCCGTCGCAAAACCAACCCGGTGTCTGAGATGCTGGTTTCTTACCGGCCGAACGACTTTAGAGGCTTCGTTAACAAGTACATGGATCAAATTCAGCGGAAGCGGGTGAGGTCTGGGGAGCGAGGATGAAATATGGCGCCATCCTGGGCCGATCATTCAGCCAAGATCTGGAGCCAAGGGTACACTATGATACCTGAGAAATAGCAAAACAAGTTTCGATAGATGGAATCAAGAATCCGTGACCTTTAATAGTGCATTGTACACCAGACACTTATATAAACCTCTCGACAATGGCATAAAGTTCAAGGAACCTATTGTGAGAGCCTCAAAGTCAAACACCGGGAACGCCTTGCAATCAATTACGTTGCCATTATCCACGAGTCATGGATGAGTTCTCGTTTCATTATTCGCATGCTAACAGATCCATCCACCATCTACTGGGACTACCACGCCGTTGACGAAACCACTTTCTGGACTAAGGAGAAAGGCAACCACTTCTGCGACCTCTTGGGCACTTCCCTTACGACCAAGTGCACCCGGGTCGCCTTCCCCAAACCCGGGAAAGTCGCCGGGTCCCATGGCCTCGTAGATCTGGGTCACCATGGGATGCTACAAAGCGCACTGGGAGCTCGACGTATTGCATAACATCCCAGATCGGCTCTTGGACCCATGGAGAATATTGATTGGCGAAAAGGAGGCTGCTTTTGAGAGGAAGCTGCTGCAAGCTTCGTATCATCTTGTACACGATGCCGTCGCGGAGCTTGAGCGTGAAGAGCACGGCAACAACTGGGCCTGGCACCACTGGATCTTCTACCGCTGGATGAAGGCCGTGGTAGATCTCGGCAAAAGCGGAGCCATCCACCCACGAAGCCCGTCCTGGCCAAAGTCTGGACGAGGCATCAAAAATCTCCTTTATGACGAGTTGAGCGACAGCAACGCGTGCGGACGTCTGCTGGTACGGGTGGGCCGGCAGCTAACGAACATCGTCCGCGGGAGCGTGACACCGCTGGAGCTGATGATGGAGGACAATCTTCTCAACCAATATTACATGAACATCCCGAGGCTGAAAGACCGCACATACGTACACCTCAGGAAAATTGTTGAACTCTACGCCGTCAAGAACCCCGGAGCCAAAGTCCTCGAGATCGGCGGCGGTACGGGAGGCGCTACTGAGATTGTCCTGCAGTCGTTCGGCGCGAGGGGCAACGGTTCGGCTTCCCTCCTCGATCATTATACCTTTACCGACATCTCTTCCGGGTTCTTTGAGGCGGCGAGGAAAAAGCTGGCGCCGTGGACATCTATGATGACTTTGCAGACGCTGGACATTGAGCGAGACCCCTCGGAGCAGCGTTTCGCCGTCGGGACGTACGATCTCGTTGTCGCGTTTATGGTGCTCCATGCCACGAAGAACCTACGAAACACCATGGCCAACGTCCGCAAGCTTCTAAAACCAGGCGGAACCCTTCTCATGATCGAGACGACCCAAGATCGTCTCGACATACAACTCATCTTTGGCACTGTGCCTGGATGGTGGCTGAGCGAAGAACCAGAGCGCAACATGAGTCCAAATGTCTCCCTGCAGGTTTGGGATAGAGCCCTCAAGGAGACGGGCTTCAGCGGGATCGACAGCCACATAGGTGATTGCGAGCAGCATACTGTAAGGCTCTTGACGCAATCACCTTGTTGCCAAATCCTTGCGTTCGTAGAGCCGTGACTAGGGAACGCCGTGCGGCATCCAGTTGCGGCGCCATGATGATAGCTGGCATCACGGCGCCGTTTCCGATTGACAAGAAGGAAGACCGATGGCAACCCGGCCTGGGTAGAGGAGATGGGAGGCCAGCGATTGTTGGTCAGGCCAGGTCCATACGGCCTACAAGCCGTTTCTGGCTGTATTTATTATTTACTCTTTCCAATTCTGACTAAATATGGCTATTTCTGGCTCTGTTAACTCCTGCGCCGTGAGTACTTGCTGGCTACGAGCATAAGCTGCGAGGCCCCATAAGCCACGGCTCCACACCACCAATATTAAAGGTGTTAACTATAAAATTTAGCGAAACCCATTTCAACTTTTACTGTATCTTGCCGTCCAACAAGCAGTGGATGGAGGGTTGTGGCTCCATGAGGGTCGGGCGCGGGATGAAGGGTGGCTCTCCGAGAGTTCCCGCTTCCCGCACGCCTCTGCCGTCCCCCCTTATGCATGTAAGCTGACTTGCCGTGAACATGTCCACGTCAATCGCTAGCAAATGCACTCAGATGCTCGTGCTCAGCGATACCCCTGGGGGTCTCGAGAACTCAACAGCAGGAAAAGCACTGTAGAGGCCAAGCAACTGCACTACAACGTGCATGTGTACTTTGGCTGAAACCTACCTTGGTTCCCTAGGGTGGTGTTGCCACTTGTACGGAATCCGAGCTACCAAAAAACAGCGCAGCAGCAAAATGCAGACCCCCGCGCCAATAACCTGCAATTTACCCGATGCTCGAAGCTATGCGATCATTCGACGGCTGACCGTGGCGTCCGTTGAAGAAGATACTACTTAACTAAAATATCGTCCACTTAGAACGATGTATTAGACAAAACCACCTAACTGTCGTTCTGAAACCTTTCTGACTTATTACCAAGCAGTAGGGGCTTTCACAGAAGGCGAGTTAGAGGAACATGAACAATATGTCGCGCCGGATGGCATGCAAGGTAAGAACCCAACAAGCTCCATGATTCAAGCACACGCCAATAGAGGCGACGAGAAAGGTATGCCGCGAGCGCAAGGTCCGTTGCGATGGCGAGCCCGAGTGCGGGAACTGCCGTCGTTCAGGCGACCCCTGTGTCTATCTCCCGACCAACAAGTCCACAAAGGCGGATATTTCACAATCCCTCGAGGCAATACAAGACCGGCTAGGTGAGTCCCTGCCAGGTCCAAAGCCCGTGCCAAACCGCCCCTCCCCCCCCCTCTTTGGCGAAATGCTGACCATACGATTTTGCTCGTAGAGAGAGCCGAGGCCTTTATCGAAATCCAGACGCAAGCGTTGCGACGCAACATGGCCCCTTACCGGCCGTACTCCGAGCCCCACCCGGATCTCCAAGGCATCGACCACCCGGACTTTTATTTCCCGGCAACAACGCAGGTCACAGCGGGAGACCCCGGAGCCAAGCATCGCGGCACGACCTTCCCCCGTTATGAGTCCCCGGAGAATGCCGAGGGTGACCTGTTTAGTAACCTGCCGACGCCGAGAACGGGGTCACGCAGCGACGCGTATCAGTTCCAGATGTACGACCTCATGTCCGGCCAGCCGCGTGAGACCGTGCCCGCCGTGTTCTCTAGGCCCCAAAGCGAGGCGGCGGTGGCGGCGCCCGTTCCAGCCGTGGCAAGATGCCCTCTACCCCCAGCCGCGGCAATGTGAAGTCAGCAGCCACAAGCGCAGCATCCCAGCCGGACCACGCCAACGCCTCACCAAACCTTGCTCCCTCGCCTGCGCAAGCGCTTCTTTCCCCGTCGCCTCCCGGCACAGAGGCCGTGGAAGAGCGCGGGCGGGTCCTGTGCGAGTTGAAGAGCTTCTCGACCGAGGTGTTCACCACGCAGGCGCAGATCGCCGCCGTCGCCGCAGCCACCGCTAACCTGATGGTCTGGCTGCGCCAGGCGCCCTGACAGAATTCGGAATTGTACCGTTGCGCCATATACAAAAGAGAGATCCCTCTACTGCATTTAGGTAGTTGTGGGTACATATAGTTTCCGTCACGCCCCTTGTCTCGTCCGGCGGCTTCACCAACGCGAACTACGGCGGTCAAATGGTGCGCGAAACGCTGGCCACGCTGGAGACACGGGTGCGGGAGCTGCAGGAGCTGGCTGAGACGGGTCACAGCGAGGCGTGGAAGCGCCTACGAAGCGGCCTCGAGGGCATGGAACCGGCCGACGTCGAGCTCAGGGCCCACGAGGACGAGCTGCAGAGCCAGCTGGCCGCCATTTCCAACTTCTTCAAGAACGAGTACAACGTCTCGAGCCCATTGCATGAGCAAGACGGTGGGATGTACACCCGTTCCGGCTGCCCCGGCCAAGCGTAGAATAACACAGGTGCCGCAGCGACTAGATATACAACATGCTAGAGAGGTGGTTTCTCGTATAACTCGGTCTCAAATACATGGTGGGATCAAGCGTCGTGCTGGACATCATATCAACAGTTCTAGATAGTTTAAATTTTACCGGCCAGTAGACAATACTATGCAACCCAGATCTTGGAATTTCTTTTCTCATTCGATCCTTGTCAGCTATTTCATCAACTGTGGTAAATAAGGCGTAATTGCTAGCCGGCAGTTACAAGTCCGTCTTTGTACGACACCAACCGTACTAGCATTGAATCTTTCTTGACTTGTCTTTTTTTTTCTCGGAGGGAGATGACCAATTAAAACTCATGCCAAAACGAAAAGAATTTCAAGGTCAAATCATAATCTCCAGCTTTTGTTCTTTTCTCATGAGCGAAAGATTATAATTGTAAGAGCCCGGAATACAACAATCGTCTTGGCTCATTGTAATCTGGACCTTTACTGAAAGCAGAATTGTATTCAATGACCAAAACAACCGCCAGCTGCTTCTGTTACCACCTCTAGGAAACTTCAGAACCAGTCTGTGAGCAGATAGGCTTCAGAGACGGGGGTTTGCTCGTCCTTTGCACCTAATCTGGCACCGAAGTCACAAGTGGCATTTTCTGATACAGCTGTAAGAGAGGCATCCGGTTCATTTGATTGGAATGTATTTACTTCCCATAGCATTCTAGTCAAAGTCCCATTCTAGACCTCTCCAAACAACAGCCATGGCCTTGATTGCAACTGAATGTCCATCACGCTCCGTAAGACTAACATACTCTAGGTTGGGGAAGCTGGCTCATTTTCTCACTCTCTCTATGAATAATCCCCGCGGATGACCTCCCGAAACACCCCTAATAAGAAAACTCCTGGCCAACGAGCTTCTCGCTCAGCTTCCACAGCTTCTCGGCCTCGACCGAGCTGGTGGCCCAAGGCTTGACAGTGTCCGTGAACGGGTCTGCGACGCGGCCGCTCAGTATGTACTGCCCATTACGCTCTGCAAAGAAATAACATCAGTTAGCCGGCCTCGGCAGAAGTGGAAAAGGACGTGGTTAGACTCACTGGACAGCTCGGGATCGAACGCGCGGTAGGCGAGGATGTTTGCGCCGACCTCAGGCGGGTCGGGCACGATGTTCATCTTGGACCAGTCTACAAAGCCAGGCATGTTGCCCAGCAGCCGGTCAAGGGCGACTGTTCACTCACGTCAGCTTGCATTCGTTGACAGAGAGGGGAAAGAGACGACGGTCGACTCCGTGGCTCTTGCGGGCTTCTCAACAGTGTGACGTACTCATGGACACGAAATCCTCGGTGGATTCTCCAAACATCTTTAGGTGGCTGCCGAGGTTACTCATGACAAGACCCGGGTGCGCGCTGAAGGCGGCCAGGTTGTGGCTTGACCCCAGCTTCTCGGCCAACGAAATGGCGTTCAGCATGACAGCCGTCTTGGACTGACCGTAGCTCTGCCACTTATTGTAGTTCTCTCCGTCCTAGACTCGAGGTAAGACGAGGCTTGCTAAGATAAGAGACAAAGAAAGAGGAACAAAAATAAAAACAAGAATGACGGCAGGGGAGAATCCCCACCTGGAAGTTATAGTCATCAAATCTGACCGGCCCCAGGCGGTGACCGTCGCTGGTGACGTTGACGACGGGCGGGGCAGGAGACTGTAGGATCTTTCCCATGATGAGGTTAGTGAAGAGGAAGGGGCCGAGGTAGTTGGTCACGAGCTGGCTGTCGAGGCCCTCGGGCGTTGCCTTCCAGTCAACGGCCATGACGGCGGCGTTGTTCACCAGCACATCGATGCGCGGGACGTCGTCCCAGCCGTTGACTGCGGCGGAGGCGGCCTTGACGCTGTCGAGCGACGCGAGATCCAGGTCCAGGACTCGGACCTCGACACCCGGGTTCTCCGACGAGACGGTCTGCGCCGTCTGGTCGACCTTGGTCCGGTTGCGGCCGGCAAGGATAAGGAGCGCGGGCTGCGCCTTGGCGATCCCCGTCACGAAGCCGGCGCCGACGCCACCCGGCGACACGCCTGTAGTGAGGATCACCTTGCCCTTGATCTGGGTGGCGTAGAGCGTGGCAAGCTCACCAACGGTTCTCTTATCGGTGTTCATGCCTGCGACCCTTCACGCCACATACCCCCCGGGAGGTCTGCCGCAAGGGCGGCTGCGCCCTTGCCGCCATGGCGTTAAATAGAACAACAACAATTATCGGTGTTCATTGTCACGGGCGTTCTGATACAAGCGAGTAGATAGACTAAGGCTTTGGGACGGCGATTCGGTACAAATTAACGCGAATGTGGTTGGTATAAGCTGACATGGGGTGCTTCTTGTTGGGTAACACTTCTTCCACATGTGTGTGTGTGTATACTCACAGGGAACTTATATACGGCAAACCGAGACGTTTGCCCAGCGCCAAGTTGGAAACCAACCCCCCGGCCCCTAAACGTCGGTGGAACAAACAACCGCCCGATCTAAGCTGCTGATAAATCATGGACGCATTTTCCTCCGTCCCTGTGTCACCCTGCAGGCTGTCTGTGTAGGACCCATGTCGCTGTTCTATCTTCTTTCGGTCAGTAGCCCCAGCGCCATCTGCAGCCTTGCGGCACGTTCTCTCCCAGATGAGGCTGTTGTCGAAGCGAGCCTCAGTCGATCCCCCAAGGAAACTCCTCCGCGGACTGCGTGAACCAATTAGCTGCTCTAAGTCCGAGTCTTGTCATCGTTGCATTCGGCCCGAGCCGGGAGGCCGGGGCTGCGCTAATCTTGTGACTTACATTGGGCGAACCAGATGGTGCAGCCTATGGCGGGCGTAGCCGGATATTTTCTCTCCCCCACTGTCAAGTTGGGATTGTTGACGCAGGGTGGAAGCTCTCAGAGGCCAACTGCAGTTAGGGGTAGAATGATGAATTACTGAAATCTGTTCCTCCCTCGACGTGTACTCCCTGCGCTGTATATGTATCTGAGCTGCTCCTTTGTTGCTTGGACTCCTTAGTACCTCTAACTAGCCCCTATCCGGGAGGGCTCTGACAATAGCGCCCGGCACGTCCTTTTGTTACCAGACGTTAAATACATCATCATCACCATAGTTCGTGCACTTATGGTGTGCCGTAGCCGCCGTGGTCCTGCGGGGCAGGCCCTGGACTTGGTCGTGCATGTTGGGTCGTAACACTATAAGGATAGCTCTAGTAGCTATCCTAGTTATAGTTAAGGGCCCCTTAGCTGTTAAGGGGGTTATTATTAGGGCGTCGGGCTAGCTTCCCGCAAGGCTAGGCCGGAGTAGCTGGGTCTCGGTTTCGTAGCGGCGTTTAGCCCTTGAGGATAGGGGCGGCTCTGAAGAGGGTCTAGAGCCTCGATTAGGGCCGGCCGAGGAGGCCGGTAACGATCTAGAGCCCGCTGGAGGCTACGAGGCCATCGCGGGAGGGCGCCGGAGGAGAGGTGAAGGGTTTTCAGCTATTAAGGATTTTGGTAGTAGCCTACTTATTATACTAATAGTAGATGCTAAGAAAAATTAGGCGAGAGGGAAGTCCGACCGCTTCATTCACGATATGACTAAGACCGTTTTTACCCTTCGTTCAGAGCTGTTCTATAGCTCCTGGGGCCGGCGAGGAGCTCGAGGAATATCGCATCGATTTATAACCTCACTCGCTGCAACTCGAAGGATGATGGGCAGCTTGGAGTCGAGAAAGTCACATGCTGCCGCTTTCAAAAAGAAAAAAAAGGATGTGGAACTCTTCTTCGATGAATTGCTTGTAATAAGTGTTTATGAGATCCCTTGTGTCCACGACAAGCGATAATGTAGCTAGCGCTTAGTTGACGGGGTTTCTTCTAAACGAGATAGGGTGCTCACGCTGAGGAACGACTCCCTTCGCCGTTTGGTATCCATGGTCATATTAAGGCGTCCATTAACGTGAAAATGGAACTCGAGTCCCAAGGAGCTGCAAATTTTGTCAGGCCACTTTCATGATGATGAAGATGGTTGTACTCTCAACAGAGTTGATCTTCCATGGCGATGAAGATTATGATTCTGAGAGGTCCCTGGGAGATGGGAACTAGCGCTTCCATACTCCCGTAGCTTTCCTGTTCAGTGAGGGAAGGTGAAGCAGCTTGACTGGTAGATGATTTAAATTTTCAATGACAATACTGTTCGACTTATCTACCTTAGCATGATGTGGTTGTTCTCTGTAAGCAGGAATGAGAATCTGAAACCGAAATGCATTCCGCTGAATGCCCATCACCGCTAATGTAACCAGTCATTTATCAGCAAGTATATCAATCGGTTGTATGTGCTTCGCTCTTCCTCTTGTTGTTCTGTTCCCGGATCTTCGCCATGGCGTGCGTGGTGAAGCCTGAAGCGGTGCGTGAGGCCCAGATTGAAAAAAATAAAATTTCAATTAGTGTCACCGCAAGCACCTGATTGGCAATCCGAAGTGGGTGCTTTAGCCACTCCACTAATTATCCAAACCTGTCCGGTTAGCTGCATGCGTGTGGTCTTCGCTGTCCAAGGCCATAGGACCGCACAACTTACTTTTGTCTCTGATCGCTTACACAAATTTGCCAATTTGCGAGCACATTTGCAATCGGAAAAAGTTGCAACATTTCTCAATCAGAGGTTTGAATCATAATAGTTTTCGAAACAACGAAGTGTCGACTTGTGTCCAGGACCTAAGCGACTTTGCCCTGCATCTAATCTGGGGAGTCATTCGAGCTGGGAGAAGAATATCCACAAGCGAAATAAGCAGCAACACGAACATCCACAACTCCCAGAAAGACCATCAAATGAATGGTGGCGGCACGTAAAATGGCTGTGACAGCCCGTCTCCTGGCGAAGAATTCAAAAGCGCGGCCAACACAAATGCTCAATCGTGGTGGCGCTTTCACGGAGCGGAAGTGGCGTCGCATCCTGAAGCCAAGATCAGCAATTGCCTAACCGTAGCCCGCTGACGTTTCGACGAGAGGTGCATCGCCATCTACCTCAAGTCACGGCCCTTTGAAAGGGTGGGAGCCCGCGCGGGGAGTATTTGCCATGCCTTCCTACTCAACCGCATTTGCTACGTTTCAATTGCGAGCACATGTACGATGGATATGATGCGCTTGCGCCAGGCCATCGTCAAACGTCTCTGATCCGAAAGTTGGAGACTGTCGTGGCACTGGGCACGGTTTGTCGATGAATTGCACGAAATTTAGATCATGGATTTCCCGCAGGATTGTTTGCTATGATCTTGCAAACCGAATTTCAGTCGCTTCCGCCCCCTTCCAAGTCCCAGTACACCCCCTAGAAATACAAGGACGATCATCCACCAAACAGTCCACTTGCGCTGTGGTGGTTTCCATCACAAATCCATCCGATTGGCGCGACGACCCACCATCCCCGGCCGTCAACGTAATCGTGGTATCGTACCATGCACTGCGAGTGAAGTCAGCTTAGTATTTATTCCCAGCTTTTTATCATTGAAACCAACCTCACTCAAGCTTTCTTCGCGGCGCGAGCACGCGCCATGCGTGCGACTCTGGCTGCTTTAAGCTTCTCCCTCTTCTCCTTGTTGGCGACTCTAACAGCACGCGCGTGCGCGGCTCGGGCTATCTTTGCCTGCTGAATATCGGCTGCGGTACCGGACATTTTGAAGATTGCTGTGTTACGAGGATAAATGGGAGATGTTGGGTGAGTTGTTGTAGAGAGGAGAATCACTTGACGCGCCGTCACGTCTCGACGCGTCAAGTTGAGCACGCCGGGGCTTACGGACCCCTTGCTGACTCGGCCTTAGCCACCGCGCCACACATCTCCCGCCACATCCTCCTGCCGACCAGATCCCGCTCCCAAAAGAAAAGTGGTGACTTTCCGCAAGTCGCTACAAAAGTAGTGACTTCATTTTCAAAGTCACCAAGAAAGTGGTACCTTATAAAGTCACTAAAATAATAGCGACTTACCAAAAAAGTAGCGACTTTACTTCAAAGTCACTAAGAAAGTAGCGACTTCGCGTCGAGAACGGGATGAATATGGATTTTATACCGTGCGGCTGGCGGAATCCGGCCTCTCAGATGCTCGCAGATTGCATAATTTTGCCGCAGTAGGAGGTAGAACTAGGGAACCTCCATTTCAGTGCGCTGTACCTGCTGTGGCCGCGATGAGTGTCACCGTGTCCCAGTCTTGTAGCACCGGATCAACCTGCCAGCGCAACAACGGCCCAGTAATTCAAGCGATGGGTTAGCGAGGGGAGGCCTAAAAGCATGGGGAGGCAGGGGGGTTAGCTCGGCAGATCTGGGTCATTACGGACGTGGGGACGGTGAACGTTAGCGTCTACGGCAGAACCACTCGATTTCGTGTTACCCTTCATCCCAGCCAGTACTGGTACCGGGCTCATTCCAAACCTGACATCACCAAACAAGCGCTCATACTGGATTGAATGTTTTGCGATAGTTAACCAGCCTATTCTATAGATGATTTGTTCTTTTACGCGTCATGCATGACCCATCGGCCTAACCCCTCTGGAAGCTGCTCAGGATACAGAAGAACATGACCCCAATCCTAGAACCAACTTTAGAGAATGACCCAGAGTTGAATGACGAGGAAAGAACTGAGAACTCTCACCAAGGAGGTGCTAATAGTTGCGGCGGAAAATGGGCGTAGCAACGCCCTCGCGCAAACAGAGCAGCTGCATGAGTGGTCATCACTTATCAGCTGGAAGGCTCCCTTTCCCGAATTTTCCAGTCTTGGAAAGTCTGGCGGACCAAATAAGTGAAAGTCACTGTCTCTGGCACACGCCGCATGCCTAGTGAGTTCCCGACCGGAAGCCGGGTTGATGCCACCGGAACCAAGGGCCAGTAACTTTCGAGGACCGGATCCAGATTCGGATCGGGATTTTTCACCAGGAACCATGGACCATTTGAGTGGTATACAGCCTCGGGCGGCGTCTCTTGAATCCATTCATCTCCACACATTATAATGGCCAAGACCACTCCTCGTACACCGAGTTGTCGACTATGTTCACAAGGTGCCTCAGTCACCTGAACTGAGCTCATCAACGCAATTAGTTCCGAGATTCACTTGAATCACATCGCAGACAATCGAGTAATAATCCTCTGCAGGCTCGGGTGGCACGCACTCGATCATGGTCTCACCGGTGAGGATAATCCATGTATTATGGCTTTGGCACACGCATGGACAAGTATCGTCTGCCCATCGGATTTTATCTGCTCTGAACGCCTGAATGTACCACTTCTCCTATGCTTGAATTCCAGACCTTGGGTATCACTATCCGTCCAACATTGTACACTTTCAAAACAACTCTTTTCGTCAGCCGCTTGGCGTTGCTCGGACTGCCGTCGAACGTGTCGGCCCGCTGCTTATTGATGCAGTTGGCATTCTGTCTGAAAGTCGCCGTCGTAAGATGACGCGGTGGACTTCAGACGGAAATCCAGAGGTTCTGAAATAACCTCGAACTCTCTCGTGACCCAGATTTTGCTCAAGGCCCTCTGTGTGACTAGCCAGACAATCGGGATAGAGGCGCAAACTGTTGCCAAGTTCACTTCAACCGTTGCAAACACAGCAGGCACACAGCCATACCAGGACGGGTCGAGCGTAGGGTATGTGCCTGCAGCCGTATTTGCGATGGAGACGAGGCGACTGACGCCAATGGCGACAACACTATCGAGATGATTAGCCACATCCACGCGACGCAAGCTGAATCCATGGTGTCTTCTCGTCTTGGAGGACTTACATGTCGCCGAGGACGAACAGGAAAACGATTCCGTAAATAGACCTCTTTTGAGCCGCGTGCCGCCAAGCCCAAGAAAGCGGTAGAACGCACACCAACACGTCGAGGACCATGTTCGTCGCAATGTGGCTAACGTAAGTTCTCCGGTAGATCCCCAGGGCTGATGAACCGAATCCCCAACGCGCTGTGGCCGGCTGCGTGAGAATCCATTGGGAAGAGACAGGATCGCAAGGAAACCAGGCGATGGTTGAGTACGCCAAGCCCCACATTGCCGTTATGACGTCGACAATCATGGTCAGTCTAAAAGACAGTGATCCAAACTCAAACATCGTGAGATATTGAGATAGCAAGGCTAATTTGATGAAAGTCGTGGCCATGCAGTACGCAGCGTTGCAAATGTAGAATGACTACCGCATGTTAGTAGCCGCGCTTCATCTTTCTTGCTCAAGACCAACCTTTATGAATGCCTCCATACCAATCAGGCCAAGGCCTGCAAATTGTTTACCCAGGCCATTGAACAGAGCTTGAAAGTCGTGTTAGATCACATCCGTCACCTCCGTTTGGGGGCAATGGGAATTACCTATGCACGTTGCCAGAGACAACAAAGTGGTTGTCATCTGAGTAAGAGAGAGACGAGACAGACAAGTCAGCATGCCGGAGCTAGAGGGATCAGGCTGTCTGAAGTTCATAATCACAACTTACCAACACTATTATAAGGAATCCATCGTCCCAGCCAGGTCGATGAACCACGCAGAACCGGATATACAGGCGGCCTAACCCACACACGTACGCGAGAATCTGTAGGCAAGCGTCAGATTCTCGTGTCAACCTGCAAGCAGTCTTCTACTGCAAGAAATATCCGACAAGGACAGTAGAATTGGTCGCTTACCAGGAACACAATGATGATGCCCAACGCAGCTGGCTGTCGATTTAGCAAAGGAGTTTCGTCGTGGGCGTTGTCCATTGTCGTAGACACTCTGATACAGCTTGTAGAAACAAAACAATGTTCTGAAGAGATTGGTCCACAAGATGACCAAGTAAAGTGTGTTGTCAGCGCGTGGAGTCTAGCCCTTCCAAGAAACAGACATCTTCCCTGGAAGCGGCTACGGAAGCGGTGTGTAAGCCAGGCGAGAAGGAACTGTTGGTATTCCTTTCACAGGGAATTTGGTTCGAACCGTAGGGTCCTGGGGGTGACGAAGTATCAATATCTCTGTATTGATTGATTCTGCGTAAGGAGTAGAAGGGAGATTCCAACCGGAGGTTGGGTGGGTAGTCAAGGTCTAAGTGTACCCCCTCGAGGTGGCCCATGCTCTGCCCCTACTCGCGGCCGAATTGGACTTCCAATCCGACAGGAACCCATTTATCTAAATGACAAGAATTGGGGTTAAGGCTCTTGATGATCCTTGCCAAAATGACAATCCGCCGATGATTTAAACTCCAGTATTTGTTTTGAGGAGTTCCACACAAAGTTTATACCAATGTAGGCATTAGCCCATTTTGGGATTCGCGTCGTTTCACAATTAGCTTTGGCATACCAGCCTTGTGCGTGCAACACGGCCCCTGAACTATGTCCAGCCGAACTATTGGGCATTCGGACGTTGCATCGGCATACAAAAGGGTCGGTCTCCGACATGCTAAAAGATTGGCTCATACGTTCTATGAGACATTCTGAAGGTGATGGTCTTGAGTTCTGGTCAAGGCTGGACTAATTTCAACATCACGGTTACATCGTAGCGATAGTCTCTCTTACGTTGTGACGGTAATGTCTCCACGATTCCGGCCAATCCGCCTGCTTCAGGATGCCCATCGTGATTGAAGAAAATGGTGTATGTCCTCATCAATAGCCGTCGCCTAACAGTCTCATCCGACAGAGATGAGAAGCACTTGGGAGCCTAATTCCACCAAAGTTCTCCGGCTTGGTGTGATGAGAAATCGAAAACATGAGGTCAATTTCGTCTTTGCCACAATGTTGCCGAGAGGAGACCTGATCATTGTGAGCTGTGATAAGTACGTTTTTGTCGATGGAATCCCTCGGCTAGGTAGTGCCCACAAAGAATTTGCCGAAGTTCATGTTGTAACGCTCGGTCTTTGGTTGCTTCGATTGACATCTCTTACCCGTCGCGGTCCGGTTCTGCGTGGCAATGCCACGGCTCTGTGTTCAGGTCAAGGGATGAGCTAGGGTGCTACAGCTCTTGGCCCCTGCGGAAACCATGCGGCAGCCTAACGTGCCCCGCAGAAATGGGCGTGGTGGAGATTATGTCGATTCTCGTTCGAGCATCCGCATAATGACAGTTGTGACATTGACCAACGCACGCTTATTCTTTATGACTGTAAGCTGGGTTTCTTTCCTTTCTTAGACCTGGAATCTAGGCTCGAATGTCCCCAGGCGCTGACTGACTGTCCTACAATCTACAAACAATGAGTGTGTGAATGTGCCCTGAGCCCTCAGAGATGGTGGTTCGCAGGCCTCTGGGTTGGACGTCGTAATCGGCGGCGAAGTGAGATAATGTAGGTAGACAAAACAGGTCGAAAACTTTGGCTGGGGGACCCGGGGGCGGAACGGAAGCGACTTGGTGGAGGCGGAGCCGGAAGGCGGCTTGAGCGTGCCTTGAGCCCCTCGCTCCGAACCTCCGAGGGGTGGATCGCCGCGCGAACATCCGGATGTGCCAAAAGGAAAGAAAGAAAGAAAGGAAGGGAAAAGCGCACTTAGTCAATTCCACTACATAATCATCACAAGAAATTGACAGAAGACAGATATTCTTAGATCCTTTAAACGTGTGTTGGTCAGGAGTGGCGTCAGATTGTGCGATGTGTTAACCAAAGGCAGCTTCGCAAGGAAAACACGTGCACAGTGAGTTGAGGAGGGTGTTTATGCACATTCGAAGGCCACAAACCACGCTTGATGGCCACGGTCTTTTGAAGTCAAATGCGCAAATCTTAAAAACTTCGAAATAAGCATAACTTGTATGTTTCATTATTTGAACCATCTGGTCCCCGGAAACTGTATGGATGTGCTGTGCAGCCTGCTTCCCGATTGCGATACCATTGAGAGATGGCTGGTCAATGTTCTGTCTCAATGATGAGATTATCAGCTAGGGAGTAATCACTGAGAGTTAAATCAACGATGTTTGAGGTCAATGCTGCGTTGTTGGTACTTGGTGCTAATGTGCTGCTTAAGAGCTTCGATGAGTCCTTCCCGGAATCCCGGATAGCAAAACTCCAAGGGACGTGGTTCATTGTGCAAGCGATGGTTCCCATCGGACTTTCCAGGCCTTGCTTGAGTAGAATCAACTACTGTGCTAGGATAGCGAACTATCTGGGTTAAATTGCCTTCCGAGATGCTTCTTCGTAGCAATTCGAACACAATTCCTTGTGTTTCATTATTTCCCTAACCAGACCTCCCCGACGAACTCTTTTTGAATTGAGCTGTGCCGTGCTTTCCGTGGCTGGAACAGTTCAGCAGGCCAGTGCGCCATCGTGTCGAGGGCTTACCTAATAAGTGCCCGAATTTGGGTCTGGCTTGGGCTGCCCAGGTCTTGGGCTTGTCCTTGGGCTGGCAGGTCTTGGCCCCAACACCTCCCCACATTGCCAACTTCCAAGCCATGCAGCCCTATCAGGTACCACTCCTTGGCCCCTTCTAGGTCTCTTGCCTGGACCCTGCATGGAGCATGTTAACTTCTTATGACCTCAGTGCTCACATCGGAGTGGGTATCCGTAGATACGGATACCTACTTTGCTCCTCGCCATCTCTCCTGTCATCTGACCTCACAGTGCAAATTCCACATCTTTCCATCACAACCCCACTTATTGCATCGCGAGGCCTTTGCCCCATCGCTCACCTGCGCCATGGAAGACATTGAGCAGCATAGTGAAGAGCACTCCTCGGAACCGTCTCTGCCGACGCAACAAGCCGCAATTTTCTGGACAATTCAGGAGCCACCAACGGCTGAGCTATGACGCCATCCCTCCACTGTTACCGTTTGTCGATTTGAGACTAGAAATCCTGCCGAAGCAGTCCCATACAGGGCAAGGAACACCCGCCGTCACTTGGCCATCTCGAAGACACACCCGCGATACCTCATCTTCCCCGCGCATGCGGCACGACCGCTGATGTATTCGACGCGTTCTGCATGTTTGCCAGTCACATCCCTGAAGGAGGTGGAGCTTTTAAACCCGTGGCCGTCGCCGCGGACACCTGTTGAACCGCCCGTGCCCGTTCCCGGAGCGGCATGGCGGTCGGAGACGCTATGTAGCAGATTGAAGCACCTGCGAGAAATTGGAACACTTGGACAAATCAAATGCTGGATCCCAGACATGAACTGACTTCTGGAGTTTGAAAATTTGGGCTGGCTCACACTTAGGACGAGGCGATGATATGCCCAAAAGAGGTACTTGATACCAAGCAGCTAGCCCACAAGGACTAGTACAGGTCATGCAGGCGCAAACGAAGAGTCTGATGGTTTTGACCAGTTCAAAACAACATCGCCTGACAATCAGACACGGAGACATCCACACCTATAGAGTACGAGGATAACCAGGGAGCCGTTTGCGAGTAATAGTCAGGGGAAAGGCGCCCGGGGGTTATGCAGCATGGCAGCATCCCCGACGGCCTATTCTCAGCGGATGAAATCCCCGAACACTCTTGCAAACAGAGCAAGCAGAACGGCGTTGCGGCTCCTTGCAGCAACGATCTTCTTCACTCTGGCTTCCAGGAGCACCTGCACGGCCAACGTAGGAAAGAAGCACCCACACCAACAGCGGTGGAGCCATGGCGACGTTGAGGCACTTCGTGACGGTAGGGACCAGGCCATATCCAGCAGCGCGGAACATTCAGACCTGCGTCAATGCTGCCAGCGTGAACGGATTGATCTTCAACGGCCGGCACAGATGGGTGCCACCACTCTGCCTGACTAATTATATTGCAAGGGTAGGAGCGAACAACACTTTGACCCCGTCCCCCACAACCATCATCATCATCAACCGCCAAGACGTGGCGCCTGAATTACCTATCAGTTCGAGCTTGGTGGGAAAGAGAGCAAAATCCGACGGCATTTGCGTGTCTCAAGCACCGGAACCTTGAACAAGAGGCCGGTCCTAATCAAACCTATCTGCGACAGCCAACGTGGACTGGCAGTGTTTCCATCGCCCTCCTAGAGACAAGAGTAAAGCAAGGCTACTACGATACATATAGCCAAATGCCGCGATCATTGCCTCGTCCATTCCTACTTCTCAACGGTAAATGTGCCAATGGTGAGCTTCAAGCGCCACTACTTGTCGCCCTACGCATGCCCTCCAAAAGCAAGAGAGAGTGGACAGCCCCGCTACGGCGCTATTTTCGCCTTTGACCACAGCCTGCATGTTGTCACTTGGACGGACGTGCTTTCCTGACTTCAATATTGACTCAGACGTTTCAACTTGTCATTGACCCTAAGTGTTGACAAAGCTAAGGACAAGAGACGCATCCCATGATGCAGACCGAATTCCGAACCTTGCCAGTTGGCACCGCGCAGCGACTAGCGGGTGGGATGGTCTTGGTCCTCTAACGAACAACCTAAATGGTGCTGCAGGGCTTGGGTCATACAATGCAGCTGATCATTGGCTGCTTAGAGAGAGGAAGGCAGTGCGGTGCTGCCTTCCATTCATATACGAGCGATTAGCACGCAGAGGGCGAGTGTGCAGCCACGCAATGCTTCCAGAGGTAGCAAACAGACACCAAGATACGTATGCGTGCTTCATACGGGGCTAACATGTTTGTTTGTTTGTTTTATATTTAACGCCATGGCGGCAGGCCTCCCGGAGGGTATGTGGCGTAGAGGGTCGTAGGCTCTAGCTATATACTATATAGTATATGCCGTATCCTGACGTCCTCCAAGTCTTGCTCGTGAGCTATTATATGTTCTATCTATCCTTAGTTCTTACTAGTAACTTAGTTCCGTTATAATTATCTAGTTTCTTAATAAAGGTAGTTTTGTTGAAGTGCGGAAGTGGAATTAGGCGGGTAATAGCTACTGTTTACCGTCACTTCCCGAGAATTGTTGTTGTTTAAGCTCATTACACGCGATGAAGTCTTCTGCACACTTGGCAGTCACAAGTCATGAGGTTGATTTGTCAGCGATACTGCTACGCCGCACAAGGCTGTCGATTAGGATGCCAACTCCTCCTCTCCGTCAGCAAGGAGAACGACGATCTCCGGCCTCATAACTCCCAGTTCTCGACAGCAGAGCATGAACACGTTGTCACAAGGAAAAACAAGTTTTGACGACGACATGATATGATACACCCCGACCCCGACGAGGCCCGACATTCACTTGCATTCGACAACTTGCGATGACGAGCTACCCTCAACCACGCCGTTTCGAGGACTTCCGTATCGCCGTGATATGCGCACTGCCCCGCGAATACGATGCCGTCATCCTGGCTTTCGACGAGATATGGAACGATGATAGAGATGGGCGCGGGCCCGCGCCCAGGCAATACAACAATCACACGCTGGGGTTGATTGGAGTTCATTATGTTGTTTTGGTTCTTCTCCCCAACATGGGAAAAGTCAGCGCAGCCAACGAGGTAGTCCGGCTCCGATCTATATATGTTGGGTTGGAGATAGCCTTCTTGACTAGGATTTGTGGGGGAGTGCCTAACCCGGGCACCGATCATGAAATGCTGCTTGGGGATGTGGTGATCGGCAAAAGCATCGTGCAGTATGACCTAGGCCGACAGTACCCTAGCAAGTTTCGCAGGAAAGACGGTATTAAAGACAACCTGAGCCGACTCAACAAAGACGTGCGTTCTTTTCTCGCCACCTACGAGACGCAACATGGCCGGAACGACTTACAGCGCCGGATCACCAAAGTCCTCACGCAAGTCCAACAGATGGCCATTAACGCACAAGACCAAATCTACTACGACCGTCCTGCAGCCGAAGAGGACTCACTTTTCAAGCCGGATTATCTTCACAGACACCGAGATCAGCTAGGCTATGGCTATAGCGAATCTACTACGTGTAACGAAGCGATTAAAGCGTCGTACGACGAGCTTAGATGCGATGTCGCACATCAAATAGTAAGAACACGACTGGAGTCTACGATGTTCGAGTCGCGAATATATATTGGGCGCATCGGCTCAGGTGATACGGTGATAAAATCAGGCGAACACCGGGACAGGGTTGCTCAAGAGCATAACATTATTGCCTTTGAGATGGAGGGGGCGGGCGTTTGGGAGGAGATCCCCGTGTGTTATTGTTAAGGGGGTATGTGACTACGCCGACAGTCACAAAAACAAGTCATGGCAGGACTTCGCCGCTGCAATGGCGGCCTCAGCAACAAAGGCTCTGATGGAGCGCTACGTGTGCAGGACTCCCAGGACAAACTGTACGTGACCAAATCCTAAGCCCTCAGCTGCTGCTAATGAACGATGGCTGATGTCAATTCAGCCGAACCTACTCCTACCATGTATACGCTTGCCCCTGTTTTGTCAGGCGTTGTAGGGGTGAGTCGCTTCGTTGGTAGAGACGACGAACTTGGATGTCTGCATGAGGCGCTGAAATGGACGGGTGAGCGCCGCAACGCCGTGCTGCAGGGTCTAGGTGGCATGGGAAAAACTCAGTTATCGATAGAGTATACGAAGCGGCATCGCAGCGACTACTCGGCCATGCTTTGGCTGAACGCAAGGGATGAGACATCACTGAAGCAAAGCTTACAACAAGCGGCGCAGCGAATCTTGCGGGAACACCCGACTATGGCGTATGTACAAAATGCCATGGTCAATCAGGACCTTGACGAGACGACGGAAGCAGTTAAGCGATGGCTGAGTGAAGCGAGGAACGACCGCTGGCTCGTTGTCTACGATAACTACGACGATGTCAGATTTGACCGCCGCGGCGATGCGGGTCAAAGTGCCCAATCTGTTGCGGAGCAGGGTGGGACTGCATCTGGCAACACAAGCCAACCGGAGGCAGCATATTCAAAGGCGTACGATATCCGTCCGTACTTTCCTGAAACCGACCACGGCGCCATCATCATCACAACCCGATCCTCAACAGTGAAACTCGGGCAGTTGATCCGGCTGAGTAAGCTAGGCGACGTCAATGACAGCTTGGCTATACTGGAGTCAACATCCAATCGTGCCCATCTGAGCCAGAGTAAGTGTTTCGAGCGAGCAGCGTAGGTGGGGCTGATTCATCGAAATAGATCCTGATGCTTATACGCTTGCGCGGCGACTTGACGGCCTTCCGCTTGCCCTGTCGACGGCTGGAGCGTACCTCAACCAAGTGTCGACGAGCTGCGCTGAGTATCTCCGGCTGTACGACGAATCATGGCTGCGATTACAGAGAGAGAGTCCACAGCTTCTGGATTACGATCAAGCGTTGTACTCGACGTGGGGTATCTCCTTCAACCTCATTCAGCAGCAAAGCAGAGGTGCAGCTACCCTCCTTCGACTTTGGGCATACTTCGATAACGAGGACCTATGGTACGAACTGCTGCAGGATATGGGTTCAGAGGGGCCGGTTTGGCTACAAGACATAACGAAAGACAACTTAATCTTCAACACAACAATGAGACTTCTTTACGAACATGGACTAGTAGAGGCGGACCTTACTATAAAAGAGACTAAGGGAGAGTCCCGAGGATACAGTGTGCATAGATATGTCCATGCGTGGATGATACACGTGCTGAACACGGGAGTCGACGAGGAGATGGCTTGGACAGCATTAAGGTGTATAGCATCACATGTCCCAAGCAAGGAGCAGCAAGAGTATTGGATAATACAAAGACGACTTTTACAACATTCAGACCGATGCATCACAAAGATACCGACAGATGCGGCGGAGGAAAAAGATGCATGGATGTTTCACGAACTAGGCAACCTCTACTCGGACCAGGGCCGACTTAAGGAGGCCGAGGCGATGTACGAGCGGGCTCTTCAAGGCAAGGAGAAGGCATGGGGACCAGACCACACGTCAACACTCGACACGGTCAACAATCTAGGCAACCTCTACTCGGACCAGGGCCGACTCAAAGAGGCCGAGGCGATGTACGAGCGGGCTCTTCAAGGCAAGGAGAAGGCATGGGGACCAGACCACACGTCAACACTCGACACGGTCAACAATCTAGGCCTCCTCTACAAGAACCAGGGCCGACTCAAAGAGGCCGAGGCGATGTACGAGCGGGCTCTTCAAGGCTACGAGAAGGCACTTGGAGCAGACGCCATAAAGACCTATATTCCTGCCTTGAACGCACTTCAAAATCTCGGCTCTTTGTTTGAGATGCTTGGCGAGAATAGCAAAGCTATCTCATACTACTCAAAAGCACAGAACGGCTTCTTATCCGTACTAGGGTCACAGAACGAACGGTGTACATATTTGTCTGAGAAAATAGGCTATTGCAGCTTGTTATACAAGAGATGGATGTTTCGCTTCGCGTACAGAAGCCAGGACGAGGGCTGAAAGCCAAATAGAAGACATTGAAGGGACATCTGAAGAGGCGCTAGACACGCTTAAGACTATCTTACATACTACTTACAGTAGAGCCATAATAATCATTACTGAGCCAATACACGCCCTTCCCCCAGACCAGCATCTATTAATCGTAATCCGGTGCAATACGTGCATTACAGCGGGACCTCTGCACAAGTGGATTTTCTGCGAATAGAAGCCAAACAGAACTGCGAGTGGGGTCAGCCTATTTGGACTGTTGGATGTACTTCAAATGATATGATAACAAATCGTACTGTATAAGCGCCAAGAACTTTGCATGTCCGTGCGGAAAGAGATCAGAGAGTTGTAAAAAGGATGAAGCCCTTTTCGCTGACTACTGTAACAAAGATGAGGAGAGTCTCATCTTGGTGACGCGCTCTGGTTGTCCTCACCTAGTTTTAAGTTGGGAATTGATATACCGGCGTCGCAAATTGATACACCGGCGTCGAACTTACACCGGCGTCGCTGTTCGACCTTTTGATTGGCTCAAAAAAACAATACCTCCCCATAAAGGCGGTGAGGGTGACTGCACTAACATGGCTATTCCTGCCCTCTTCTCTAACCTAAGCTCTAATTTGAGATTTCTAAAAGTACGTATTACAGCCTACTTATACCCCAGGTTTGTAAATCTCAAATAGGGACTATATAACCCCTCAAAAGGCCTATTACCTAACTACCTTTTGCGACGTGGTTGCAAAGATTCATCGTCACTACAGACCATTTCCCACTAACTCCGTTTCCTCCGAACACTAGGCTACATCGGCCGTCCACTTGCATAATTCCCTTTTGTCCTCCCCTTACCAAGAACACTAGACTGGCTCCTTGTTTGTCGCTAGGATGAGCTTGATATCTGGCTTTGACTTGGCTAACTTGTCTCTTGTGTAAGCCCAGCTAGCGTCGACTTATTCTTGCTCCCAGGTGGGCGGCCTCGCTTCTTACTACTTACGCCTTGGCTGCTATAGGTAGTGCGGGCTTGTCTGGCTGACTGGCCCTCTGCAGGTAAGGCTAGTTATGATAGGACAGGCTGCACTATGTTCTTTAGCCTACCGCGGAGGGATGCAGCAATCTTAGGGTCAAGGATCCGGCGGTATGGATCTGAGGAAGACGTCTCTCGAAGACGCCACCGAGGGTATACCTCCCATTTACTAAAAGTAGCTAAATCTAACTTTTAGGAGTAGATCTTATGGCAGCATGGGATACCCAGCTCAATTAAAACAGTGCAGTCTAGACCACAGTCTCCAAGGGGGGCTAGGAATGGCCTCGTGCCAGACGGCATTGCCTTCTTTACCAGCCGGTATTGCTTCCCAATTAATGCAAGACACTTCGAGGAAAGCATCGTTCGAAGTTCGCCTAGGTACTCAAAGCGAGTACCTATATACTCCCGGCCTGTAAGCACTTCATCCTCAGCACAAGCTTGCCTGAAGCGTATCTCCTGGTCACCAATCATGTCCTACATAACATCAACAAGTCGATATAGGTGACTAAGATCATTTAAGAGATAACTCTTAATGTTGTTATTACTTGACTCAGTGCCAGAGGTGACGCGAACACCAAAGTTCTAATATTTTCGGATAGAGCAGCGGGCCCACTGTGCTCTTAAAGGTAGGTATGTTATGTGGAGGTACTGGAGGATTGGGCGTTGGTCGTTAAACTCTTTACAGAGCTTGGTCCAGGCTTTCTCAAAAGCGTGCTCAGTCTCAGCAAAAACAACAAGCTTCCACATCATAAGGACCCCACGATACGTATGAGGGGGGGGGCTTATCAATAGATGTGTTGATATAGGCCTCATCCTCATCACTTAGCGTGGCCATTGCTTGTATTGGTAGCTGATATCCCTCGTCATTAGACCCACTGCTGTTACTGCTACAGCTGCGGTCCTTAACCCACTTCTGCTTAGCCCTGAGCATAACGTTAGAATTGATGTGGTGGATGCAGAGTTGTTGCTGAACGTCTGGGAACTGCTCATTCAGTGCAGCCTTCATCTGCTTGTCGTAGTCTGTAATAATAACAGTGGGGTAACGGACTGAGTGTTGGTCCATGAGTTGGCGGATCCCTGCTGAGAGAAACTGGAAACACTCTAGTCTCTCGTTGTCGATAAGGCCAAACGCAGCGTTGTAAACAGATCCAAGGCAGGTCTGCCCAGTAGCTTGGAAGAGAGGGAGCTTAAAGCGATTGGTATTGTAGGTGTTGTCAAAGCTAATCACCTCAGGGAATCACTTCCACATTTGGAGACAGTAGGGAAAGGTCCAGACAAGGCCAATAAGGCGGTTTGGCTCGGCGTCTGCCCATTTCACCACGTATAGGATATCTCGCTCATCAAACAGCTTGATTAATACTGCAGTTAGCGAATATCCCGCTAGTTTCTCTCGGTTTATACGAGCCCTAGCGTTATAGATATCTCGCTGGGTAAATAAGGACTCTGGGAACTGCTCCTGGACAACAGCACGCACATCGCGAGCCCGAATCCCAACTCGTCGGCTTGTAGTTTCAATGGCATCCTGAAGTGGCTGGGTAAGCCTGCGATGTGAAGGGTGTGCAGTAGCTTCAAGGCTAGGGCCATGATTATACTAACTATACTAGGGGTCTAGGTGATAACGTAAAAGCCACTTACCCTCCTCTTAAGCCTCGGCAATAACTTACCATTTACAACCGCATTTACGAGACTTGCGCTGTCGAATACCAGCACCTTGTGTAGGCCCAGGCTCGCCAAACCGATCACACTGGAAGGTGTATCGAATGATTCGGCCTCGAGCTTTATGCCTATTCCGCTTTAAAATGCCAAATCCATTAGCTCTTGCAAAGGTATTAACTCGGTCGAAGAGGGCATCATAGGTTTGCTCTGGATCGCCAGGAATCGGTGGGTTTGGGATTTCGGTTATAGGAGGAGAGGAGGATCGGTTGCTTAGAGTGTGGTAGGAGGCTGCAGTTCGGAAAGACGCTTCGCTTTGAGGGGAGGATTGCCGTGGGGGTGAATAGGGTGGTGGGTTGACTTGGGGACCCCATGTTTCTTGCCATTGACGGACATACTCTTGTTGTCGGAGGAGTGCCGTTGTTAGCTGTTGATTAGTCCCAACAACCTGTAGAACAAGCTGAAGAGCACTATTGAACTACTCTGTTGTAGGATAGGAAGGTTGCTGGGACTGTTCGTTGGGAGGAGAGGGGCTATGCTCTGGAGAAAGTCGTGGGAGAGTAATCCGCTGGGTTTTTATTGTTCCTTTAGGGAAATGACGAGTAAGATATAGCGTAGGCTCTATACTAGGGTAATCGTATACAAGAGGTCGCGTGTCTTGTAGTATGTCGGCTAGGAGCTCGGTAATAAGGTCGCGCTGCCCTTAAGGATCACCAACTCCATAGAATTGGCTAACGCTAGGGCGGCTGCTTTCTGAGGAGGGAGATGATGGTGGTTGGCCAGATGATGGTGGGAGGCCGTACTCAAACAATGGTCGCTCTCGTATAGGGGGAGGTTTATTAGTAGGGGGATTGCTTTGAGATTGGCCTTGTGGAACATCTCTAACTCCAGTTAGAGAAGCCATTGTAAGCAAATAGCATAAGTCAGACTTAGAGGCTTGATGATGTAACCTTAGAGGAAAGGGAGCAAAGGAACAAAAAGGGTTAAGATACTTTGTGGGTATCTGGCAGAATTTGATTGCACTAACAATATTTTTTTGAGCCAATCAAAAGGTCGAACAGCGACGCCGGTGTATCAATTTGCGACGCCGGTATATCAATTCCCTTTAAGTTAAACAGGCTTGGTGATGAGAATTCAACAGAGGCCGAAGCTTTTGCCAAAAAACATACAACACCAGGTATTCGCTGGTCGTCACCGACCCAACTACTAATCCGGCCCTCATTGAGTTATCTATGGGAGAGCGGACGGGATCCCGAGTTTTCCAATGGGTATGGTCGTATGTAATTTTCTGATGATCAACCGCCATCATGTTCTTTACCCCACAACAAGAAACCACAGTTCTGCAATCTACGGAGTACACCAGCACACACTATCTGTAGGTGAATCGTTCAACAGACCGGAGCCCGGCAGACCCCACTACCTCAGCCGTGCATCATGGTTGGTAGGACACGCTGCAAAAGTTCGGTGTTGTGGAACTGACGCCTGCCGTAATAGCCGAGATAAGAACCGCAATGCCCCCACAATCGGCGTTGTCCGCGCGGCACCTCACAGATAAGCGCAGTCCTAACGTCCTACCTAAAGTCCCGCACACCGAATAGTTTCACTCACGGGCTAGCGTGCCGTCCAACTATTCATGTCGGCCATCGGTCGGTGAAGATAGCGATATCCCGGAACCCCTTCGATTCTCCCCTGGAAGTTTACAGGGTAAGATTCCGGATTGCCCAGCTGGGCCTTCGCCGGTGCCCTTGCAACTCGACTGACCTCCGTCTCTGGAGAATTAGCGGCGCTCGATTCTCAATTATCCAACAATGGGCCGGCTTCGGATAACCCGAAGATTGTCAGTTGAAGATCGTGCAATCCATGTTTCCGACTTTCTGGCCTGGGATTCGAGTCCCAACACCTAGCAGGCCAGATCAACGGTATTGAAGCTTTGCAAAAAGAGACAAAGAAGAAACCCGAGAATGGAGATCGAATCACTGGTGTATATCGATACCGTACTCCAAGCAAACGTTGCGGAGAATGCGTGATGTGAGAGGTGGTGTGGGGTTCGCACGCGACAATCTGGAAGCCCGCAAATCACTTCCGCGTTAGGGCCTCCGCCCGGGAAGTTGAGTAGCATTGAAGATGAGCCCACCAAGATAGTGGTGAAAAAATCGTATGCGTACACGGTACGAGCGCTTCGGCTAGGCGACGGCCAGGGCACTTAATATAATGTCAGATCCCCGCCTTGGCAAGCTTCTCATGCCAAGAGAGTTGCGTCCTCATTGACCGGGTATTGTTCACCGTCGGTGCCTTTGTCAACCTCTAGTCCTTCCGCGGCTTACACCAAGTCGATACCGAGAACGAACATCCCCTCGCGACGACGGCCGCTGCCATGGAACGCTACGAAGAAAAAAGCATGGGCGAAGAAGAGACGTCGCCTCAAGGTTTCCTTGAGGCGGGCAGCGACGACCCTCCGAGGGAGACTGGTATCCTGGCCGCTTTGCGACGCTTTGAGGGTAGAATGGATAAAGCTCTGGGTGTCGAGTCGCATGCCATCGACCGCAAAACGGACGCCGATAAGAAGCCCGTCAAGTGGCACGAGGAGCTGACCATGGCTCTTCTATGGGCAAGCGGTACCATGGGCATCAGTTGCTTTGCCACTGGATTCCTCGGCTGGGAGTTCGGTCTTGATTTGAAGCGAGCCATTCCCATCTTCATCTTTGGTTCCATCCTTGGCGGCGCCGTGTCTGGGTACTGTGCCACGTTTGGTGCTGCGACCGGTCTGCGTCAAATCTCCGTCTCGCGATTTAGCTTTGGCTGGTGGCCCAACAAACTCATCGCCTTTCTGAACGGCCTGGAACAACTTGGATGGGCCTCTGTTGGCTCCATCGCCGGTGGAATGGCTCTGACTGCTGTGGCCGACGGTCGCATTTCGCTGGTCGTCGGTGTCATCATCATCGCCGTAGTATCTCTTTTGATCAGCTTCCTCGGTCTGCGCTACATCTTGATCTATGAACGCTACGCATGGCTCATCTACTTCATTATCTTCATGATCATCTTTGGCATGGTTGGCCCGTATGCCGACGACGTCACGCCGGCCCAGGTTACGGGCGCCGACCTCTCTGCCAGCGCTCTCTCACTTCTTGCTGTCGTTTATGGAAGCTCTGCATCATGGGCCACCATGGTATCTGATTACTACGTCCAGTACCCGACCAATGTTTCTAGGCTAAAGGTCTTTATACTCACGACTCTCGGCATCGCCATTCCAACCTCCATCGGCATGACTGCTGGCGCTGTGGTGGCCAGTTCCCTAAACAACCAGACGGCCTGGAAAGACGCATACGAGAACCAGGGTCTTGGATTCCTGATCCGAGACATGTTGCACCCGCGCGGGTTTGCCAAGTTTCTCCTCGTTATCTTTTCCTTTAGCGGTATCAACACCAACATCATCTCCCTCTACTCTGCGGCCATTTCATTCCAACAAATGGCCCGCCCTTTCGCCAGAATACCCCGGTTCCTTTGGACTTTCCTCTGCTTTGCTGTTGTGATTGGCCTGGCTCTCGGTGGCCGTAGCCAGCTGAACACTTATTTGCAAAACTTTCTCAGCTTGCTGGGCTATTGGTGCACAAGCTACTTCGTCATCTTGCTGATGGAACACTCCATCTTTCGACGTGGAGACTTTGCTAATTACGATCTCGATGGTTGGAACGACCCGAGCCGCTTGCCTCTTGGCATCGGAGCTAGCGTCGCCTTTTTGGTCGGGGTAGTTGCATGGTGCATGGGCATGGTTGAGACTTGGTTTGTGGGACCTCTTGGTGGCTTGATTGGCGAATCTGGGGGTGATATTGCCAACGAAATGACGCTTGTCGTGACTGCTGTGGTTTATCTACCTGCTCGCTATCTGGAGTTGAAGTTTATTGGGCGATAATAGAAGATCGGGCAACACGCATCTCAGGGGAAGCATAGATCGATGTACTTTCAGAACCCTAACCATTTTACCTGTACTACTGGCGACCGCAATCTTCCCGTGATAAAAAATGATCTGAGATCTCATGGTTTCGATAGTCCAGGATGGGACATCAATGGAGTCAAATATGCAAGTACCATGAGACAGTCCCACCGACCAACTACTAACTGAGCTCAATCAACGACTCAAAGGATCTGCTGGTTGGGGTAACTAGCCTCTAGTGGATGTCCGCCCCCGCGTCCTGGTACCACCCCGCTACGTGGAGGCCATCGTGGGGGTCAGGTCGGCAAGAAGTCCGTGACGGCTCTGGAAATAAGCAGGACCTAGAATGGGCAAGACGGAGACGGATTGAAACACAAGTTGGGAAGAGCAGCAGTAAGTTCGATCAGACAAAGTCAACAATAAAACTAAGTGCATACGACAGCTTGTATGTTACAAATCCCTCTAGAACAAGTCGGTCACGGCACCATCTGAGGCGCTCGATACCAAATGAGCATACTTGGCCAACGTGCCTCTGGTCACAGGAGGCCTAGGGGGCTTCCACAGACGCAGTCTCTCCTTGATCTCCTTGTCGCCCACATTCATACTAATCGTACACGTCTCAGCATCGATGGAGATTACATCCCCGTCGTTGATGGCGGCGATGGGCCCGCCGACAGCTGCCTCGGGGACAATGTGGCCCACGATGAACCCGTGACTGGCGCCAGAATATCTTCCGTCGGTGATGAGCGCCACGTTCTTAAGGTTGGCACCGATCAGAGTCGCAGATGCCTTGAGCTGCTCAGGCATGCCAGGACCACCCTTTGGGCCTTCGTAGCGGACGACGAGGACAATGTTCCTGTCCCGTGGAATGTTACCAGCATTGAGCTCGGTGACAAGCTCAGACTCCTTATTGAAGCACCGTGCCTCGCCCTCGAAGCGAAGTCCCTCTTTCCCTGTAATCTTGGCCACTGCACCGCCAGGCGCGATATTTCCATGTAGTACAACGAGATGTCCGGCGGGCTTGATGGGGTTGGAAAGCGGCCGAATGATGTCCTGTTCAAGGGGCAAGGATGGCCAAGAGGCAACGTTCTCCTCGAGAGTTTTCCCAGTGACCGTTAGAGTCTTTCCATTAAGGAGACCTCCTGCAATGAGAAGCTTGGTGACCGATGGTACTCCGCCGACGTGGAAGAGGTCCTCGATGACGTATTTACCGCTCGGCTTCAGGTTCGCGATGAATGGCGTCTTGCGAGAGACTCGTTGGAAGTCTTCAAGGTCGAGAGGCACTTCAGCTGCTCTGGCCATCGCTAGAGTATGCAAAACAGAGTTTGTGGACCCCCCCAGGGCCATGGTGATGACGAGGGCATTCTCAAATGACTCCTTGGTGAGGATGTCCCTGGGTCGGATGTTGCGACGCAAGCAGACTTCAATGGCGTCGGCAACCTTGACTGCTTCCCTCATCTTGATTGGAGAAGCTGCCGGGGTACTCGATGAGCCAGTGACAGATAATCCGAGAGTTTCGATGATTGTAGCCAAGCTGTTCGCAGTGTACATGCCGCCGCACGCACCTGGACCTGGAACAGCTCCCTTTTCGATGGATGACAGAATCTCCTCGGGCGTGATAGACTTGTCGTCGGACCAAGAGCCTAGCGTACCGAACAGGTAGGCGCCCTGAGCTTCGTAGCAAGTGACAATGTCGATGGGCTTTTTCAATACCTCGCAGTACCCACCAGCAACAGTGCCTCCATAGACAAGGACTGATGGACGATTGTGCCTTGCAACTGCCATGACACAGCCTGGCATGTTCTTGTCGCACCCGGGTATGGCTACAGTGGCATCGTGAGCCTGCGCACAGGTGATGGTCTCGATGTTGTCTGCGATGAGCTCGCGTGACTGCAGAGAGAATCTCATGCCTTCGTTGCCTTGGGCAATACCGTCTGACACGCCCAAAGTGCTGTACTGCCAGGCGATATACCCCTTCTTCTTGATGGCTTCCTTGATGGTCTTTCCCAAGTCTAGCAGATACATATTGCACGGGTTTCCTTCCCACCATACTGATGCGACACCGACCTGAGGACTCCGCTGCATCATTTCCTCGTTGGGAACACCTGCAGCATAAAGCATAGCCTGGATTCAACACTGTTAGCCTGCTTCACAGAAGATACCATTTTCGGCGATGTCTTTCCTTAGCCCCAGGGAAGTCATGCTCTCGAGTGAGAAATGTCGAATACTTGTTAAGGGCCGGTTGTCCATCTTCCCAGGTGGCGTCATTCGACGCAATGGGGAATTCGACGTACCGTGGCTCATGGTGTCCCTGGTCTTGCCCGGCAGCAGGATGAACTACATCGAAATTTGAAGTCATCTCGAATGATCTGCAGAGACTCGGCAATGGTCAGAGGCCAGGACAGCTGATTCCAAAATGATATTGCCAGTGAAGAATGATCAAGTTTTCGAAAGGAGAAACACAAGCACGAACATGATCAACCTTTTCTGGTCAGTCCGGCTACTCACAAACATCCACAACGTGGGGTGCGGGGTAGTCTGGGTTGAACCCGACCAAGCTCCTCACGATACCAGTCTGCCCCCAATCAAAGAATACGGAATGTTGGTTTACGAGGAGAAAGCTGAAATTTCGATGGAGCCTCTCCACAGAAAAGCGACGACTAATCGAAATAGGCCGGATACGATTTGTTGGAACGCAAGGAAGCGGTGCGATGGAGCAAGCCACAAAAGTAAGTGTTGGGGGGAACCCCGCACTGACTCGGGCATAAGTCCGGCGTACTTTGGGGGTTCTAGATTCCGAGCAACGGACTTCTACCGAACGTTTGAAGGCATCACGAGATCGCGACGCCACCAAAAAATGCGGGTTTGTTGGTTCACGGTGTCGTATACGACAAATAGTGGTAGCAATTATCACTCGTCTGTTGGTGATCCTATTGCTTGTTCTTCTTGTTGTTGTTCTATCTTACATTGTAGGCAGGAGTCGGTCGAAGTAGGTAGTGACGGCCTGGGTGGTTGCCCCACCTTTATCCGGCCGTGATGACTAAGCCAGTTGTCCCACTTCGCCCAGGGCAGGTGCCAGCCAGCCCATGGTACCTGCCTATTACTCCTTATCAGCCTTTGCTGTTCCAACAGGGTTCTTTCAGAGGATTGACAACTCAAGCTTCCTTTTCGGCCGGGCTGGTCAAGCTTCGTGGGATTGCAAGAAATGACTCATGAGGTAGGATTAGGCGTAGAGCTCAACATGATTTCGGCTGCCTACTAGATCTCATTTTCTATGTTAAGAGCCCAGCCCTCGTGAGGCCACGTAGGGGTGATTTCAGTATATGAATCTAAGCTGAAGAGGAGAGATTTGGGGCGGGGATTCCGCAGAGGAAAAACGTTCAAGTGGGACACACGCGGAATTAGTGCGGTAAGTCGTGGCAGAATCCGGGCCTTAGCCCGGATCCACTAATCGGGTCCAGCCCGTAACACGTGCCCCCCACCTGCTCCCTCGGGGCGATTCCGCTGCTCGCCCGTTTTTTAACCGCAGGAGCCCGGGGCGATTGACCCACTTTAACCCGCCGGTCAGGCCGCCCGTGGCTCTTTTACTAACTTCTGCCCCCCCCCCCCTTTCTTCGTCGAATTTCTTCCTCCTACACGACCTCGCGACGATTCGTAAGTGCCCTTACCTACCCGACTTTTACGCCTTTCCCTCGCGTTACTTTCGCTAATCCATCACAGAAATTATTTTTAGACAGTCCACCGTCCTCGCCATCGTTTTTTTATATAAAAACCCCTTCCGCGCGCGCGCTCTCTCGCAGCCTCTTTCTGACCCGGGAAATAGTCAAATCAACGTCACTCGCCACCGCCGCTATGGATTCCGTACGCTGCTTCTCCGTTTCTCTTAAGCTGAATATCCGTTGCTGACGCTCTACTAGTCCAACAACTACTACGGCTTCGCCTCCGCGGAGCAGGTCGCCGCCGTTACCCCGGCTGCTGCTGCTGCTGCTGAATCTCCCCCCGCCGCCCCCGCCACGACCGCCAAGCCCGCCGCGCTCACTGGGCAGGAGGGAGGTGACGGCGATGAGGAGCTGGAGCATAGCTCTGGCTCCGAGTTGTCCGATCCTCCCTCCGACGACCAGTCGGAAATCGACTTCGTACGTTCTTTCTGCGCGGGGATTCCGTTCTTGTACCGCGGACATGGCTAACTTCACGATCAAAAGACCCCCACCAGGAAGGGCAAGAAGGGTAAGAAGAAGGAGGAGAAGAAGGAGCGCAAGCCCAAGGAGCCCGTCGTCCCGGGCGCCCTCCGCGAGGAGCCCTGCCTCCCTTGCGTGCAAGCGCTGGTCAAGGGTGGCGATACCCTGGCCAGCGTCGGCTGCTACGACTGCCTCGGTACGCCAAGCCGTCGTTGTTTGTCCGTTTTCTGGTTGCTGATTCGTCGTGAAGCTGGAGGTACCACCCGCTGCGCCGCCTGCGCCGATGGCAAGGCTAATCGCCGTTGCGACCCCGTATGTATACCGCTATTGTTCCGTGTTTGCCCCGCAAACGCTAATCCATTGTTCGCAGCTGAACGCCGTGGTCACGGCCGCATGGGTTGAGTACTCAACCCTCGCCCGCGACTACCACCGCGAGCCCGCCGAAGGCGGTTTCCGTCCCCTCTTCGTAAGTCCGCTTCTTATCTGTTTTCCGTACGCCGCTTAGTCCGCGCCGTCTCTGCTTCAGCTCGAGGACGTCAATGGTGCCTTTGGGCGCGTCCGCACTCTTGCAGCGGCCCAGACCAAGGCCGAGAACGAGAAGGACAGGGCCCGCCGAGACGCCCGCGCCGCCACCGCCTCGCCCGCCGCCAAGTCGCCCGCCCCCCGCCCCCCGCGCGCTGCCCGCTGCGCCTCCTTCCTTCCGGAGGAGGCTCGCTCCCTTAGCGAGCACTACCAGGCTCTCGCTTCCCTCAACGCCGCCGTAGATACTTCTTTAATACTTTCTTTTACAACGATTAATATATTCTTGAATTACGGCCCGCTACTCCCCTATGTTACGGCCAGCTAGTCGTAGTGAGGTATGTTTGCAGAAGTTGAGGCTGCGGAACTGGTAACAGTATTCGTAGTCGGGGATAGCTTCAGGGAAGCTATGTCTGTAAGTCGTAAGGTAAGGGAAGGCTGCGGTGATCAATCGTAGTCTTATCAAAGAGGTTCTCAGGGAAGATAGCTGAAAGCGATCATAAGTGTCAGGCCCATCCCAGTACACTCGTTACAACGATTGTCACACTATGCCTATGAAACAATATGGTCTTACACAAGCATGACTAAGTTTGCCAAGGATATGCCAGTATAAAGGGTCTTCCACTCACTATATAGATAGTCGGGATATTCCCATAGCCACTCGTTCTTCATACTCATCAATACATCCCATTGACCCCCTACCTGATAATCGCTGCCCAACAATAAGATCTGATACGAAGTTAATTGCTGAAGAGCTATGGAAAGTCTGTCCTAGAGTCCGGCTCGAGTCCATCCTATATACAAGTCTTGATTCTGAACATATCCTTTATCCGTATGTTTACCATACGGATTCCGTATTCTGAACATACGGGGTCCGTATTCTGAACATACGGGGTCCGTATTCTGAACATACGGGGTCCGTACCTCAAATGATGATGATGATGATGATGATGTATTTAACGTCTGATAACAAAAGGACGTGCCGGGCGCAATGCCGACATGGTCTATACTAATCTAAACTATATTACAGGCTACCGTCTTCACCTAACGTTCCTGTTCAATGACTCGGGCAAATTTCGGAAAAGAAATTGGTCTCCTCTATCCATTCGCATAGAAGAGAGGCTCCCTTAGCAGAACCTAACAAGAAATCAATGCTTGCTTTATCCGTACCTCAAAGGGACGGACTCCGTATTCTTGGCATACGGCTTTCCTTATCTTATCATCACGTGACTTGCTCCATAGTTCTTCCGTTCCGTAGGGTGACGCATGTGTTCCCATAGTTCGTGCACTTATGGTGTGCCCTAGTCGCCGTGGTCCTGCGGGGCAGGCCCTGGACTTGGTCGTGCATGTCGGGTCGTAACAAATAGAGGGAGAACGGAGGTTAGTTAAGAGGTAAAAAATAACTAAGTTAAGGCCTATAGGTCGGGAAACTATTTAGCCCCGTAAGATGTAATATATAAACTAACGATAAAGCCATAGGTATAAGAAAGGGCCGTTCAAGGTCCGTAGACCAAGGTTCGGCTAACCTTCCTAGCCTAGGCGGTAGGGTGTTACGACCCAACATGCATGACCAAGAACAGGGCCTGCCCCGCAGGCTCGCGGCAGTTACAACACACCACATATGCAGGAGACAAGGGACACTAGGCAACCTCTCACGGAACGGAAGAACTAAGGTACAAGTCACGTGATGATAAGATAAGACATGAGCGGCCATGGTGGGGCCATGAGCGCTCATGCCAAACAATGAGCGCTCACCCAACTAATCCCAAAATCACAACCACAGCCCTCATTAGCGCACCTAGAAAGGCAAGCTAAAGTAGCTACCTTCCAAGCCTTTGCCAGAAAATGGCTGTCCCAATGCCCTCGGCAATATGCCGACCTGGAGATAATTCTTCACCCCAAGCCGCCCGAACTCCGCCTCCCTCGGCACTTACTAGGAAGGCTATACGCAGCAAGATCCCATCATGGAGACTTTGCAGCATACCACGAGAGATTCGCTCACCAAGATGCGTTGCTCAACTGCAGCTGTGGGAAACCCAAGACACCAGTCCATTTCTACTTCTGCAAGCGTGGACGCAAGGCTACACCGCGCTACCTCCGCCAACGTATGGCCAAAGCAAGTATTGATTTCTTGTTAGGTTCTGCTAAGGGAGCTTCTCTTCTATGCGAATGGATAGAGGAGACCAATTTCTTTTCCGAAATTTGCCCGAGTCATTGAACAGGAACGTTAGGTGAAGACGGTAGCCTGTAATATAGTTTAGATTAGTATAGACCATGTCGGCATTGCGCCCGGCACGTCCTTTTGTTATCAGACGTTAAATACATCATCATCATCATCATCATCATTTGAGGTACGGACCCCGTATGTTCAGAATACGGACCCCGTATGTTCAGAATACGGACCCCGTATGTTCAGAATACGGAATCCGTATGGTAAACATACGGATAAAGGATATGTTCAGAATCAAGACTTGTATATAGGATGGACTCGAGCCGGACTCTAGGACAGACTTTCCATAGCTCTTCAGCAATTAACTTCGTATCAGGATTAACATCCGCTTTCAGCTACTACCTTGACAAGACTACGATTGATCACCGAAGCCTTACCTACCCTTACGATTGACAGACATAGCTTCCCTGAAGCTATCCCCGACTACGATTACTGTTACCAGTTCCGCAGCCTCAACTTCTGCAAACTACCCCTACGACTAGCTGGCCGTAACACTGGTCCCCTTTGTAAGTAGAGATTTTAGATTGTTAAGTTAGGGTTTTAATATAGGGTAGAAGCTCTTAGAGGCTAACTGCAGTTAGGGGTAGAATAATAAATTATTGAAATCTGCTCCTCCCTCGACGTGTACTCCCTGCGCTGTATATATATCTGAGCTGCTCCTTTGTTGCTTGGACTCCTTATTACCTCTAACTAGCCCCTATCCGGGAGGGCTCTGACATCTGGACAGACTCAGAGCTAATACTACGACTTTAGTCTTGTCGGAAAGCTGCGCAGGCTTGAGTGCCAGATCCATCACTACGGTTCCGCTTTGAACTCTCAAGTCTTACTCTCGGCGTTCCGTGACGACCCTTCTGACTCCTATCTTTTACGCACCGGTCATGGTGGAAGCTTTGCACCCCTTTCGAGCATCAATGAAGCCGGTTGTCCAAGCGCCGGATTCCATTCATTCCCTGACACCTTACAATGGGACGGCTTCACTGCCGACTATGGCCCGGGATTCCTCGGCATGGCCCTCAACACGGGAACATATGTTGCCGACAGCGCTTCCGCAAGTACAATCAAGTCAATTTCGACCCCCATATTTGCTAAATTGGATCTTTTTTTTTTTTTTTGAGGATTTGACTACTTGGTGAACTTGCAATTAATACAATTCAATCACCATATAAAAACACGTGCAAAATCCTGACTAATCGGAAAAAAGTGAGGCTATTCCTCATGATGACAATAACCCGAAGTTTACAGGTGAGAGGACGCTCCTCCTCAGCCAGTTTTTGCTGAGCTGGAGGGTCTCTATAGTGCCCGGCAGCATCGAGAGCCTCTGAGAGGTAAGGGTTAATTTGGCAGTACTAAAAGCCCTCTCACAGTCAGCCGCCATCGCTGGCACGGCGAAGACGTCGAGGGCAAGCCGGGAGAGTACCGGGAACATCTCCGCATGGTCCCTCCACCATTAGACGGGATCGGACGTAGCCTCCGGAGGCTACCGGAGGTAGAGATCGAGCTCATCCGTCCTAGGCGGCGTCTACCGGCGCCGGCTATTAACCCATTGCCGGTAATACACATCCTCTCCGTCCCCGGCCCCGGGATCAACGGGAAGTATACCGGCCTGCCAGCTAGACGGGAAGATCTCGCCGGGCTCACAATACCACTAATCGAAGTACTCTGTGAGGGACTTCAGAGCCTTCTCAACCCATCCCTTCTAGTGTTCCTCACTCCATATATCTCGTAAGTATAAGATGCCATATAATAGGTACAGTATAATCGCACCAGAGAACAGTGGGGAGTCTCCGAGCTTCTCATAATAGGTAAAGAGCTTCTGCCACGCCTGCTCAACGCTGCTGCGTAGGAAGGTCTGCCACTCCTCGTCGAGAGACTCGAATCGGGAGTCAGATCGAGAGGCTAGCGATGCCCAGTCCTTACGTACATGATCAGGTAGGGCTTAGAGGTTGTACTAACGGCGTTATGCCCGGCTGGCACGCCTCTGAGATTGCTGCGACTGCTAAGAGTCACCCTCATCGTCATTACTAATACTGGGAGATATGCTAGCGTTATAATAGATCTTACAATCGACGAGATACGAGAGAAGGTACTCTATACCCAGCGTAACCTCCCAGAGTCGACCGTGCCCATCATTAATACCCCAGCCCTCACACCGCTTCGTCTGGCGATAGAAGGGTTCAAGGATCATCCCAATCTCTGCAAGAACCTTCCAATCCTCACCAGAGAGTAGATCCTTCTTTGGGATATGCTGGGCAACGTCGTCGTCGTCGTTATTAGCCAATAAAAACGCCTGAATCTCTACCTTCTTCTTCACAGCCCTCTCGATCATAAGATACGTACTGTTCCATCGAGTGTCGTTATTCAGTATAAGTTGGGCCTCCCGGCGTAACTTCGAGAAGATCCGGAAGTCGGCGTCTCCGTCAACCTCCGCTACAGCCTTCCGGTACCGCTCCGTTCGTTGCGGAGAGGACCGGACGAACTTGACGATGTTCCGGAGCCGACCCACGGGCCCAAGCCTCCGCCAGAGCTCCAGATCGTCATCATACCGATCGCAAAGCCGGAAGAAGTCCGACTTGGCCTCCAGAGTCTCCTTGTCGGCGCCGAACAGGAAGGCCCGGGCGGCGAGTTTCAGCATATGGCCGTAGCAACGCATACGCCGGGCCTTAACGTCGTCCAACGTCATCTCGGGCCAGATGGTCCGGTAGAAGGCTTGGAGTCAGGTGTCGTTATTCGTAGCGTTATCGGAGACCGTTACGCCAAGCCGGGCCCGGAGGTCATACCGGTCGACGACGTCGATGAGGGTCTGCGAGAGGCTGCGGCCGGAGTGGTTGCCGTGGTGCTGCGGGAAGGCTAGAAGACGGGACTGCGTGGTGCCGTCAGCATGGATGAAATGACCAGTAACTGCCATAAAGGCGTAGATATTCGGTGACCATAGATCGAATGAAAGATGTATCTTTAAGGCCGCAGAGTGAAGTTCGGACTTAACGAGAGCCTCTCCGCGCCGGCAGAAGTCATCAAGACAGTCCCGAATCGCTGTCCGGCCCCACGGGATCTCTCCGGCGACCTCCGTACTATGGTACCGAAATATTTGCTGTACGTAGGTGTTCTCGAAGTGGACGAATGGGAGATTAGTAGAGACGATAGAGGCAACGCAGAGGTCTCTCATCGTCATGATCTTGGACTTCGGGATGTTGCTATTAGGGCGGGGTCGTTTATACGGAGGGGATGATACGACGAGGGTACTACCGTCAGACTCCTCATCTGACTACGCAGAGATCCTGCAGACGTTGTAGCCACTCCAGCTTCATCAGTATGTGATTTATATAGGAGGGAAGCTGGGGATAACATACCGAAGTAAGTGCTCTTGGGGCGCGGAGGTGGCGGCGGCGCCGAACAGACAGGGAGACCCCTTCGCGTCGCATCGTCGACAACTCCAAAAGGACGTACCGGCACGACCCTGAATAATCTCGACGAGAAACTCGCCATGCTCTCGGATCCAGCTAGAGCGGCCACGGCCACGCCTTCGCGATAATTGCTCTTTAAGAACAAACTTCCGACTACCAACGACGATGGGACGGAGGTCGTTGATCGTGGGATTCAGAGGCGGGTCAGTAAACAGAGCCTCCGCGATCTGCGTCGAGATCCGGAGGCGCGGACCGCCTAATATCTCATACGCGTTGGCAGCGGCAGCAGTAGCGGTAGTGGCAGCAGTCGACATTATAAGTGTGAAGTTGATAACTTATAACTAGATGAAAATGGCTGAAAATGATGAGTAGAAGATGGGATGATGAATAACTCCTGCTAACGGCGTCCGATCACAGGCTTATATACACCATTCGAACCGCCGCAATCACGTCTACTTTTTCAGAAAGTTTCAAAGGGATTAGATTTTAACTGGTATTATGAGGGCAATTAGTAAAATCACATCAAAATATGTGTAAATTATCGTGAGGTTGGTAATAGCGTCATGTTTCAGTGGCTGGGGATGCCCGAATAACTGGGGCCTAAGCTGATCTACGGCCTCTCATTGGCCAGAAGTGAAACAATCAGGTATTTCAAGTCAATCGAGGGATGTAGGATTGACTAATTGACGGCGGCGATGGCATCACTTTGACTAGTTGATTTGGGTAACTTGGCAAGGTGCCTTGTACTTGCGGAAGCGCTGGTTGCCGAAGATGAGCAAGTCGGTCTCGTTGCTTACGGTGGAGAGCTTTCGATCGATGGATCCAAGGTGACGGTTGAACCTCGCGACCCTGTCAGAAAAAGGGGTTTCATTGGTCCGCTGGCTGTTTTGATCACGGTTGATGTGGGCGTCATTGAGCAGTTTACCTATGATGTCAACTCGAGGTCCATTTCCATGACATTGTCGCAGCTTGTGGACGCCCCAAAGGCGATGAAAGCTACTGTCTGGACGGAGTCGACAGAGATCTCGTGGGTTGTCAGTGGCGATAACGTCGAGGTTGCCCGCGGCGGATGGAGGGTTCCTATGACTCAAGACAGAGTTAACATTATGCTGTCCCCGAAATCAGTCTGAGCTAGGCGAGCCACTCTGCGTCACAACTTCTATTCTTCGAGGAACCTTTCGCATCACTGGACTTGCAGTCGGTTCTAAAATTGAAATCCGAGCACGAGTACGACAGCTTAAAGTCGCACTACGTACTTCACACCCATGACTTTGAATTCTTGAGAGCTGTTATCATCGTTCAAATTAGTCCCCATCCATCGTCGCCCTGAACTGTCGGACACGCCACTGGTTCCTGTCCCCGACAATCTGGCATCATTGCCATAATGCTCGAGACGACTTCCTTCTAGGGGGCATTCACTTGGTATTTCCATCCTTTTTCTCGCTGTTTTCCTGCTTCTCAACCCCTTCTTCCTTCTCCGTGTTTTCCTTCATATTCTCCTCGTGCTCCTTGGCAATGACGTTCTCAAAGTTGGACCACAGAGCCTCAACGGAGGAAAACTTTTCCCCAACAGTGATCACAGTTTCAATTTGATCGGTTAAGCTGATTTAAATTGGCGTTGACCTGCTTCAAACTGTTCGCAATGTTGGCGATGAGCTCGGCGCGTCGCCGCTCGAAGGTCTTGGACGTGGAACCCGCTTGAGGGTGATGATGGGAGAAGGTTCGCTGCGAGGATGGCATGTTGGTGATTGATGGTAAATTTGCGACTGCAGGCGGTATCAGTCGGTAATTTTTGATGATGGTTTTGCTGGGGCAGGCTTGATCTAGAAGTCGTTGAGAGGAGGAGGGGGGGTGTGGGATGGGAAGAGGAAAAGAAGAGGTGCCCAGCAATGGGCACAGTGAGGAAAGCAGCTCTATCCGCGCGGACTGCAGCGGCCGTCGACAGAGGTCCATTTTCCACCATGTCGCACCTGCCATAGAAGACACGACCGTAAGAAGAATTTACACATGGCACGAGACTAAGCTCAACACCTTTTCACACGATTTAATTAACGTCTTGTCATGTAATTGAATTTGTTGGAATAGGCCTACATTAGGCAGCAGGAGGTTGCTGCCGCGGTCCGTTCCAGCCACGGTGGTCCGTGTGGCTCAGCCACACGAGGGTGGTATACCCCAGACTTCCTGCCGCCGCTGGCACCTGGTTAGACTTCCACTAAAGAACAACAAGAACAAGCAATATCACCACTACAGTCGGTGATCGTTGCTACCCACGATACTCGAGTATTTTCCTTTTCCACCTGTGAATCCAACAGAATGAGTCTTCCACTACTTCATTTACCCAAGAACGAGGAAGAGGACGGTGCGTTCATGATATAAGATCAGCTCCACCATTCGCATTGCCTTGTTGACATTTCCCAATATCGATCAGTTCGACATTCTGATGAAGGGCAATGAATTCCATCACGTGCGCCGATGTTAGGGCGCATTACTTCCCAACGATGAAACGGCATGCCTTGTTACAATAGAAGGGAAGCATTCTTGTTTCCTTCTCGATAACTTCTCAACCTAGACAACCTCTAAAACAGTGATATAGGCGTCACGAGTGGCTGCGTTGCCTTTCAGAAACGGTTCAAAGAAAGTCGATGATGAAATGGAAGACATATTCAAGGGAAGTCTTATTGGCCGACCGGCCAAACATGATTTGATGTCAATCGTGTTGAGCTTGCTATTATTGATAGCCCCATGATGCTACTCTTTTACACCACTAGACATAGACAAGTCGAACGCTGCACTTACCATAAGCCAGACTGGCACTTGGAGTGGAAGCAGGTACTGGCAATATCATGCTTGACTACAGGGCTGGCTTTGGTGATGGGGAGAATGATCTGGCATTTTCCTCGATTGTTCCATAATTCATTCAGTCTTGTCTTTGAACTAAAGACAGAGAGACAAACGGTCTGAGGCATAGTGAGCTCCTTCTATCCCCACCATGCACTGAAACACAAATATCCCGCCATTTCAGGCACCTGTCTTTGTTTCATCCCTCTTTGAACTTAGTTAAACCTCTGACGTTGATTTTAAGAGACCTGCCTTTTAGTTTTGGAACAGCTTTGAGCCTGAAACTTTGCAGTAACATTTATTCATTAGCACCCTTAAGTCATGTCTCTTGCTGCTCTTTCTAGACGACGCTGTGTCTGCGAATCCTCTAGAAATCAACAACCTCCAACGTTTGACAGGTTGTGACTCCTCACTTCTACCATCGTCGGAAATTTTCATGCCTGACATTCAAAGTTTCCATGCCAGGCATGAGCAGACATCTCATCTCCGATATCGACTTCCAATCTTTCCTCTAAACACACAGATAGTCCGCAAATCTGTCGACATCCAATCGTATAAATCAGCAAGTCATTCAAGAATCAACCATGCTCATCAGTATTACACCCGGAGACTCGACGACTTCCAATCTTCCAATGACTCCCCGGTCACTTAGATACTCTGTCCTCTCTCGGACCTGGACACCCGGATCGCCGATCCAGTTTGCGCCTCCTCCCACCACGGAGACTCAAGCGCAGGATGCTTCGCTTCCTTCCGTGTCAAGGCTTTGCGCGACCACTTGCGTTAGCCAACAGGATTTTCCTAAGCAGACAAAGCTTCAAGCCGAGGTGATTAGAGTCCCTCTCATAAAATCTTTTACCCGTTGATCCGTATTTCTAACCGTATATCTAGCACTTTCAACGTCCTCATGTCAAGCAGACTGGCGGATTCTGTGGCGCGGTCCTGCGTACGGTCTTTATGATCATTATAGCCATGGTCTTTAGATTTCTCCTGGCATGGTCTCTGAGAAGTCCATGTCCTCTTTGTCATGGACTATTCACGATTTCTATCGGTGGCATGAAGGAAGATGCCAAATGTTTGGTAACGTGTAATATTTCCAGACTATTTTCGACGGCAGTTTCTGCTTTGGAGACGGTGTTGGAGTATCTGTCGCGTTTTAATTATTAGTTGCGTGGTATCGGGCAAGAAAACGGTAGGGTCAGATGCATGTTGTGAAAGATCCGCGCGATTTCCAACACACTCTGAGTCTTTGGGTTTACATAGCTTGAAATCAGCGGCAAAAGTAACTGTTGGATTCACAGGTGGAAAAGGAAAATACTCGAGTATCGTGGGTAGCAACGATCACCGACTGTAGTGGTGATATTGCTTGTTCTTGTTGTTCTTCAGTGGAAGTCTAACCAGGTGCCAGCGGCGGCAGGAAGTCTGGGGTATACCACCCTCGTGTGGCTGAGCCACACGGACCACCGTGGCTGGAACGGACCGCGGCAGCAACCTCCTGCTGCCTAATGTAGGCCTATTCCAACAGTAACATATTACTTCTACTTAACGCTGCTCAATTCTTGTGGAAATCAAATATTAGGAAGTCCCGGGAAATCTCTGGGGAGCTCAAGATAAGCGACGCCTTGTTTTGACTCCGAAGCGGCAACGATGAGAAGCAGATCAGTTTTATATGTTCATTGCGAGTGTATTCATGTAAAGTTGTTTCAACGAGGTGTTCCGATTAGAGCAGCTATAGCTGCTGCGCTAAAGATGTAGCAGGAGTACGGCAGACATATTTCAGAATCAGGGCGAGTACAAGATCTTAGTACGCAAAACTACTATCGACGGCTTTATGAGCTCATCTGACCTAAATTTGTTGAAAATTTTGATATTATTGATTTGGTATCATGGAAAATGATCTCGGTTCTGGGATGACGTGTTCAAAGATGTCGATGTGAGCTCTTGCGTGTCCTAACATTAAGAGCAGGTGCAAAGATCTCTCCTTCCCGTTCGGTTTGCTCCCCATCGCGACGCGTCCCAATGATGTGACAACGCGTTGGTCCTCGCTACTTCGAACACGATGACAGCAGGAAGCCAGCACCAGGAAATGAACATTTTGCAAGGCGAAATTCTTTCTTTCTTTGCATCCTGTTCAACCTCGCTAGGGTATCATGCTTCCGCACACAACGCTATCATCAAGTCATTAACCAACAACGCGATTCTGGTTACCTTCTCACTCAGTGTATCGAATTTTACGATATTCTTCCCTGCTCCTAGGGTGTCTTCCTCCTCAAACTTACTCACAATGGTTGGCGATCTCATTACAAAGCTTGTCCCGCATCTGGCGACCTTCACGGTTGACCCATGATCTTATGCTAATAGTGTTGAAGTCATTCAACAGAGTCCCCGAGTCTCCAATTTCAAAGAAGAAGACCGTCCGCGTCGCCTACCTCGCCTCTCGCTTGGCTGCCGATCGAAACCAGTCCCCAGACCCCCTCTCAGTCTCCGCCGTCACCCCGCCTGCGATCCTCCGACGCCCCAAACGCGCCCTTGTCAAGGCAGAGGAAATCGACTCGCCCGATGGTGCAACGGCTGAGTCCGATTTTAACGACTCCTCCAGCAACATATCTGAAGAGCCGCCCAGATCTGAAGATGGCGAGTGGGTGTCTACTCACACTCTTAAGTCCGTCGTCGGCCATCCCCACGCATACCGCTACAAGAAAGCAAAGACTCCATTCGATATCGAAGAAGTAATAGCCACAAGAAAGGCCGAGCGGAAGGCGAACACAGCAGAGACTAAGGCTTTCGAAAATATATCGGCCGAGGATGGCGCTGTCTTCTTCTTGGCCGAAGAGGCTACTCCGCCGCCAGAGCAGATGCCCGATTATCACGCTGGCACACTCCCAGACTCATCTCACACATTCGCGGCCCAGATGAGCAGCCTTTCTCGCTCGCCAGTCATTCCTGGAGACAAGCAAACACTGGGAGGTCGGAAAGCCACGGCCTGGGAGATTCACAGAAAGTTTCTACGCGTACAAGCCGCTCAGAGGGATGAAGCCCAGAGAATGGCAGCAGTGATCGCGCAGGGAGAGGACGTGATTTGGGGCTGACGGAGACGCTAGGAGGCCTTATCTGGGCCAGGTGAGATATGATGCTACATGCGGGACATTGAGTCTCACTATGCTGTGGTTAGTTTCTTGTTCCACTGGATTCTGTGTATTCCCGCCATTTCATGTGTGTCTGTACAAGTCTCGGGCTTAAGAAGTTATGTTTTGAATGATCCGATGATGATGACGATGCTGTTACATCTTCACATTCCGAGAAACTATACTAAAAGAAATTATCGGAGTCGGGTAGCTGAATGTAAAGCAAGCAGCTCGTTACATCGATCAATGTCATATGAATAACAGCGGCACTCTGAAACACTATTGTATCTTGAAAACGTCATCGTATACCTATAAACCAATCATGGTCTATATAGTCCCAGTGGTTCTTAATTGATTTCCTTTTTTAGCTCTCTTTCTGAACCCAATTGCCGCTTCGTCTTTTCGTCTAACCAGAAACTCTACATGCTCTCTATGTTCTTGCGTGAGAGTCCCAACTCACCCTACTTGTCTTTAGTAACTCCCTGCGATACCAAGCTGTGGTGTTGGAGAAGTACTGCTAGAGATATATCAGTCTTTTGCATAGTGACAGATTGAAAACCTTCTGAAAGAGAATCAATGAATCATTCCATCACATACCTTTAGTGCCTTGTACGTCTCGAAGTGCCGGATGGATTGGGGTCTCTGATCTTTTGTTGCGGTGCATCATGAGCTGGTAGATTGCAGCCAGGATTTCGGTACCCGAGAAATTCGGTGGAATAGGGTTGTCGACCAGCTTCAGAACTACCTTGAGGGCTTCTGTGGAGGTTGCGACTTCGAGGCCAAGGTAAAGAAACATGGCAGGTCTACTGAGGCCGGGACAGTCACGGACTCGGTCGAACCTTATCAGGAGCTTCCAATCCGAACTTGATCTAACTACGTCGACATGATCTTGGTAAATCATTTTCAAGACGTCGTCAGTGCTGTCGCCGAACTTTGCTTTGACGAATTCCGGCCAGCATGGAGCCAGCTCTATTGTGCCTTGTCCACGCATGTTGTTCCAATGGCTATCGTGCAGCTCCTCCCATAGACCCACGTAGTAGGCAAGGCCTGTCATTATAGGCAACCGCACAGCTCGGCAGAGCTCTTCGATGATGTCTACAGTGCGTGTCACGTCCAGCTGACGATGCTAATGTGGTGCGTTGGACGGAACGGTTGGTAAAGTCCAGAGGGGAACTGTGATGGGGGCTCTCTGAAGACTCATAGGCGTCGCAGAGGTCTCCCAGACGGGAACGGTGATGGGAGCACGACTCATATTGGTTAGGCTGAGGTCAATGGTTTGCTAATGGTTTTTGGCGCTGTACGGCGAGTCTTGATCCACTCACCGAGAAGTGATGGCTTGACTTGTCGTTAAAATGGAAGGTCGCTTGGAGAAAAAGAGATCCGGATCATGTAACTCATCAGCGTGGGTTGGCTCAGCGCTTCCCTTATGTCAAGCCGTTGGAATTGCTCAGAGAGGAGAAGTCCGGAAGATGGTGATAAGGGCGGAGAAGGCTCAAGTGACTCTGTTGCACACGCAGTCCCCAAGGAAGAATCAAGAGCAGGCGTCCAAATCGGAGGGAAGGTGCGGCCTTACGGCAATGCCTTTTTGGGAAAGAGGGCGGTCAATCATGGATGAGCTGATGATCCTGCCACATTGGCTTTACATCTTAGTGCCACTGCTCAGTCAAGAACAGAAATGCCTCTTCATTGGCCCCTCCCTTCATTTAGTCTTTTCATCAGTCTGGACTGTCCCTTTCTCAGGCTACCATGACCTCTATAGTGTCACATTTCGCCCCAGATCAAGAATTTGTGATCTTATAACTGGACTTCCTGTAGACTTTTGAAGGAATTACTGCCCTGCCGTGGCTTTAAAGCTGTTCTTACTGACCAGATAAGTGACCTTCCTACTGCTGGTCCCAGTCAGAATTCATATGATGCCCATTCTTGCCGTGCTTTGCTAAGAGCCTAAGACCCCCGTACGCTCCGGCAGATACCTGAAGACCTTATCCGTACCGCATTGATGGAACATTAGGACAATAAAGCTTGGAGAGCAGACCTGCCTCGCCTAGGTAAGGTAGTTCACATTGCAGCTGGTATGTGATTGAAATAAGATGCCCCGGTTCTTGATTCAATCACCGTTTCAATCACCATAGATAAGTTCTCGGCAGAGACACCTCAGCTGGATATCGGCGCGCAATGATCACTAGCAATGAGTACTCATATGTACATTTTCTCTTCTAAGCGAGGAACAATATGCATGACTTTGCATGGCACCTAGGGATAGTCTAGGCCAGATGGTGCAGATTGCGGGAACAAGAAATGCTTCCCAGTCATAGACATGTTTTAGATCGCGTTAACCACGCCCGGACTTACGTCTCTAAGGGTAACTACCCGGTTCCAGTTCTGGGTGTGCTCTCGTAAATTGAATGTCTGAGGATCACGGCCTGATGTTACTGGGTTGGCGTTGAGAGACTTCCAGCGATGGATGCGTGCAGCGTATCTGGACCAGTGCTTGTAGCATGACTGTGCCCGGGTACCGGCGGCAGGGTGGGCATCCTCCTTACCTTGGTGACAGGTGCACTGAGCCGCCGTGAAGAGGTCAGTTACAAACAGATGGACAGTCGACGAACAAACATCCAGGATCCAATGACCTATGACCACACACCATCACACTGACTACTCACAAACGAACAAAGACATAGTTCTAAATTTGTGTTAGCCCCGCAACTTCCCTCTCGCCTAATTTTTCTTGGCATCTACTGTTAGTATAATAAGTAGGTTACCACCAAAATCCTTAATAGCCGAAAACCCTTTACCTTTCCTCCGGCGCCCTCCCGCGATGGCCTCGTAGCCTCCGGCGGGCTCTAGACCCTTGTTACGACCCAACATGCACGACCAAGAACAGGGCCTGCCCCGCAGGCTTACGACGGTTACGATACGCCATACATGCACAGGACAAGGGGACACAAGGCACCCTCTCACGGAACGGAAGAACTATGGTACAAGTCACGTGATGATAAGATAAGGATCATTTGGGATCAATATGATCCAACACGACTTGGGGGCTAAACGATCATTCTGAATCAGAATGACCTAAGACGACCCAAGGGACAAGGGACATGTTCAGGATCAGGACTTGTATATAAGGATGGACTTGAGCTGGACTCTAGGACAGACTTTCCATAGCTCTTCAGCAATTAACTTCGTATCAGGATTAACATCCGCTTTCAGCTACTACCTTGACAAGACTACGATTGATCACCGAAGCCTTACCTACCCTTACGATTGACAGACATAGCTTCCCTGAAGCTATCCCCGACTACGATTACTGTTACCAGTTCCGCAGCCTCAACTTCTGCAAACTACCCCTACGACTAGCTGGCCGTAACAACCCTCTTTAGAGCCGCCCTTATCCTTAAGGGCTAAACGCCGCCGCGAAACCGAGGCCTAGCTACTCCGGCCTAGCCTCGTAAGAAGCTAGCCCGACGCCCTAATAATAACCCCCTTAACAGCTAAGTGGCCCTCAACTATGATTAGGATAGTGACAGAATCCATGCATGCTTCTACGCGAGTCATGGACATAACCCATTCGGAATGGTCTGACCATCACAAAACAGGCCAGACTGTCATTTCCACCTGGTCCTAGCTCTGCAAGACTTATTAGGATAGCATTAGGCCCACAAGCCTGTGGTGATTCCATCCACTCTTTAGTACGAATAGACGCTCTTTTCTGCTCACTCACATATGCATATTCCGCTGGCCACCCTGACTAACCGTCAGATAGCTACTAGAGCTATCCTTATAGCTCTTAATAAAGAGGATAAGTACTATAAAGCCTAAAAGGACGTCTTTATAATTATTATTTAGTTTATAAATAGTTAACGTAATTGTTATGGCCAGCTAGTCGTAGGGCGAAGTGGGGCGTCGCGACTTGTCGTGGACGCGTCGGCTATTGGCCAAACCTTGCTTTCCGGGCTTAGCTGCTGACTAAAGAGCGGCGGAAACCGAGTAGGAATCAATCAATCAATCAATACAAATATCCTGCTACCGCCTGGTGCCCTATGGTATGCCTAATGGGTCGTAACACTAGACTAGTTTACATAGGAATATTGCTGTTGCTCAGTAAGCCGGGTATGTTGTAAGCCATCCTCATGCAAATAGCCCATAGGATCGCGTAACTTCATCCTTCCGGCCCAATCTGAGTCAGCCCCACATGCGCACGCCCCTACCTGGTCCTTACTGGTCCTCATAGTCAGCAGTAATTCGGGCGGTCGGGGCTGTGCGGGATTATGACACCACAGACTCCCAGGCAAAACACCCAACTTTACCCTTAGTCTACCAGGACACTTCGCCATCCATTTTTGCTGTTGGCAACATGTTGTCCCATGATATCTCGTCTATGATGCTGGGGAAGTTGAGCGGCGGCCCGGACCTCTTTGGCAAGGAGACTGGAGCGCGCCTCCCCCTCCTCTTTACCAAGGTGATGGAGGCTCGGCCAGCTGCGTCACAGAGTTTGCTCTTCCGTCTTCCACCAGAGATCCTCGGCGACATAATGGACTTGATTGCAGATGAAAAGCCCTCTCTGGCGTCTCTCGCTCTTGTCAATAGTGACTGCAGGCAGCTCGCTCGATCCAGCCAATTCGCGGTGGTCACCTTCGACTACAGCCCAGCATCTCGTCAACTTGCCCAACTCCTCTCAACAGAGGTCGTCTCTAGAGGTCCTCAGTCGCGCGGTCGAATTGGACCATGTATCCGACGTGTGAAAGTGGCGTCAGACCCTGGCTGGCTCATGGCTTTCCATGAAGAGCTCTATGACTCGATTTGGGGAGCCGACAGAGGCGAAACAACCGATGCTATAAGAGAGTACATTGGTTCACTGGAAAGAAAGGCAGAGTTGGAGTACATGGCCTATCACCAGATGCCCATTCTTCTTGGCATCGGAGCGATGCCAAATTTGGAGGCCATTTCCTGGCTCGACGGACTGTGCCAGAGTCCCTATTTATTTACGACTCTCGCTGGATCTTCCGTTCAACATATCAAATTTCATGGCACAGTAAGCGAGGGACTTCTAGGGATACTAGACCAGCTTCCTGCACATTCATTTCAACAAGTTCGGTGTTTGGACCTCAAATTTAACCTTTGTCGAGATAGTCAACACAAGGTTGAGGAGGTCACAATTACAGATTGCGATATAGACACCGCCAAAGCACCCGACAACGGAGATTCATTCGCAAAGCGGAAGCCTCAAAGCGATTGCGATGTCATCGCAGCGCTTATCAAGCGTTGCGAGCAGAGTCTTGAGACACTAGTTGTGTACAGAATGTTCCCGATGGACAAGACTGAAGAGAGACTATCATTGTCAAGCCAAGATACCAACCTCCGCAGTCTACGAACTCTCAACTTGTCGTACTGCGAGGTGGACCTGACAGCTTCGCGTGTCATGCTCTGCCCATCGCTTCGCCATCTCTCCATACCATGGAAATGGGATGAGTCCTTCTTGTCTTGCGATACACTTCGAAACCTCGACACCTTAGTTATTCCATTCCTAAGGGAAACCCCGGGGAAGCCCTCTACTGTTAGCCCGTTGATGAAGTTCCTCAATCGCCACCCGCACATCAAGAAATTGTGTCTGGACCTAGGCACAGACGCCCTCATTGACGATCACCTCCTGCCCTGCTTGTCCAACGGTAATTGGGCCAATTTGAACTCACTATCGTTGACATGGGAGGGGCCAGGCATGGAGGAATCAACTCGGCCGCACATTGCCCGGGTGTCCGAATCTGCACTAGCCGCAATTGGGTCCTTGGATAGCCTCGAGCAGCTCAGTTTGACCGCAGGAGTAATTTGTGGCTGGCGTCGCCAATGGCTGATTGACCACGATGCTGTTCGAGAGTCTCTCAAAGGCCTCACGCGATTGAAAAGACTCGCCATATCCCGGGATACGTACCCGGTTCCATTCGACCTGGAAGAGCCGGAGTACTACTACGAGATCAAAGTCGCCGATCCGGAGGACCGCAAGCTTGCCAAGAAGCGAAACTGGATAAATGAGCTTGAGCCGATTGAGGATTCTGACAGCGAGACCGTGGATAAGGCGGATGAAATTTGGGAGTACGCACACCGCTACAGAATGTTCAAGCAAGCCGAGAAGTACGCCGAGGTGATTCCGACGCTGGAATGGGTCTACTGCGGCGAATGGCCGATGAAGTTCGTTGGTGGGCCGCTCTATGAGGATGGGTTGTGGGACCGGCAGACGAGGCGTAAGGTTGCGTGGCCACTGGCTAAGACACGGGATTCGTGCTGGTCGTATTTACGTCACACGTTTGGCATGGGCCATGAAGAAGATTGATATGTGAGTCGCGGGTGAAGGAGAGGAAAGGCCGGGAGGAGCGGGAACTGAGCAGCTTTGACGGAAGACGAAGGTTATGCGATCTGCAGCGCTGCAACCCAATCAGATATCTGCCCCAAATATCTTGGTCAAACAGTCAGATACGCCCTATTTAGCTACACCGTCAATCAGTTATTGCCAGAAAAATATCGAGTTTATCTGAAGATATTTGGACTCTTTCGGAAAAATGTAAAGCCCACTCCGTACCAATCGGATTGCACAATTTCGAAGACCCGTATTCCTTCGTGAGACGAGGTGTGACAGATCATCAGTATGGCTACTAGCAGCATAACGAATGTGGGATAAAGTTGTTAGATAATCGATGTCTATTAGATGCAATACACCTGGGGTTCATTGATCAAAGAGTGATTGTTGTGCTTGATTGAGGGATTCTTCCCATCCCGGTCGAAGCGGGGTTCTGTCTTGTATCTACCCGTTCTCACCGGTTCTTGCATATTATAGTTATGCGGATAACCAAGTTTCAGCTGCCTTTTATATGGACACAGGCGTCAATCTAACAAAAGTTGGTTGTCTTGGTTAGCGTAATCTGCTGGTCCTGCAGTAGATCTATATAAACGATTGGCGTTTATCCCTTGTAAGGCAATCCTGGCCTGAATATGTAGTTGACTGAGTAATGACTGTAACCGGTGAGTTTCACCTAAGCGAGGGGATCCCTAATTCTTACAAGGTGCTAAAATGGACGCAAGGATCCTGACGGTTTGGCAGTATGGCCAGCGGAATATGCATGTATGGGTGAGCAGAAAAGAGTGTCTTATTCGTACTAAGGAGAGAAAAGGATCACCACAGGCTTGTGGGCCTAATGCTATCCTAATAAGTCTTGCAGAGCTAGGACCAGGTGGAAATGACAGTCTGGCCTGTTTCGTGATGGTCAGACCATTCCGAATGGGTTATGTCCATGACTCGCATATAGGCATGCATGGATTCTGTCAGATCCCCTCCAATCGAAGAAAAAACGACGAAGGGTCACTAAATCAGAATGTATCAGAACGCCCCCAAACCCTCAAGTAGCACCCCAGCGGTGCCTAGCGACCGCCTACGTAAAGAGAGCAAGCGAAAAGGGACTTTGTTTTCTCACCGGAAGAACATGACATTCTTACTACAGCTCCCGGTGTGACATTGACGCTGCATGCACATGGTGTGCGCACACGGCAGCCCACTCGTGTTCACACAAGTTGAATTTGAAGATTAATACAAGTGATAATCTGCTATCTACCGGGGAGAGACAGTTCTATTGAATGTTTGGCCATGGTAGGGGGTTCAGAGAAGCCGGCAACGTGCATGTTTAGCCAATAGATGTCGTTTGAATAAAAGTCGCCTACACGTAAACGAGACCGGTGTGAGCGTCTGGGCGGCCTGGCATCGGCGCTTCTGCAAGCGGGGCGGCCCGTGATTCGTGGGTTAAGATCTAGATTTGTTGCTCCTCCGCTTCCAAAGCAGCTGCCAAGATTCCTCTTTCCCCCTTTTGCTGCTGTTCCCTGTGTGCCTGTGTGAACAAACAGGTGTCGCCGTCTACGGAGTACACTGAGCATGAGCACGGCCCGACGCTTGGAGACGGAGCTTATTAGGATAAGTGGACACACAGGGCCAATTACAATTTACCCCAATGGCCATCCTCCCGGTAGCTGCTGCGCATTCCAGCCCGGAGTCTAGTTGTCAGTCGCGAATGAAGACAGATCATTTGTATCCGATTCAGCCGGCATACCAACTTTTCCAATTGTCCGGTCGATTTTTCTATCTGTGAAATGGACCAAAGTCAATCCAGCTGCTTAGTCACGTCACGACAGCCCCAAGTTGAGGAGCCGAGACCGTGCACCGTCTTACGTCACCATGATATATGGGCCACCACTGACGTTGGACTTGCGGAGACGGAAAAAAGAAAGTTGGTGCGGCTCCCAACGAAGTTGATCACGCACTGCCAACGACGGAGAAACTAAGCTGTGTAGACCCTACGGAGTACAATTGCGCACGAAGATTCCATCTTTACAAGATGAGCGGTGTCGCTATTGGTCCGTCTACTCCCCAGCGGCCATCGTCTCTCGCCCTCGACGACGCGGTTGATATTGTCTCGAGCACACCTACCCGTCTTGGCCTGCTGCAGACCCCACCACGAAGATTTTCGCGGCATCTAAAGCGCTCAATCAATGCCGTAGAGCCTGAGGATAACGCTGGAGAGGATTTAGAAGAGGGTGTGCCAGGTTCTGTTCGACCATTGGCGACACCTCCGCGTCGACCACCGCGCCGGGCAAGGTTCTCTACCGGGCCTGCCGAGCCAACCAGTCTTGATGTGCAGGAGCCTGCTTCTTCTACTGATAGAGTGGTGCCCACAAGCCGCGAAGCATCGCCTCGCAAAGAAGAGGCGAGGCCAGAAGAGCAATTGGCAGGTGAAGAGCAATTGAGAGTTGAAGAACAACTGGGAGGGGAAGTTCACCTAGACGGGCTTGAGTCGCCAGGTGAATTTCAGCAGCTAAGCGGAATTGAGCAGCTAGGCGAGCTCGGGCAGTCAGGAGAAGGAGAAAAGCTGAGCGGGGATCGACATCCAGGTGAGGGTGAAGAAGAAGGAGACTCTGACAATCTCGAGCAAAACAACAGCAATGAACGCGATAGTGCGAGTGGGAGTGTTCACGGCGGTGACCGCGACGGCAAGCTTGGGAGTGAACCCTATTAGTAGACCGTTCGGTCTGTAGCTTCGTTGATTCTAGATATGGCTTGAGAGCGGGCAGACCTATCCGGCGGCGTAGTACTGCGGTGATCCAGCAGTCACCCCCAAAAACTCTCCATGTCGATGTGGCGTTCCAATATGCACGAGTATCCTCCCTTATATCTGAAAAGACTCAGTCGAACTCTAGTCTAAAGTGAGCAGTGCTAGTAGCTGCCAGGAAATAAGAAAATGATACAAGGATCCATGTCCTCCTCGTCGGAGCGAAGACTCACTCCAACTAGTGGCCGTGAGTGAGAGACGCCCAACGCCATTTCTCAGTTTCGATCGATCTTCCAGTCTTGGAGCAGTCTTGAAACAATCAAAAGAGCATTCTCTCGTCAACTCCAAAAGTGATGATATGCTCTCAGAGTTTACTAACATCCAGGCACGTATAGAAGCTTTGAATAAGGTACTTTCTCGTATTCCTTTTTGTGTATGTCTGGTCCACGAAGCTCGAGGATCTCGCAAGCTTTGCAGACACGCATCCACCTCTAAAAACAAAGGACAAGCGGAGAAGGAATCTCGACACCAGTCAATCGGGCACGTAATACCCGAGACGACTCCTCGAATTCGCGCGGGATCCCACGGTCTTCGACTTTCATAAACAATGGGTTGGCCGCTTTATCATTATCATTCGTCGCCGGCTACGCGCGTACGCGCTTCTGAGGTAGGGTGAACTCCGACGGCATAGTCGACCTGAACCACAGTATACCGGTCACCCTCAACGTGCATCCTGTAGCAGAAACGACAAGGCGTCACGGTCTGGATGTTTCGCGGTGTATCACGCTGCCTGCACCATTCCCTGACGAGCTTGCATATCCTTCGATCAATATCAGGCCAGTCGTATGAATCGCGCTGTCGTTCGGAAAGACACTTTAGGACCAAGCCAATCATTGACTGGGCACCAAAATCTGGGGCACCGGGGCTGTGTCGGCTGAAAGGTTCGTCCATGTGTTCTTCGAGGGAGCATATGGAGCAGTCGAGCTCGTCAACATCTTGCTCATGGATGTATTCTGGGAGTTTGGAAAGGTCGAAGCGCGGCGAGTCAAGGGAAGTATCGAGAGACGGCGATCGTACGGAGGACCTGGGCGCGCCACGGGCGCCGTCGGATCGGTTTCGGTAGCGTTGATGATCGCCGGGCGCGGGCGCGGATGGCTTGATTTGAGACATCTGCCTCGTCTGAAGAGGCATTGCAGTGGTGCACTCAGCAACTCTCGATTGATGCGTTCGAAGAAATGTCAACAAGATTGACCTTAGCAGACAGCACACATGGCACAGAGAGTGCACCAGATAAGGGGGCTCTAGACCTCATCACATCAGCTTCGGAAGCCAAGGGTTCCAAGCAAACATTTCTTCTCCGGTGCAATTGGACGCGGCCGAGACATGCAGCGGCACAGTCAGTCATCCGGCAGAAACAATTTCGTTTTGCGACATCACTTCAGGCGTATGGTGTTTCCGCGTCTGAAATGATATTCGGGAACGAAATGCAGAGGCGTGCGACGAATGCTTGTGGTTGCCTGCTAAACCCTCCATAGGAAATGCGATGAGCAGAGACTTGACGTTGTGTCGACTCGACTGTGTGATTGAATTGGAACGCGACCAGGGGACTACATCACATTCATTGCTCGGCAGTGAGCACTGAAGTGAACAGGATTTCAGAGTGGGCCTGCGGCTCGCGCCAAGGTCGAAATCGGTGGTCAGGCTGGGAAAGAAGGAATTTAGAATATGTTCCTGGGTGATGAATAACGCAAAGCAAAAGCTCACACTGGGCAAAAACAAATAACACCAGGTATTCGCTGGTCGTCACCGACCCAGCTACTAATCCGGCCCTCATAGGGCTTATCTATGGGCACTCGGCATCATGAAGTTGGTGTAGGTTTCCGTCACAGGGTGACGAAGAATAGCCCAGAATACGGAACAAGGATTGTGCGTTCCTAAACGGTCAGGCACCGTTTTAGCCTGAGCAGCTCCGTCGTCCGACGGTCAGCACTAATTGAACACCTAGACACCCTAAGCGAGCCGCCAACCCTCTGTAATACAAGCATGATTGGCTAAGTTTTCGGACTCAACTTATCCTGAAGATTCCGATGCCCGGCGGCGTTTACCAACAAGATGTGTGTTTCTAGGCTCTCGGTAAATTGTCGTAAACAATTCCAGGTCCCCCCAACTACTAAAATGCTCTAGGCACTATCAGGAGGCACCTGCCATATCAGCCTGTTAGGGAACTGTTAGGGGCTCCCTCTCCTAGAGCAGCATAGCAGCGCAATACAACAAGGCCAATAGTGCCTATACAACCCATTTGACAAGATGCAGGCACCATTTGTGGCAGGTGCGAGTGGAAAACGTGAGGCAGTTCCTTCACATCTCAGAGCTGCCCCACCTACACCTTGCCCAGATATCCAGCCCAGCCAGCCGTCAGCTTTTCCCATCTTCATCATCAGATCCAATACAGTAGTATTACCTCCACACCACTCGAAGCATCGTCAAATCGCGCATCCCGGCCAAGCCAATTAAGACCAAGAATAACCAATAAGCAGTAGTTGAATTATTCGCTTTATAATGCTTGTGCAGAGGGTACTCCACAACTTGATATACGCTCATTGGTAGCTCGCTCACCGAAGGACGAAAAGACCCATCTATATCGCCCGGCAAGTCATGCAAGCCCAGAGCGAATCTGCCTTGCTGCCTCGACGCCTCTGCGACCAGTAGCTATCCGCAGGGCGGCTTTTGCGGCGGCATCTATTCCGAACTACCGCATATGTCAAACGGTTGCCTCTTCCGCGCGATACACATCCTTTGCAACAATCCCTCGAGCAGTGCACTTTCTACGCAACAAGGCTCCCACTAGCAGCCACCTTATTCACCTCACAAGCATATCGGACCCTCAGAACTATACTATTAGCTGGATTTGCGCCATCACCACCGAATTTGTCGCTACACAGGCCTTTCTTAACGAGAGACACGAAAGACCTAGGGAAGTTTCGCAGAATGATAGCAACAACTACGCATTAGGCAAGCTTGGCGATCACAACGTCGTTATCGCCGTCTTACCCAATGGAGAGTACGGCATAGCCTCGGCCGCGGTCGTCGCCGGGGACATGCTACACAGCTTTCCCAACATCCGGCTCGGATTAATGGTCGGCATCGGGGGCGGCGCGCCGAGTCAGAAGCACGACATCCGCCTCGGCGACATCGTGGTAAGCAGTCCCCGTAACGGCAAAGGCGGGGTTTTCCAGTATAACTTTGGCAAGACGATACAGAATCAGACGTTTCTGGAAACGGGGTTTCTGAACCAATCGCCGAAAGTACTGCGAGCGGCCGTAAGTGGACTCAAGGCTATGTACGAGGCGGATGGCCACCAGCTTGACGACTATGTTAAGATGGTTATCGAGAAGAAGCCTCGACTCCGAAAAAAGTACTCGCGGCCACATCCGAGCAGCAACAGGCTATACAAATCAGACATCGTACTTACGCCGGACTCGGAGGAAGGCTGCATCGAACCATGCAGATACGACTCAACCCACCTCGTACCGCGCCGCGAACGAGACGAAGACGAAGACAGCCCTACTATTCACTACGGACTAATCGCCTCCGCAAATCAGCTAATAAAAGACGCACTCATCCGGGATCGACTAGCGGCCGAGAAGGACGTATTATGCTTTAAGATAGAGGCGGCCGGCCTAATAAACCACTTCCCGTATCTGGTCATCCGGGGTATATACGACTATTCCGACTCACACAAGAACAAGGACTAGCAAGGTTTTGCAGCTATGGTAGCTATAGCGTACGCTAAAGACGTTCTTCGCCAGATTCCACCTAACAAGATCGAGGCTAAAAGGAGGGTCGTAGAAGTCCTGGGATCTAGTTAGTGTTTTATTTATTTCAATTATTTTATAGCTTTGCGACTACAAAATTATACTAATTAAAAACTTTGCAGTACATGAAGGCGTGTCTCAAATCCGCTGGGCCACGAAAAGCCTGCAACAGAGCCAGCATTTTCAGGAACTCATGAAGTGGCTCTCTCCGCCGGATCCATCAACAAATTACAACAAGGCCTCCCGGCAACGTCATAAACGTACAGAGCAGTGGTTTCTCGAAAGCAAGGAATACTCCAAGTAGAAAAAATCGCCAAAGTCCTCGTTATGGCTCCACGGCATCCAGGGCTGCGGAAAGACAATCCTGAGTTCAACGGTTATTAAGGACCTCAGGAACACCGAATCTTATGCCAAAAGTCTCCTCTATTTTTACTTCGACTTCACCGATACTAATAAACAATCGCTCGAGAAAGCCATTCGGTCGCTAATTACTCAGCTGTACTCCAAAAGCCAGGACGTCCATACGCATCTAGATTCACTCTACTACTCTTGCAAAAATGCTTCACGCCAGCCGAGTATTGACTTGCTAATCTCAACGTTCGAGGCTATGGCTCAGCAGATCGGCGAAGTATGGATCGTCTTGGATGCACTCGACGAATGCCAGAAGAGAACAGGTCTAAGCAACGAGGGGTTGCTAGACTGGATTGAGGGTATTCTAAACTTACCGCAAGTAAATATCCACCTTCTTGTCACGAGTCGCCCTGAACACGACATCAAGTCAGCATTGGAAAGACATATCGACAACCAGATCCCTCTCCAGAGCGAGCTTGTCACTGAAGACATACGTGCGTATGTTCATGAAACAGTAAGACAACACGAGGGATTTAAGAGGTAGCGAACACGAGAAGAAATTCTGGATGAGATCGAAGGCCATCTGATGGAGAAAGCTAACGGAATGTGAGAAAAGATTAACCCTCTTGAATACTGCTGCTAAGTCAGGAAATAGGTTTCGCTGGGTCTCATGCCAACTTGATGCTCTTGAAAAATGCCCTGATCCTAACAGTCTTCGCCAAACGCTATAATCTTTGCCAAGGACGCTAGACGAGACATACGCCCAAGTCCTACGTAGAATTCCGCCTGAGTTTGAACAGAACGCCAAGCGGATACTGCAATTTCTAACCTTTTCTGAACGACCTTTACGCATCGAAGAAGCTGTTGATGTAATTACTGTGGTCATTAAAAACAAGCCCAGGTTTGATGCCAAGAACCGAATGCCACAACCAGACGAGATATCATCTACTGTTCTAGTTTAGTAGTTGTTGTTACTCGGGGCGGTAACGATGAACAACACGAGGTGAGAGAGCTATAGCTCGCGCATTTCTCGGTAAAGGAATACCTGGTATCCGACCGACTAGAACAGAACATATTTGAAGCCTTCGCAGAGCCACTGGCCAGAGCTTCTATTGTGGAAGTATGCCTTGCGTACCTATTAGATTTAGACCACAACCTTTCTCTTTTAGAGGTTAGATAGTCGTACCCGCTTGCGTAGTATTCTACACGTTATTAGATAGACTATGCTGTCGGATTTGAGACCAGCATGGCCCGTAAGCTCATCAAAGAGTTTTGCCTGCATAAAGATTCTCCTAAGGTGTGTTACGGACTCTATAACGTAGATAGGCCAGAGGAAGTGGAACCAGAAAGATTTGAAATTGAGAAGACTCCTGTATTGTACCATATAGCACGTGGAGGGATTGTGTGTGCGGTGGAGGAATTATTGAAACATGGGGCAGACATCCAAGCCCAGGGAGGCAGGTACGGAAACGCTCTTCAAGCTGCTTCATTCCATGGACATAAGGAGGTCATCCAGATACTCCTCGACAAGGGAGCAGATGTCAACGCCCAGGGCGGCCAGTTTGGCAACGCGCTTCAAGCTGCTTCATTAAAAGGAAATATGGAGGTTGTCCAGATACTCCTTGACAAGAGAGCAGACATCAAGTCTTAATACACCACATGTGATCTTAATCCTCTATGGACTTGAGGACATTTAAAACAAAAACCCAAAACATACAACACCAGGTATTCGCTAGTCGTCACCGACCCAACTACTAGTCCAGCCCTCCAAAGAGGGTGAGATGTAAGCGACCCTTCTGGGTGAGACTGGCATACCTGGGCTCCTTGGTGATAAGACCTGTTCTCTGGCTATCCTATCTGTCGCGGCATGACGTCGGTACATAGAGATACGGTGAGGTAGCCAATCGGGGCCATTCGGGCCCGCTTTGCCAACCAACGATATTAATCGATAATTGGTAACTACTTATTTTAACTAGTTATAGATTCTGCGTATAGAATTGGTACTAGTAACCTTCACTAGTAAATATTGCCACGTTAGATTCAAGGCAGCCCTTCCTCGAATACTACCGCTGCGTACGTTGGGTGCGACTATTCCCACTTAGGCCCCAACACACCCCTATCTTTCATTTGCGACTGCCGGCTGCAAGCCACGCAGGGCGAGCAAACATTTCTGCTGCCTCATATGTGTAGTTGCCATGGAATCTCTTCGTTCCTTCGGTCTGTCGCCCTCCCCGGGCGTGCTCGACGACGAACAGTAGCGAATGGTCCAAACCTCTGAATTAGCTGGGTAGAGAGCAGTCTACGCCATTCGAACAGGGTCTCAACTCGGGGCCAGCTAGGGTTCCCCTATATCTGTGGAAAAAACGTGTTGGCTGCCCTCCGTGTAGATGTCTACTACGTCGGTGTTCTTTTCCAGACATCGTTGATGTTCCTTCTCAGCCTGCTTCGCGCCTTTGATAATATATCTAGCGGATCATATATATAGGAGTAGGACATATAGGAGTCATTCCACGGGACGGAAGAACTATAGAGTAAGTTACGTGCTCATAAGATAAAGAATAAGCAGGCCAGGTGGAAATATTAGCGCTCGCTGATCACTCACGATGATCACAGACAAAGGACATGTTCACGGCCAGGACTCGCATATAGTATAGACTTGAGCTGGACTCAAGGACAGACCTTCCATAGCCTCTTCAGCAATGAACTCTGTATTCGATCTCACGATCACTTTCGGCTATCTTGACTTACAACCCTCTGACAAGACCACGATTGATCGCCGAAGCCTTATCGAGCAGTTCAGGGCAACCAACTGTGGCACAAAGAAAAGCTTCGATAAAGATGACTCCGGCGTTATTGTCCCCTGTTCTGCACTATATAGGTACGCGCTCATAGTGACTAATTGCAGCGGGCGTAACATTAGTGACTACTATAAATGGACTAGTAAGCGCTTATAGCTATACTCGGTATGCTTATAGTGTCGCAAAAACGACGCCGTTAATTACGGGCAGCAATTAACGCCATATATACCCTACGACATATTGTCTTATCTTGTTTATACGTGACTTGTGTATAGTTTTCCGTCCCGCAAGAGATCATCTGAGTTCCCGTCCGTCCTGCATATATCTGATTAAGTAGCCGATATAGACCTACGGGGTGGGCACTGGCTTGTTCATGTATGTCGGGCTGTAATAAGTGGTTAGAAGCTATAGTCATTTGCTAGTTTTGACTTCTGGTTAATTGTTCAGAGAGCTTTGATTTGTGACTTATTTATTCTTCGTAGCTATGGCAAGCAAGCTAGCTAGCTGGTCGCTTGAATAAGGTATTGTTGGTATACACGTCAGCAGGGCAACCGTACGGTTGGAACGAAGGGTCAATAATGGTCTATTATTGCTGCGTATGGAGGTGGAAGGAGGAGGTTGTGGGCAGAGCCCATGATCTCTCAGAAGTGGTATGTAAGTGAAAGGGCCGTTTGTAAGTGCCCATACCGCCTTCCAGATCCACCTTTTCTGCCGACTGCTCAGAGATCCAACAGTATGCTGAGTAGATGTGTTGGTTATCTCTCGCTTGGGTGGCCTGTGTTGTTGGCCTATCCAGTGATGGTTGACTAGTCCTGGGGCCTAACTGCTCTATCTTGTGTCATGTCTGCCGCCTTCTTGCTGATTGTAGTGGCCGTCCTACTTGCCACCTTGTTGATCACCTTGTTGGTCATCTTGTTGGTCGTCACGACAGCCGCCTTTTTAGCCGTCACATCTGCCATCTTGCTCACCTCCTCATTGGTCGTCACATTTTTCCACTTCTAGTTGGCCTTCGTGTTGGTCGTCCCTTAGCCTTCATGTTGGTCGTCACATCTGCCAACCGCATTATTGACAAATTTGGTGTGGTCGTTTTGTCGGCCAGTCGCCTTGTTGACTGGTTGTTGGCCTTATGGTAGCCCTGTCCGTTGCATGGCTCCATGTTAGTCATCCCGTCTGCCGCCTATTTAGCCGTCACATCTGCCAACTTGCTTGCCTCCTCGTTGGTCGTCACATATACTGACCGCATTGTTATCAAATTTGGTATGGTCGTTTTGTTGTCCAGTAGGTCAGTCGCTTGGTGATTGGCTCGTTGGTCTTTTAGTTGCCCTGGCTTTCAATTGGCTCTATGTTGGTCATCCCGTCTGCCGCCTCTCCGACGATCCCCGTCCAAGGCTTTTACACCGGTGTCATTATCAGCATATCAACTTCCACTCCTAGCCAATGCGATTACCCTCGGCCCAAGAAGAGCTCTAGAAGTTTGAAGATTGGTTGATTATAAGGAGTAGATGCTTTACTAGTAACGAACAGCAATCTCTAGCAAATTACTGCTAGGTCGAGAAATTAGTGAACGCCTGTTTTAATGTCTTGTTTCTATAGTTTGATACGTGTCGCCCTGATGGCCGGCCGCATAATTATCTCATTAGGAGATTATCCATGGTACATCGTATCTTCATTCTGCCTGCCAAGAGCAGACCAGAGACCTCAGGTATAGGTCTCCTCTAACTGGCATTGCGCCCTCCTGATTTCTACTTGAAATCGACTTTCATCTTTCAATTTCGCTTTTCTAAGTCCAGACGCTTGATTGATTACGCAAATATCTTCATCAACAGAAAAACTAAAATGCTCTAGGAAGCTGCGCTGTAGAAAGCTTTCATAAAAATACTCTAAATCTTCAGAGCAAGAGGGAGTTTGTTCCTCCGGCTGAACATATATTCCTAACGTATCCAATATCTTGTCTGATAACTTCGACTGCTTGCCTAGGGCTTTAGCGGCGGATCTTCGTACATCGCTGTCCTCGTTCTTGAGGAGTCTCACAAGGGCGGCCATGGTTGTGTCTGATAACATCGACTGCTTGCCTAGGGCATTAACGGCAGAAGTTCGCACTGGCCAGCCCCCTGTCAAGTTGGGGTGCTGACGCAGGGTGGAAGCTCTCAGAGGCCAAATGCAGTTAGGGGTAAAATGATGAATTACTGAAATCTGCTCCTCCCTCGACGTGTACTCCCTGCGCTATATCCCATCGGGTGCCAATGGACAGCACTTTCGCCAAGGGCGGGGTAGAGCCAATAAGGGCTTGCAAATTCATTAAACTAACCAGTAGGGTTGTAGTACCTATATTTCCTATAGATTTTGGGTGTGCCAGAGGTACCAGCAATCTTTACTAATACATAATGGTACATTACAGTCTAAGCAACCCTTTCGAGTTGTCTGCCGTCGTCGCTGAGTGAGGGTATTCCCAGATATCTGGTTTAGAACCTTCCTACTACCACAATAGCTACAAGGTGAAGATACCTTTCGTGATCCCTTGCGATGCTGTTTCCATAGAATAGAGGTATTCCTTTTGTCTGTAGCCCGTCTAGGCCGTGATAGTCTCCGCCCGCCTGCTAATGGGCCAAACTGCTGGATAAGCTGGGCTGCAAGCAGCTGCCGCCATTGGTAGTGGGTTTTGATCTTCTGCCACCTAGGGCTACCCCAGAGCTGTAGCAGGAAGCTATTCACAACTACCACTTCCAGTAGGAAATTCCAGGCAATTGACTGCCAGCCCCCTCGGCGAATAGGGTGGCCGTATTGATAATATGACCTCATCTGGTCACTCACATCAACCCCATTCATCTTGTGGTTGTATTCATCGATTGCCCTAGGAACTGGTAGGTCCTTACGTACATCCGGGCCAAAGACTTGCCGGGAAGCTCTCTTGGCAGCGGAATCCCCAGCTGGGCGGCGGCGGCTGCGAATAACTTCCTGGCCATTCTGGAAGACAGTTGATAGGAAGAGTACGAGGGCATTATCCTTCCAGGTGAATTGGTTGACCTGCTTACTAGTCAGCTGGGGTGGGCAGGCTGAGAAGAGCAGGCTGGCAGCTTACCTCCCCATCTAAAGTAGGGATACAGTGTACTTTACCCCAGGGGATACCCCGTCCTTCAGTCTCTTTCTCAGCGACTAGGATCTCGTCTATCCCACTATCCTTCCGGCAGGTACCAGAAGCTCCAACCTGTTGATTCCGTAGGGTACGGAAGAGACGTATAGAGGCGAAGAGGTTGTCAAGAAATACGTG